TTTCCTTTGCTTGCAAGTGATGAAAAACTACTAGAGTACTAAGTTTGTGTAGGATTGTGTGATTAAAGACCGGTGAATGTGTCGTTGTTGTCGCTAGGGAATGAATGAATGATTGAAGAGAATAGTTTATGGTATTCTTCAATTTTGATATATGAAAAAATTAGTTCGAAAATACTACTTAGTAAAGCGAAGTCTTTAAAGCTTAAGAGGGACATGTAATATTGTCATATGATGAGTAGAATTTCAACAAAATTTAGAAATGACTAATATTGCATCGGAAAAACATTGTTCGCAAAATGAAAAAATGATCGAAGAAAATAAAAGAATAGCAAGTAATCTTTAACAAATAGTTTTTGTACAAAACTTAAACAATAATTTTATATTACTTTCTAACATATTTTTTTAATTAAAAGTTTTTTTGACTTGAAACTTAAGTAGAATCATCAACTAAAAAAATTTAAAATATTGAGTGAGGTTAGTTTAAGTTGTTGGTAGGGTCTTATTATCTTGTGTTTAATTATTTAATTCTTCAAGTGAAAATTTTTGGACTTCAAACTTGCATAGGCGTATCAACTCTATCATATTAAAATACTATTTTAATTTAAAAATTTAACATCTAAACGGGAGTAAGAAATAATTTTATGTTACTCTCTAACAATATTATACTAGGTATAGATAAACATGTAAACTGGTAAATGAGTATGGTTTTTCATCATACATATGGTTGTAAGCGATAACATTGGTATCATATATGATTATGTTTCCTTATTAGAAACGTTATCTTGCATTTGTACAACCTGTATGTTGAAAAACTGTAGTTATTTACCTTTTTACATGTTTGTCCAAAGCACTTACCACAAGTGATTCGGGCCTATAAATAAATGGGAAATTAAGATGACAGAAAAGGAAAAAAAAACCCAATACTTGAAAAAAAAAAACTTCTTGAGAAACAAGATTTCCTTCACTGAACATTTCAGGGTACTGATACTGTTTATGTTGTTCATAACCCTAGGTGATGTTTGCTGCACAAAAAGGACATACCTTACCGTCACACCTGTCAAATAAATTGTTGCAGGAATTACAAGAAATTGTTAAGTAAACATTTAATGTTTTATTTTTTTATTAAGAGTCATTTAATGTTTATAATTAATTATAACATTTCCTTTCTATTGTAAATTTATTGTAAATACTTAAAAGGATTGCCATATTCTGCATTTGTATTGCTAATTTTAGTAAGTATGAAAAATAAGTTCAAATTTATAACAAATTTAATGCCACAATCAATTTAATTTCAATCCAACAAAAATATCTAACTTCTATAAGAATTTACGACTAATTAAATAAAATTCAACCTAACGAAGATTTTTTCTTACTGACAAACAAATATCTAAAGAAGGAAAAGAAGTTAACTAGTGAATTAAGAAACTGCCATAAGAGATGAAATTAAAAATTTTAAAAAGGAAACGGAATTAACTAGGAAGCATTACGATAAGAGATGAGAGTAAATCAAAATTCTTACGTGAAATGAAAAGAAAAATCGCATATGGCAAGATTTGGTACAACGTAGTAGTATGATATGGTAGATATAAGCTACCAAATATTTTCTCCAAATTACAATTGTCAAAGATATACTACTGAAATTATATTATTGCTTATGGAAAGGTGTAGGATAAATATGAAACAAAGTAAATGACTACTTTTTTTTTTTTTTTGATAAAGATAGAAATATTTTAACTCATTATTATTTTATGTTATTTACTTAATATAAATCATTGAATTCAAAATATCATGCAGAATTGTTTTTAACATTATTATCTTATTTGCTTTTGTTTCCTTATTAGAAATGTTATCATGTGTTTGTTCAAAGCCCTAATCAAACCGGGTTTGGACCTATAAATATGTGGGGGAGATGAAAAACGAAAAACAAAACAAAACAAAACCCTACACTACACTTAGAAAAAGAAAACTACTTTGACAAAAATGACATCCTTCACCAAATATTCCAGGGTACTAACCATGTTGTTGATGTTGTTCATAACCACGACTGATGCCTTATGCTGGAATACTGGGGCATTCCTTACCATCGCTAATGAACTGGCTTCAAACTCGCAAATGTCAGTTCATTGCAAGTCAGGAGATGATGATCTTGGTGAAAAATTCATCCCTCATAAGGGTAGCTGGGAATTTAGTTTTTGTCCTGGTTTTCTCGGAAATACGTTGTATTTTTGTAATGTGGCATGGAAAGGACAAAGAAAATGGTTTGACGTTTACATACAAAGGAGGGATTTTTATGTTTGTCATATATGTGTTTGGACTGTACATGAAACTGGTCCATGCAGGCATTCTGGGGATGATGTTCACTGTTTTCCTTGGAACAATAACCCAGCTGTGCATAAATTGTCCAAGTAGGGTTTCCAGCTTTTAAAATTCAGAACATCTCATGAGAAAAATGGGATGGAGATTTATTGTGTATCTCCAAGCATATTAAATCTCATGTTGAATAAAAAAACAAATAGATTGCTTCATTATGTTGAGCTTTAATTCCAACCTTGAAAAAGGTAAGTATTATTGTCTTATGTTCTATTTTGTTTTTAAATTCTAAGATCATAATCTAAATATCTATCAATTTCATATTGTTGTTCTTCTTTTTACAGAAGCCTTGAATTAATTTGAGATTACCTGTAAGGAAAAAAGGCCATAAAAGCATCTATTAAGATTCAAATTTCAAGGGGTTGGTAAATTATGTTATGTGCTAAGATTATGAAACAAATTCAGCCTTTTTACTAGTTCCTTTCAACCAGATATTAAAGGTAATTTCTATTCAATTTCTTTAATTTTGATATAGATGATTTGCTTTGGACTCGATGGGAAATATACTGAGTTTTATTTTGATTTATGAAAAAACTTGTTTGAAAATACTATCTAATTGTAAAATCAACTCTTTAAAGCTTAAGAGTGATACATAATATGGTCATATGATAAGTAGAATTTCAACAAATTTTAGGAATGACCAATATTGCAACTGCTGAAAAATATTAATTGTTCACTAAATGAAAATTGAGTGGAGAAAATAGAAGAAGTAACAAGAATCTTTGACAAACACAGTTTTTGAATAAGGCTTTAATAATAATTTCATATTTTTTTCTAACATATTTCTTAAAGTGAAATTTTTTAACTTAAAATATGAACACTCATCGGTTTAAATTAAAGTTCAAACTATTAGATGAGATTAGATTAAACTCGTTAGACAAAACCTCACTTTCTTGTGCTTAATTATTTAATTTCTCAAGTGAAAGTTTTTGGGTTTAAAACTTGCATAAACCCATCAATTCAAAAGTTCTAATATTACGTTAAAAAAATTATATTAATTCAAAAATTTAAACTCGTTGATGAGACTTAAAAATAATTTTATATTATACTCTAACAATACTATAGTGGGTATAAATAAACATGTAAATAGGTAAATGACTATAATTTTTTCATCATACATGGTTATAAGGGGTGGCATTGGTATCGTATATATCTGATTTTGTTTCCTTATTAGAAACGTTATCTTGTGTTATATAGCCATGTATGATGAAAAACTATAGCCATTTAATTTTTTAAAATGTTTATCTAAAGCAATTATAAAAAGTGATTTTGGCTATTAGAGAATATATGTCACATTAAATAGTTAAATTAAAGGTGATTAATTTATAAAATTATGAAGGGGTTAATCAACACCATATATTCTGTTTATGTTGTTCTTAACCCTAAGAGATGCTTGCTGGACAAAAAGGACATACCTTACCATAACTAAGTTACTGGGATTGTAAATCAAGAAATATTGATCTTGGTCAACATAGCCTTTCCCTCGAGGTAGCTGGTCATTTGATTTTTGCTATAGTTATTAGGGAGTGATCACATTGTATTATTGTAATACGGTATGGAATGGACAAAGCAAATGGTTTGATATTTACTCTGGAGAAATGGATTTTCCAATATGTGGTGTATGCGGTTGGTCTATATATACTTCAAACTGGTCCTTGTAGGCATCATGATGGAAAAGTGGATTGTTTTCCTGGGAATTAAGGATAATTCAAGTCAGTCTAAATTGTCCTCTTAGGAGAGAAATAGGAAGGAGATTAATTAGAAATTCGGAAAGGATATTAAAGCATGTTATGTCTCTTGTTGAAAAAAATAAAAATAAAAATCTCCATTATGTTGAGCTTTATTTCCAACCTTGAAAAATGTCAAGATTATATATAGTAGGGTACATGAATGGTTCAATTTGTCTTTTTTTTTAATTTTTTATATTCTTAATTGAACTAATTTTATTCTTAAATATATATTAAGTGTCTAATCTATTATTCTAATAAGATTTTCAAGCCAAAACATCATAACACAAATGTCACATAAAGGCCTTCTAGTTGTTTTGGTTTGCAAATGTATTTTAAAAATAAAAACAATCACGTGCAAATAAAGGATTAATTTTTCTAGTTTGGTTTGAAAATCTTAACAAAAAAATAGGTTAAAAATTTAATATATTCAATGATAAAATTAACTCCATTAGAAATATAAAGACAGATTAAAAAATCATCTTATTATTTAACGACAAATTGAGCCATTATATATTATACATAAAATTGACATGAGTTTCTCTATTTATATTGCTCATTTCTTGCGAGTATGAAAAATATCTAACTTCTATTAGAATTAGTACTACTTCCTTTTAATCAGACATTAAAGATAATTACTAGTCATTTTTTTCAATTCCCATATGAATAATATAATTTTGCTTTTGACTAGATCAGAATTTATTGATATTGATATTGATATATGAAAAACTAGCTCAAGAACATACCTAATTGCAAAATCAAATCTTTAAAGCTTAAGAGTGATATATAATATCATCCCAACTACTGAAATTATTGTTCTCCAAATTAAAATGAGAAAATGATTGTTGCCAGTAATTTTAAGGCTTTACTCTCTGGAGAGAATTGAAGCAACAACAACAACCTTCAACAAACACCATTCATCTTCTTCTTTTCCATGACAAACTTCCTCCAAATCGTAGTTATCTCCCTCTGGGTCTCTAGAGCAGTTTTCTTCACCAATACAGCACCATGCTCCTCTTTGTCGCCATCACCAGAAATCGAAATCCCAGCACAAACTTTGCATGGTAGGCTCTCAAGCTCATGTATAACTTTCTGAATGTCATTGACAAGCCGTTCAGCTAGCGTTCGCGAGAAGTCTTCTCGTATGACAACGCGCAACACGGTAACATGTTGAGCATCAGGAGGCATGGTGTAGGCAGGCACAATCCAACCAAAACGCCTTAGCATGTCGGATACCTCAAACTCACTGTTGGTGCTATTGTCCTTCAAGGAAAATGCTACCAATGGAACTCCATCGTCTTTAGAAATAATGTTGAACCTGCCTGTCTGCTCCAATCCTTCTTTGAGCACTAGCATGTTGTCTCTACAATTTTCCATTACGTTCTTGTATCCCTGTTAAAAAAGATATCAACAATTTTCTGCCTCAAACTGCCTGAGTTATGATCAGGTTCATAGAATTTGGACCCATAATTCCAAATAACTGCGATTATTTAAAGGATTCTGATATGTCCGCTTTTATTATACGGTTTTATACATAGTTTAACGACATTTCATCCAAACATTGCTGTTATATTATTATTTTTTTAAATGCTTGTATTCAGAATAAATTTATTAACTGTTATTAATATATTCATAATATTGATTGTCAATAATAGTTATTTTACTATCCTATCCTGATAAGTTGCGATTTGCGATGGTTATTTTAAAACCATACCGTGATTTAAAACTATAGTTGGACATACCTGATAACCCAAACGAATTAGTTGATAGTATTGAGCAATGACTTGACTAGAACCTGCATCAACAAGAGGCAAGCTTTAGCTTATCTATGTAAGAATAGGGTAAGCTAGCTAGGTAGAAAATGTCAAGGGAGTTATCTAATTTGAGTATGGAGATTAACCTTTAGAGAAGTTAAGGGTGAAGGTGGGCTGATCAGCTCCAAGATAATTGATACGGAAGATAAGCTCTTCAGGCAAGTCCTCTTTGCTCCTCCAAATGATCCAACCAATTCCAGCATAAACTAGTCCATATTTGTGCCCACTGACATTGATACTCTTCACTAATGGCAACCGAAAATCCCATTCAAGATCTGGGTATATAAATGGTGCAATAAATCCTCCACTTGCTGCATCCACATGGATTGGTGTATCCCACCTGCAAAAGGAAAACTCAGATTGCCAGTAATTGCCATGCATAAGAAGGCAAACGGTGAGAGAGATAAGGCATACCCAGTTTCCTGGTTCTTCTCAGTCAAGAGATCATTCAAGAGCTTGACATCTTCAAATTCTCCATTAAGAGTAGAGCCAAGGATAGCAGCAACACAGATTGTGTTCTCATCTACCATTTCCACAGCCTTTTCAGGGTCCATCACATAATAGCCATCTCTCAGCTTAACTTCTTTCAACTCCACTTCAAAATACCTAGCAAATTTCTCCCAGCAAACCTTTCATGCAAAAGGGTCAGCAGATTTTCAACCACATATATTATTTAACCCTAAATTTCCAATTATTGCTAGCTTAACAAGATTCTTGGAAATATTTTACCTGAACATTAGCCCCAGTGACAATGTTGGGCTGATCATAGGGCTTTCCCTCAGCTTTTCTCTTGTTCTGCCATTTTCTTTTGAATGCCAAACCAGCCAACATGATTGCCTCTGAGGATCCTACCGTTCCTACTCCAATCGCAGTCTCTGATTCTCCAAGTGGGGCATTAAAGAGATGTGCTATCATGTTAACGCATCGATTCTGCTTGTATAGAAATCAATTTTATTTGGCTATTAATAGTTTTTTTTTATAATTGAATTTAACGATAATATAATATAAGAAAAATTCTTAAAACATTAAATTATTTTTAATAATGGTTTCTCAATAATTGTGGTGCTTATATATATATAAACAAAACTAATTCCATCTCTTTATAATTTCTTTTTTCTTTTTTTGTTATTAGTTCATCAAGGGATCTGTAGGTCTTAGATTACACATGAGAATTAAGAATAACTCTCATTAGATAATAACAAAAAATAAAATAAAAAAATTACAGCCACCGAAATTTGAACTTGCTTTGTTGAAGTACATTATTGAATACACAACTGTTAAGTTATATGTTTTTGATATCTCCTTGTAATTGCTAATTATGTCCATAATTATATAAATAAATCTACACAAATCATGCCAAGGTTTACATAATTAGCTGATATTAATGCCCAATAAAATTTTCATAAAACTATTTTTACATAGCCTTTTCTTATAATTTATTTTTAATTTGTAATTTCGCATTTGACAACGAAAATCATTATATTGATTTAATTAATTAATATGGATTAGAACTGTTTGTTTGATTGATTGATACAATTAAGAAATTCCAATATTCTCACCAACTACCCCCTCTAAGTTCCTATAACATGATATGGTTTGATCATGCTTCAAATTTCACCTTTGGCCACATAGAAATCGTAGGGTTTGAAGCTGAAATCTCGGCAATACAATACCAAGTCAGTGTTATTTGAAAGTACAAAGCAAAACTGATGACTCAATCAAACCTCATTTTTCCTAAAAATTTGCTTTCTTTCAGCTTTAATTTACATTATCTCCTACTTTCCCTAGAGGCCTTTAAAGCAAGATTTTTTTTCGGATTGCCAAGTAATACCAAGGACTATGGTAGGATTACATCAATAATATTTACACTACATATAGATATGAAGAGACATACATCACACTCGTAGAATCTAAGAAAATACCACATGAATTTTTTACTGTAAGGAATATTCAAGAATCAAGTCAAAAAATTTTATTCGTTTAAATTATTAGATAAGTTTAGATCTTATCGTCATCATATAATGTTAACGAGTAAAAAATTGACACATTTGAAAGATTTTTGGATGTTATTTAATCTTTTTACTTGCATCAATGATCTGAAATAGCGCTGCATAGTAAATTATTGTGACTTTAACATCTCCATGCATCACTTATTACATAGATTACAGATCCAAATTGGTGAAACAAGTTGATCTAAATGCAATAATTACCACCTCCATTAAATTTAATTACTTCTGTAATCTATACATAAAAATAGATGAAACCCAAGAGGACAATTTGAAAAATCAAGCAAAATAAATAATTAAATGACTTGCCTGTAATTCAGTGGTGACAGGATACTCATCCATGTCAACGTAGTTCTTGTTAACGGAAGCCATGATGAGTTTGTCACATTCAGGTTCCATCCATGTTGTCACAAAAGATGCCAGGTTAAGCCTAGGATTACCATCTAACATTAGCTCATCGTTTATGATCTGGTAGGCTGCCTCTTTTGGGATTGAATTCTCTGGCATTCTGAACCTGAAACCATTTTCATCGTAGAAAGAACATGATTTAAAGATCAAAACTATAACAGATTCAAAAAATGATCATGGGATATATTACCTTGGAAGTGAGGCTCGAACATATCGAGATGCAAATGTTGAGTGGACAGAAACATCACTGTCTAGAGCAGTCTTGGAGAGAGCCATGGTAACAAGAAGAGATCAGAGATAGAGAGGCAGAAAAAATGAGAGAGGGATGATGATACGGAGCAAACTTAAGGCTTTTCTTGCCATATGTGGCAGACATGGTCATTTATAGTTACTCTATAATTTCTTTGGATACTGCTAATTAAATTCATTAATTATCAAATTTGTTATTTCTACATCTTTTTTTTTTTAATTACCAACACGTTCTCTCATAAATATTTATTATTATGTTATAGTTAAATATATTTTATATCGAATGTCTAAAATGTTCATCAAATATTTTAGATATTTGATATTAAATAAATTTAATATGATATAATTAATAATAAACATTAATGAAGAAAGTGAAATAATAATTTTCAAAAAATTAAATTTTGAGAATAGCAAATTTTATGATGAATTTAGCAACACACAATTTCTTGTTATTGGGGAATCATGGAGTATTTTTTTTTTTTTTTAATTTATCTCTCTCTCTTTTTTAAGGTTTGGCCGCATTTATTATAGATATATGCATTTATTATGGATATATGACACCCCCCCCCCCTGCTTAAGGCTTAAATATTAAAAGATTGATCATATAGTAAAAAAGGAATGGTTCTTTCTAAGAAATCGAAAAATAAATAAAAATATAAAAAATAAGAAAAAAAGATATTTTGTAAAAAATAATATTAAATTAAAAAATAATATTAGTTAAAAATTTTAATAAATAGTTTTTCAAGCAAAAGAGATTAATTTATTTATTTATTTTTAAAAAATAGAGAGAATAATTTATAATTTACTCTCGGTTTATGACGCTAAACTAGGCAAGCCACACTAATAAATACAAATTACATTTTTTATTTTTTTATTTTGCAAGTGGCCCAAAACTGTACGCGGTTGCTTTTATTTGGTATGAAGGGCCTGTAGCCCAAAACTGGAAGCATGTGCTTTTCTGGAGGTTTTTTCGTTTTTTTTTTCCTCACTTAATAGTAATATATACTTTTGCTTTATTTCATAATCGTCCTTAAGAAAAAAACAAGGAGTTGATTGCACATAATTTTTGTTGGCATGAATCCATGTACGTGTAATAATTTTCCACTAACCAGACATTCTTAAAAGTTTCTTAAATAAATTTCATATATCAATAATACAAAAACTGCCAAGAGACAAAAGTTTTTTTTTTTTTTTTGACAGAAATGAAAATCTTTGGATTATATTTCGGTTAATTAAAATTAAGTCTTTTTTCAAACGATTTTACATATGCATTCTCCATATTGAATTGATGCATTAATAAAAATTTAATGAATTCTGTTAAATACTAATGAATAGATAAAAAAATATATATATTAGAATATATTTCCTTAATCACCAAATCACGAGACAAAAGTTCATGTAATTTTATTTTTTACTCATACTATGTTTGGATTGGTTGAGAGAAAGCTTGGGGAGGAAAAGTAAAGATGAGGTATAGAAGGAAAATGGAAAATAAAAGTGTGATACGAATAATTTTCTTATTTGGATATAAATGAAGGAAATGAAAGATTATGAACCTCAACTTCATTTATTTAGAAAAAATAATATAAGGTTTAATGTCATAAATTGTTAAAATGTATTTAACTATAAATATAAGCCATTTATATATCCTTCTAATATAAATGATAGATTTAAAATTAGATAATAATAAAAAAAAATTAACAAAGAAAAAATGAGGCAAAAAATTATAAATCAAAGAGATGAAGGATAAGCATGTGTTCTTTTATTGGTAAGACCTACAAACCAAAAATAATAGAATGGTAGTTAAAAAAGCGAAAAAGGGCAAAAAGGGGCAAAAAACAAAAAATCAAAGAGATGAAGGATAAGAATTACAGTTTTTTGCAAGTGACCCAAACTGTAAGCATGTGTTCTTTTATTTGGTATCGACGGCCCGTAGCCCAAAACTGGAAGCATGTCCTTTTCTGCAGCCTTTTTTTTTCCACTTGATATAATATATACTTTTGCTTTATTTCATAATTTTCCTTGAAAAAACTAGGGTTGATTCTACATAATTTTGGTTGGTACGTATCCATGTACGTATAATAATTTTCCACTAACCAGACATTTTTAAAAGTTTCTTACATAATTTCATATATCAAGATTACAAAATGTCCCCAGAGGTTAAAGTTTTTTTTTAAAAAAAATTTATTTTATAATTAGGTGTATTCTTGAATCAAATTCCAGTCAATTAAAACTAAATTCCTTCTTAGATGATTTAAAAAATGCATTCTCTATATTGAACTAATGTATTAAGAAAAAATTAATATTTTTTAGGTATATATATTTATATGTCTTTATAAAATACTCAAAGTCTTTACATATTACCACCTATGTTTTTAATTACATTTTATTTGTCTCTGAAAAAAATTTGAAATGTTTAATATATCCTTCCAATCAAATTTTCTGACTATATATATATATATATTTACCGAAATGCTCTCGATTAAAATGTCAAAAAATTTTTTTAAAGACTTTAAAAATATAACATGTAGATTATGTGACTTTATTTTTTTTTCATTTTAATTAAGGACATTATGGTAAAAAAAAATTATGATCCAAAAAATTGATCAACATGACATATTAAGCATTTCAAAATTTTTGAGGAACAAAAAAGATGCAAATGAAAATCTAGACACAGATAAGAGACTATGAGTATTATATAAGGACATATGAATATGTTTAGTCTATTTTTATTTAATACTAATTCTAAAATATGACTTTCGGTGTTTTTTTTTTTTAATTTTTTTCTTATTTTAGTAAAGGAAATTTCAATAAAAAAAATTATGATTGAAAAATTTGATCAAAAAGACAAATTGAATATCTCAAAATTTTTTAGGAACAAATTTAGAGAGATTAAAAATTTAGAAACATATGAGAGATTTTGAGTATTATATAAAGACAAATGGATATATTTACCTTATTTTTCTTTAATACTAATCCTAAATAATGAACACAAAATAAATAAATAAAATATACTGCTTTAATTACCAACCTAGTCTCTTAGGTTCTTGCAAGCAAAAGTTCATGTGGTTTCTTTTACAACTTACGCTATATTTGGATTGGTTGAGAAAAGGGTTTCAAGTACTTTTCTATCCATTCTTCAACTTTTACATCTTTTTCTCTCTATACTTGTTTGTTTTTCTTGATTCATTGAAATTTGATTAGAAATTCAGGATAGTTGTGCCATTAATTTTAATATCTAGCATAGATCCTAATTAATTCATCCTCTTATGTTGATTTTGATATTCAAGTGACCATTTTTGTGATGTATGCATATCTTGAGAAAAAACTTAATAAAAATATTCTAAATTCTTCATAATCCTTGCTTGATGAAGTACTTCAAGCATAAATCACTCTTCAAGTTCAAAAATACATATATATAATCCAATAGTTGTGCTATAAATAAAGATGGCACAACATACCAATTTGATTAACAAGGCACTCAACTTATATAAGTTAATAAAATTGCAACGATGAAAATTTCTCCAGCTCAATCCATCATCATGATCCTCTTATTATCTAACAAACACCATTCATCTTCCTTTGCATGACAAACTTCTTCCAGGCAGTAGTAATCTCTATTGTCTTCTCCCGGTCCCTCTTCTCTTTCTCGTTTGCGGCTTCCTTCCCTTTCTCGAGTTCTCTGATCCTGGATGGCAATGTCTCAAGCTCATGCAGAACCTTTTCGATGTCGATGACAAGACGCTCGGCGAATGTCCGAGAGAAATCTTCTCGGATAACGACCCGCAAAACGGTGACATGTTGAGCATCAGGAGGCATGGTGTAGGCAGGCACAATCCAGCCAAAACGCCTTAACATCTCGGACACCTCAAATTCGTTGTGGTTGCTGTTGTCCTTCAAAGAAAAGGCCACCAATGGAACACCATCGTCTTTCGAGACAATGTTGAACTTCCCTGTCTTCTCTAGTCCTTGTTTAAGCACCAACATGTTGTCTCTGCAATTTTCCATAACATTTCTGTATCCCTGTACGTAAACAAAATTTGTTTTTGTGTTAATTATGGTTTTCTCATGCTAAGTACACTATGATTGATTATGTGCATGTTAGACTCACCTCATAACCCAAGCGAATGAATTGGTAATACTGGGCAATAACTTGACTAGATCCTGCAAAGAAAATCAATCCAAATTGATCAGTTCAGCTTATAATCATGAAAAACTGAAGAAAACGTTACGAATTATGTATGTTTTTCAATATATATACCTTTGGAGAAGTTAAGGGTGAAGGTAGGTTGATCAGCTCCAAGATAATTAATATGGAAAATAAGTTCTTCAGGCAAGTCCTCTTTGTTCCTCCAAATGACCCAACCAATTCCAGCATAGACTAGTCCATATTTGTGCCCACTAACGTTGATACTCTTCACCAACGGCAACCGGAAATCCCACTCGAGTTCTGGGTATATAAACGGTGCAATGAAGCCACCGCTGGCCGCATCGACATGGATCGGAGTATCCCATCTGCAGAAGAAAAAATCCCGGTTAAACAAAATGAGCATTGAAAGCTTTCCCCCCACTATTCTGATCAGCTGAAGTGTTTAAACAAAGAGATTACCCAGTTTTTTTGTTCTTCTTCTCCAAGAGATCGTTCAAGAGCTTGACATCTTCAAATTCACCATTAAGAGTGGAGCCAAGAATAGCAGCAACACAGATTGTGTTCTCATCTACCATTTCCACTGCCTTTTCAGGATCCATCACGTAATATCCATCTCTTAGCTTCACCTCCTTCAACTCCACCTCAAAATACCTTGCAAATTTCTCCCAGCATACCTTCAAGAATGGATCAAAATCACATTGTTTAGTATCATTTTTTGCACATTTTGGTCTAACTTATCATCTAAGCAAGTGGTATTGATCATATTAGAATACCTGAACGTTGGCTCCAGTGACAATGTTAGGCTTATCGAAAGGCTTTCCCTCAGCTTTCCTCTTGTTTTGCCATTTTCTCTTGAATGCTAAACCAGCCAACATTATAGCCTCTGAAGATCCAACAGTTCCTACTCCAACTGCTGTCTCTGAGTCTCCAAGTGGTGCATTGAAGAGATGAGCTATCATGTTAACACATCGATTCTGCATGTAAAAACAATCGTCAAATTCTTGAGCTCCTTCGCAAAACATTGTTCTTCAAAAATTCAGATTATGTACATCACCGTACGTTTGAAATAAATCAAGAATCCAATTTAGATGCCAAAAAAGAAACAAATGCATCATTCAAACTATTCTCAATGGATAGCAATTGCTACCATTCAAAAAAAAAAAAAAAATTAATTCATTAGTCTAAACATATAAATATGAAAATTTGTCAATAAATTAATTTTTCTTTACAATTAAATCACACCAATCATAATAATTTTTTTTTCTTGTTATAGGACAGATAGGAATGTTTTGATTGAATCAGATTCTCCATCGTTTTCATTTCTTGGCATTATATCATGTTCTCTATTAAAGCCCAATTGTACATATTTGTCATATCTATAATATCACAAAGGGAATAAGGTCTCGTCCTTGACATTTTTAAAAAATAAAATGAAAATATATTTAGGAGTAAATTATAAATTAGTCCTTTTAGTTTTAAAAAACAAACAAATTAATTCTTTTTGTTTAAAAATTAATTATTAAGCCTTTTTGTTAGTGTTTGTAGCAATTAATTTAATATTATTTTATTTAAAACAGGTATTATTTTTTCATCAATCCTTTCATTTTTTTTTATCGTTTTCTATTTCTTCAAATAAAAAATTAAACAAAAATCATTAAATTACAAAAAAAGAAATTAAAAAATTAATTTTTGAAAAAAAATTAATTCGTTTCTCGAGAGTTAAGAGACTAATTTATAATTTACTGTTTCACGCAGCTAATTGTGCTGATGTTATTGTTGTTGAAATAAAATCAAATGGCCATCATAACAGGTCCACACGCCTTTGTTCCATCCATTCATCTTTGTCTGGCTAAAGGGACAGCCATGCACTTGTCTTCTGTCCCAACTATTTTGCTGTTTGATGATAAGATAAAAAAAAAAAAAAAAAAAAAAAAGAGAAGAAGAAGAAGGTATTTTTGGACATGGGGCATGCAAGTATTGGTCTAGTAGATGTGATGATAAAAAAAGAAAATGTGTTTTTCGAGTACTGAATGATGAATTATTATGCTGTCGGCAGACATGAATATATTGCAGCTACAGGGGAAAAAAAACATTCAAAGAACATCTTAAAAAACACCATAGAAAGGGGAGACAATATTTTATCAATCATGCAAAATACAAGAATTTGTTTTCATAGAATATTATTAAGTAATGTTAATTTCCCAAAATTATTAACGAAACCCACTTAATTTTACCAAATTGTATTAACATTTTTTTAAAAAAAATAAACGTTCGAAATTCATAACTTTTTAGAATATAGAAAGTAAGGGATTTCTATTTTCTAACTTCTTATGACCGGCAGCTGAGCCAAGACCTTTCGGTTCGGGGCACATGGATGTTAAAGGTCAAAAATTGATTAAGAGGATGGCCCAAGATTGGACAGCTGCAATCCCCGTCTACACTGCCACTAATTCAAAAAATAATTTAGGAACCTTTTTATATATATATATATTCCTAATGAGTATGCTTAGAATTCGGATACCATTAAAAAAATAATTATAATTAATTATTTTTGAATAATAAAAATTAAATTTTAGTTTTAGACCAATCAAAACAATTCTAGTATTGCTAGACTACATTCTTTGATGGGAATGATTTAAGACCTATGACTACAAATTAATGGCTTCAATTTCGGCAACAATCAAGACTAAAGTAATTCAACTTTTCCATTGATTGTAGTCATATTCCACTTGCTTTTTTCTATGTTAGGTGGCTGTTTTCCAATATCTTTTTGGAAACCACTACGATTTGTCATTGACATGGTGGAGAAAGAAATGGTGGGCAAAAAGATGGTAGTCTCATTGGCTTCTTAATTTCCAACAGTAGCACAAAGTTTTTGTGCTTGATCAATGTTCTTGACAACCTAGTATATATTACTTGATATATATATAGGTAGTGAGATAATTAAAACATGTTTAGCTTTTTATCGAATAATAAACTTTATCTTAGAACAAATCATCTCAAATTTAATACTATTAAAGAATAATTATAGTTAATTATTCAAAAATAGTGAAAATTTCATAAATCAAAACAGTTCTCTCGTTGGTAGAACACATTCCTTAGTTTTATGTTGCTTGATTAATATTCTTAACTATTATTGTCAAGTTAGACGGTGCATGGAGACCCACTAGAAGCTTAGTAATTAAGAAAAGCGTATGGAATAAATAAGAGTGACAAGCAAATATGGGGATACTTTGAAAAGGAAATTTTCTTTAATCATTATATCCCCAAAGAAAAATTAAAACCCCACTTTGTAACGTGGCTGATCGAAGCCTACGGATTGAGAAGTGAATATTAATATTTACAGATAATAAGATATTTTTAAATTAATTTTTACATCAATCAAAATTATGTTTATTATTTTCTAAACTAAATTGGTATTAAATCAAAACGTGTTTAGATTAAATTTTCTTTTAAATCAAATCAGTCTAAATTTATCACTATTTCTCTTCCGTCGTATTTGTTTTCCTACAAGAGTATTACTAGAGATCCTCTTTTTTTCTGATTATAAAGAAAAAGTTTGAAATTGATTTTTTTTCTTTTTGAAAGAGATGAGGCATAAGTATGAATCGATGAATCTTGTATGTGTTCCTAACCTAAGAAAAGAATTTGTCCATATTTTGAAAGGAAATGGAAAGAGATGGATTGGTCTAATTTTCAAGGCATCTAATATAATAGTATTTCTTTCACGGAAAGTTTGCCAAAGAATTCTTCCTATCTATATTAAATCATGTCCTTCCATCCCAAGAAAAGAACCTATCACTTCAGATTACAGGTCAACAGTAAATTAATTAACCATGGTTGTGCCCTAAGCCCTATGTCATTTTCTTTGAAATATTCCCACTTCCAACCTAAATGTATAATAATTTATGTTATTAATTAATAGTAAGAAAGAACTACCGCAGTTAAAACAAACCAATCCAGTATTTCACCGCATTTGAGCTAAATCTAGGGCAGTAAATTATGGATTAGCCTCTCTAGTTTTCCAAACGAATCGAATAGTCCTTTTAATTTGAAAAACTAATTAATCAATCCTTATATTTTAAAATAGAGTCTAAAGAAATTGGTCTAATTTTAAAATCTATTTGTAACTTAATTTTTTTTATATATTTTTTGAGTAAATAATCATGAAATTAAACACAAATTCTTTAGTTCATATCTTTCGAATGAAAAAGGAAATAGAATTCTGGACTTTAAGAAAGAAATAAGGGAGAGGGAAGAAAATGACAGCCTACATTAGTGGCCCTTTTTCAATAGAGTAATATTAAATTAACAATAACCAATTCTGATTAAGAAACTATTTAATTACTTTTTTTAAAACAAGAGGGATTATTTAATTTGTTTTGCAAAACTAGTGGGACTAATTTATAATTTACTAAATCTGGTGGGATGCATATGATCTGTCAAAATTTATTTAGTTTCGAAGAGTTGAAAACATTATCATAATCTGACCGTTAAAATAAAATAGTAGCAAAAAATGGTGATGACTTGCCTGAAGCTCAGTGGTGACAGGGTATTCATCCATGTCAACGTAGTTTTTGTTGATAGAAGCCATGATAAGCTTATCACATTCAGGCTCCATCCATGTGGTCACAAATGATGCCAGGTTAAGCCTAGGGTTCCCATCCAGCATCAACTCATCGTTTATGATCTGGAAAGCAGCGTCCTTTGGGATCGAATTCTCCTGCATCTTGAACCTAACCAAAACACAGAAACACCATTTATATTGTCAAATCTGAAGGACATATATGATAAAAAAATGGAGGAGAACATGATGAACAAGATGATCAGAGATTAACTGTACCTGGGAAGTGAAGCTCTAACATATCTAGAGGCAAAGGTTGAGTGAACAGAGACATCAGATTCAGAAGCTGTCTTGGAGAGAACCATGGTGATCAAGGGAAGTGTGAAGAGTTTTTGAGATGGGAAAGAGTCAAGAATGAAAATGTGTGAGTAAAGGGAGACCGATGGCGAGGTTTTTATGGAGGAGGAAACTGGAAAGGAAGGAATGGTCATTGGTCAAGTCCAAAATGAGGAGCCCAAACAATTGTGCATCCATCCTTTTCTTCTGATAAAAAATTAATTAACAGGGTGTCCATCATCATGAGCATCATCCAATGTATGGGATAATTGGATATAAGTATGCTATTTTTTTAATAATTTTTCAATTAAGTATATAAATTTTAATTTGTTTTAGTACATTAATTTTGTTTAAAATTATTAATCAAGTATTTTTCATCCAATTACAAATTACTTGTTTTTTTAAAAACAATTAAATTACAATTTGACTTTTCATTTTTGGAGAAAAATTTTTATCCCATGTTATTCTGTCCTCTTTTAATTTTTAAATATAAGAAAAAAATGGGTATTGACTATATAAAAAGTAGAAAATGGAAAAATAAATTTTTTTAAAAAAGTTCTCTTCAAGAAGAAGGAAATAGAAAAATCATAATTTAGTGGTATTAAAAAAGAAAACAGGCCATCAGAAAGTGGAGTAATTGATAGAAACTAGTGGAAAAATACTGATTGATAATTTTTTTTTGAAAAAAAATCAATATATTCAAACGAAAAAAATAAAACTCATGTATTTAATTGAAAAAAATATTAAAAATTGATGTACTTATCTTACAATTATCCTTCCATTGGATGGTTCCTAGCTAGAACCCAATATCATCGTGCCTTTTGTTTAATACAATTGGCCATTTATTACCATTATTTTTCTGTTACACTGAAGCTTCCATCTTTTAATATCATTTTCAAACTACAAGGAGTGGTTCACCATTAGGAGTTTTGGACCTCCACTAGCTAGGAGGTTCAAGGTCAAAATCTTCTTTTTGACGCCTTTTTTTTTTTTTTTCCCACCACAAGACTCATGCCTACTTTTCTCTGATTTCTAAAATATAGAGAGTTTGGAATTTTCAATTTTAAGATTAATTTGTTCTTATTATTGAAAGCAGTTGAAGGATAGTCAATTTTTGAATTAAAAAAAAAAAAAGAAGTCATTTTCAAAGATGTATGAGGAAATAAGTTTGCCTACAAAGAGATGAAAGAAAGGTCATCAATTAGTCTAAATAATTAATTATGCATTATCTTTCCATAAGTTTGCCTAAAGAAAGATGAAAGAAAGGTCATCAATTAGTCCAAATAATTAAATTATGCTTAATCTCTTTATAGAAAAGAGGATTATGTGTTAAAGACTTTGGAAAGCAAATATATTTTAAGTTTTTTATTATAAATTAGTCCCTTTAATTTTATGACATGAATTTAACAATCCTTTTAGTTTTAAAAACTAATTAATTAGTCTCTGTGTTTTTAAACATATTCGTAACTTAATCCTTTTGTTCTGTTTTAACTTTTTTATTTATTTTCAAATAAAAATAAAAGAAAACAGAAGTTTTCCATCCATCATTGCAAATAATTTTCAAAGGCATGGGACTGCTTCAATTCAATCTTCCAGAGTTAAATTGTGAATTTGATAAGAAATTTCTAAATCTGTGGTTCCGTGGGGAATATATAGTATTTTATTTGGTCTACAAAGTCTTGCTAGCTTGGAATCCAATAATCTGATCCGTTGACGTTCCTACCGGTACCGGTAAGACTTCCGATAGCCCTTTTCTTTTATGAATCACAAAATTCTTTCTTTATTTTTTTCCCTATAGTACAAAACGTAGGACCATAGGCTCTGGACCGTAGTGGGCAAATTATCGAAACAAATGTACTCGATCTCAGCACGTTTTATTTATACAAGGAAAAATAAATAAAGAAAACTCCAATGCTTACAAAAATGGAGGATACAAACCCAAGAAAGAAAGAATGAAAGTAATTAATCCACATTAAACAATTATCTAACCAATGAGATGCTTGATTTGAACCAGATTAACAAAATTGTACTGATCTTGCAGGTCGGTGTAGACCTGCACCCACATGCTAGGACTGGAAAAGGAATGGTAGTTAGAATTAAGATAATTGCACTACAAGTATAATATAGTTTAATGTTTTTTTAATGTAATATATAAATTTTAATTTTTTATTTTAAATATATTAATTTTTTTTAAATTACTAATTTAAGTATTTTTTATACAAGTTCTGCCTTTTTTTTGAGTTATCTGATGATGTGTTATTTGTCTTAAATGATTAAATTATGACTTTTTTTCTTTCGTTTTTTTTTAAAAACTTTTTCTTTCAAATTATTTTGCTTTTTTCCTTTTGTACATTAAATGTCCAAAATTATCCTTATATTCTAAAATAATTTGGAATGAAAGTTTCCTCCAAAAATAAAAGGACAAAATCATAATTTAGTAGTTTGAGATAGTAATATCTTCAACTTAAAATCCTCTTTGAATGTAATTGTATTGTAAGAATATTTTATTTAATTAATAAAAAAATATTTATTAAATGTGAAGAATTGAAGTTTATACTTGTATTAAAGATAAATAAAAAACGAGTATAATTATAATTAAAATTTAATGGAACGAATAACGGATGAATTAAAGATTGATACTCGTTAATTGTTATGGTTTCACCTATTCAGTCTAGAGATGTAATTGTAAAATCTAAGGACGTAATTATTATGGTTATGCTTCTAAAATGATAGAAATCACATTCTCAAACATAGAAAATGTGAAAAAATAATAATTATTCTAATCTTTTATTTTTAACAGTAAATGGATTCACATATCTTTATTTTTACTAAATATAACAAAAATGCTTTAGGTTCTTACTAAAATGATTTAATATTATATACGTATATATATTATGTAATTTGTTAGAATATATATTATTTTAGTTGGTGGTTATAATTAATATAATATGAATGTGTTTATGGGCATAAACATTTATAAAAAAAAAGAAAAAAGAAAACATTATAAATTGCCAAATTAAATAATTTGGTTTTTAATTACAATATAAAATTGTTTAAATTCCTTATAAATTTTCAGTACGAACCAAATACTATAATTACATATTATAAAAAATATATATTTTCAACCAAACACAAATTGTTATATATATATTTATAGCAAACTACATTCTGAGCAATCGCATTCTATAAGGACATCTAAAAATATGCATACAAGAAGTGTGAAATGTTGTTGAGATGGGAAGGAGTCAAGAAAGAAAATGTGTGAGGAAAGGGAGACCTATGCGAAGGTTAATATGGAGGAGGAATGGTCAAGTCCAAAAAGAAAACTCCCAGAAAATTGTGCATGCGTCCTTTTCTTTTGATAAAAAATTAATTAACAGGTTGTCGATCATCATCAGCATCATCCAATGGATAGGATAATTCCACATAAATATGTTATTTTTTAATATTTTCTTAATATAAATTTTAATTTTATTTTATTTGAGTACATTGATTTTTTTTAATAACTGTTAATAAAGTATTTTTCATCTAATTTTTGTCAATTGTTTCTTTAACTAATTAAGTGTTCTTTGCCTGAACTATTAAATTATGATTTTGACATTTTATTTCTAAAGGAAAATTTCCTGCCACATTATTTTGTCCTCTTTTACTATTTACTATATAAAATGTAGAAAATGACAACATATTTTTTTCTTAAAAAAGTTATCTTAAGAAATGAAATGGCAAAATCATAATTTAATATTATAGAAAAGAGAAAATATCATCAAATAGTGGAGTAATCTATAGAAATGAGATGAAAAATATATGATTAAATTTTTTTAAAAAAATCAAAATATTCAGACGAAAAAAATTAAAACTCATATATTTAATTGAGAAAATATTAAAAATTATTATACTAATCGGACAATTATCCTTCCATTGGATGGTTCCTAGCTAGGACCCAATCTCATCGTGCCTTTTGTCAAACACGGTTGGCTTTTTAATAATAATAAAAAAAAATTATGTACTTTATGCAAATAAGATCCTTCTTTTGGAATAAGGAGCTGTTCATGGACTTGGATTTTTGGTGTGCTTTGATTGAAGTTGTGGTGGTTATGATTAATTTAACTGGTAATTTATCCCTTTCCCCTTTATTAACATCATTTTCTCCATTACACCGAAGCTTCCATCTTTTAATGTCATTTTCAAAGATGTATAAGGAAATAAGTTGCGTAAAGAAAGATGAAAGAAAGGTCACCAATGAGTCTAAAATAATTAATTATGCATAATCTTTCAATAAGTTTGCCTAAAAAAAATAAACAAGAAAAAAAACCAATAAGTTATTGGTCCAACAATAAATAAATTAGTCTTCAAATAAATTTTTTATCAATAATCAGGATTTGAATATTGTCGTTTTCACTTAAACAGGACTAGTCCTATATTCAATATAAAATAATGATATCTGAATAAAATTAAAAAAAAATATTCATTCAAATAATTAATTATCTTTTAATAAGTTTGCATAAAGAAAGATCATCACTCAGTCCAGATGATTAAATTATGCTTGATCTATCTATAGAAAAGAGGTGGTCCAAATCATTCATACTTTTCACCGATTTGAACATAAAAAATTCAATGGTTTCATTCAATAATGGAATACAATTGGCTTTTTGCCTTTTTTATAGGCAAATGGGAACGTGTCTTGGAATCTGTAGTATTTGTTGGACTTTGGCAAATATACTTTTAGTGTTTGATTATAAAGTAGTCTCTTTAGTTTCATAATAAGATTTAAATAATCCTTTTAGTTTTTAAAACTAATTAATTAGTCATTCTGTTTTTAAATCTATTTATAGCTTAATCATTTATTTATAAAAGAAATGATTTTTATTTATGACAATAAAAAAGATAGTTTAATGAAATTTGTTTAACCATATCTTATCTATGTAAATTTAATTTCGATTAATATAAAAATTAACTCGAAAATACAGACACGTGTATATATAAGAAGTTTTCCATCCATCATTGCAAATAATTTTCTAAGGGAAGGGACTGCTTCAATTCAATCTTCCAGAGTTAAATTGTGAATTTGATAAGAAATTTCTAACTCTGTGGTTCCATAGGGAATAGTATTTAATTTGGTCTACAAAGTCATGCCACCATGGAATCCAATATTTAATTCCATGGACCGATATTTATTAGACCCCACCGGTTTTGTTTCTTTTTTCACTCAATAGATCTATCAAATTTTGAAGTAAATTATAAATTAGTACTCTCTATTTTTAAAAATATATATTAATTAGTCCCATTATTTCAAAAAGTAATTATTTAGTCTTTTTGTTCATTTTATGTTCTTTTTCTAATTTTTTAAATAAAAAATATAAATATTATGGAGAGATTAACGAGAAAAAAATATTTCTTAAAATAAAATAATATTAAATTAAACATGATCAATACTGAATAATAGACTAAATATTTAATTTTTAAACAAGAGGGATCAATCAATTTGTTTCTCAAAATTAAGAGATTAATTTATAATCTACTCCAATTTTTTAGAAACCCAATAAAATTGGATAGCCCCTCTCTTTTATGAATTACAAATTCTTTTTTTCTTCCCATAGTACAAAACTAGATTTTTTACCCGCATTACGTTGCGGATTGTATAAAATATATAAAATCATATAGAAAAATTATTTCAGTTTAATAATCTGTTTTATGATAAAAAATAATTATAATTTTTAAATGAAAAAAATTATATTTAACTATTTCTTATTTGTGTTTTTCAATTTTAGAAATAAATAATAAAGCAAATAAATTATTGATTTCTTTAAAATTTTAACACCCAATTAATTGTTGGTTCTTTTAAAATTTTAAAACCTAATATTATTAAGAAATTAAAATTAAAAAAAAATTCAATGTTTAGGAAAAAAAAAAAGGAGGCCAGCCGTTTACTCGTTCATGTGAATAGTAAACAAACGAAAATTAAAAAAAAAATAGCGTTTAGAGAAAAAAAAAGAGAGCAAGCCGTTTACCATTCAAATGAACAATAAACGGGTAAAAAGGGGGGAGGGGGAGGCCAGCGGGTGCTGGAAAAAAATGAAAACTTAAAAAATAAAAAAAGCCAAAGTAATATAGCAATGAATAGTGATTAACATTGTTGATTGCTACAGATGAAAATGGTTTTTCTTTAATATATAGTATTAGATTTTTTACCTGCTCTATGCTGCGGGTTGGATAAAATATATAAAATCGTTTATAAAAATTATTTCAATTTAATAATCTGCTTTATGGTAAAAATAATTATAATTTTTTAATAAAAAATTTTGTATTTAACTATTTCTTATTTTTTAAAAAAAATTAAAAATAAATAATAAAGGAAATAAATTGTTGGTTTCTTTAAAATTTTAACATCCAATTAATTATTGGTTCTTTTAAAATTTTCTATTAAGAAACAGAAATTAAAAAAAAAATTCAATGTTTAGGAAAAAAAAAGGTGCAAGCCGTACTGTTCATGTGAACGAATGGAAATTTTTTTAAAAAACTTAAATGTTTACAAAAAAAAAAAAAAAAGAAGGAGAACAGTAACGGATTGTTGGGTGGGGTGGGGCGTGGGGTCTAGGCAAAAAAAACTAATGAAAATTAAAAAAAAACACTGTAGTAAATAAACAGTGATTTACACTGTTTATTGCTACAGTAAAACTCATTTTGCTTTAGTATATAGGATAATGTTGGACCATAGGCTTTGGACCGTAGTGGGCAAATTATTGAAACAAATGTGCTCGATTTCAGCACGTTTTATACAAGAAAAAATAAATAAAGAAAACTTCAATGCTTAAAAAGATGGGGGATCCAAGCCCAAGAAAGTAAGATATAATAATAAAATTAATTGATCTACGATTAAACAATCATCTAACCAATGAAATACTTGATTTGGACCAGATTAAACAAAATTGTACTGATCTTGCAGATCTGTGTAAACCTGCACCCCACATGCTAGGATCGGAGAAGGATAGGTTGTTAGAATCAAGATAATTGCACTATATAAGTATAATGTAGTTTGATACCTTTTCAATCGAGTATAGAAATTTTGATTTTTTTCAGAATATATTAATTTTTTCAAAATTATGAATTAAGTATTTTATTTCCATTTTTTTTAATACTATTGAGTTAATTAATGATGTGTTATTTATCTTATACGATTAAATTATGATTTTTTCCTTTCATTTTTTCAAAAAACTTTTCATTCCCAATTATTTTTCTTTTATTTTTTCTTTTTGATATAGTAAATATCTAAATTGTCTTTGTATTCAAGAAGTAAAAATAATAAAATAACTTGGATTGAAAAGTTCTTTCCAAAAATAAAGAGATAAAATTGTAATTTAGTAGTGTGAGACAAAAGACGAGTTATCACATAACAGAGCAATTATAAAAAGTTGAACATAAATATTTGAGTGATAGTTTTGAAAAAAATAAATAAAATAAAATTCACGTATTCAATTGAAAAAATATTAAAAGTTGAAATACTTATAATGTAATCGTCAATATACATTTTCTTTTTCCGAGATGAAGATGGTGCATGTACCGAATGAAACAACGAGTAAATTATAAATTAGTCATTTTTTTTTGAGAAACAAATTAATTATTACCTCTTATTTTAAAAATTAATTATTTAATCCTTATGTTTTGAAATCTACTTATAATTTAGTTCTTTTTCTCATTTTTAATTTATTTTGACTTTTTGTTATAAGAAATAAAAAAATAAAAAAATGTATAAATGAAAAAATAAGGGATTTTATGAAATAAAAATAATATTAAATTAAACATGATAAATGTTGATTAAATAATTAAATAATAGTTTTTAAAATGATCAATTAATTTGTTTCTTGAAACTAGAGGGACTAATTTATAATTTATCCTTGAAACAACCTAGGCGAGTGAAGTCATCATACAAACGTGAACCTGTCTCCTATGAAGATCACAAGATTTAACTTCCAAACAAACTTGGGAGAATATATTTAATTTCTAATAAATTTGTATATGATATATCTTGATTGGTAAGAAAAAATAATTTTAATTTTAATACGCAAAGAATAATTCGAAAATGTCATCCCACTATAGAATATAATAATGATCATGATTTTGTTTTTTATTCAAGTAATCACGATCATGATGAAAATGATATAAAATTCTGATTTAATTTTATTTAATAATTTTTCATTTGTTGAACATCAAGTAGTTATGACTTATGAGTGCCAAGTTGGCCGATAATAGATGAAAAGTTCAAAAGAAAAAGGAGTGGTTGATGAAGTTTTGGCTACTATTTTTCTTGATATTTTAGAGAGAGTGAGAGAGCTTGCTTATCGTGGATTGGAGTTAGCAAAGATGACAAGAATAAATTATAAATCAGTCCTCTTAGTTTAAAAAATGAACTAATTAGTCTTTTAAGTTTCAAAAGCTATTGTTTAATTCTTTGATATGTGTTGACGATATTTAATTTAATATTATTTTTATTTAAAAAAATTATTTTCTCAACAAATTTTCTATATTTTTTCATTTCTTAAAAAGGATAAAAACAACTAAGTTAAAAGTAGATTTAAAAACATAAAAGCTAAATAATTAGTTTTTAAAACAAAAAAGACTAATCGATTTATTTTTCAAAATAGGAGGGACTAATTTATAATTTACTCAAGAAGACAAAGGGCTAAGATGCCAAAAAGGAGCAACACCATACGCATTATAAGGGCAGCTGCTTGAAAACTCTATTCAACCAGAAAAAGAAAATATTTTGCTAATTGAATTGGTCCCTCTCATTTTGGGAATTGAATCACTTTCCGTGAAACAATGAAGACGTAAAGTTGTTCATTATAAATTAGTCCCTCTTATTTTTTTTAATAATTAATCCCTTCATTTTAAAACAAACTAATCATTTAGTCTCATATTTCTATATCCACTTGTCAATTTATAATTTTGTTTTTTCTTTTTCTTTTGCTATTTTTTCAATTTATTTTGATTTTTTATTTTAAAAAATAGAAAAAAATTAGGAAAGTTTAATGAGAAAATTTTTTTTCTGTGGAATCAAATAATATTAAATTAAGCATAATGGTCTAAGAATTAAATAATAGTTTTTGAAATAAAATAGACTAATTTATTAGTTTCTTAAGACTAGAGGGACTAATTTAAAATTTACTCGTGAAAAAATAATTTTTTTTGTTAATTCTTTTATATTCCTTACTGGGCCTGGCTCAAAAGAAATTATCTAGGGACTAGTGTAGTAGCCCATAGTCTTTTGCCCAAAAACTCTTAGGCCCATATCCTACTGGAAGCCCATAAAGTCAGACTCTAGAATCCTCACAGATTTTTAAAAAACTCGGACCGTTCTTCAATTTTTTTGAAAAACACAGTACCACGGTTACCTAGCCGCCAAAACAAGCGGCGCGCCACCACCACAACCGCCCATCACAAAAAAAATGACCTTCAAACAAAACTTCATGCTTCTTTTAACAACCAAAACCAAACTTTTACTACTAACAGCAACCACTGGCACCGCGGCCTTCACTCTCTACACAACAACCACCACCGATTCCTTCCCTAGCAAAATCACCTCTCCAATCCACGCCGTCCTTCGCTCTTCTCGCGCAATCTCCACCGTCTGTACACTCCTCCTCTATCTGTAAACTAATTACTGAATTAATCATGTTTTAATCATTTTTATTTTTGGTGACAGATTGCATTAACCGTCGGTGATTACAAATTCTCTCTTCGTAACCTACCTGTGAACTCTGATTCTTATTATCAGAAATTATCTGAGGTAAATGAAGTTAATTTTATTTATTTATTTTTGTGTTAATTTTTGATTTAGTTAATAATTTCAAGTTTTGATTATGATTGAATTTAATTAATTAAGGTACATTTACGATCGGCGAAGAGGATATTGAAATTATGTGAAGAAAATAAAGGGTTTTATGTGAAAGCTGGACAATTTGTTGCTTCATTAAAGCAAGTACCAAAGGAATACTCTTTGATTCTTTCTTCATTGCAAGATCAGGTCTTAAATATCGATTTTGATTTTTTTTTCTTAATTGTTGTGTTTTTTGTGTGTGCGTATGCCTGCATGCGTGTGCTTAGTTTTGGTTTTGAAGACTTTTTGTCTGTATAGAAGGCTAATTTTTTGCTCATTCATAATGTAGGCAGTTCCTTGTAGTTTCAAGGATATAAAACAAGTGCTTGAAAGCAATTTGGGTCTAGATTTAAAGAAGATGTAAGTTTCAATTTCAATTTTTTGTTTTGTTGAGATGTTGAAGGTGAAAATGAGTTGTTGAGTTGTGGATATTATTTTTTCTTATGTCAATGTCAGTTTTTTGTCGTTTGATGAACAACCGATAGCTGCTGCGTCAATTGCACAAGTGCATCATGCAATGTTGAAAGATCATCAAGAAGTAGCAGTCAAGGTTCGTTGGAATCAGTTTTAGTTAGTTAACTTATCTTGGTTTGGGTTTTTCTTTAGCAACTACATGATTTTTGTGAATTAAATTGGGAAGTTTAAAGATGTTTTTAACTGGTGATGATGCAATCCATTTACACCATTGATCCTTTCATAACGTGTTTCAAATTTTATATACGACTGTCTTTAGTTTGTTGAATCTTTGCTTACTTTCCAATATTAAAGCTGTATGTGACTGTATGAATGCTGGGATTCTTCTTCTCTTTCTTTCCTTTATCTGTTTTTACCTTTTGAAATGTAAACTCTTTGCCATACAGTTTTGTATTGGATATATTGGATCTTGCTTCATATTTTGAACTTGATCCATCATTAAATATCCAAATTTGCTGAAAAGAAACTTGATATCATCGTGATTCGATTCTTCCAACAAAGGTGATAATTACATTGGGAGAATCTATTTGATGCTCTTTGATGAATGTGGATCATCCCCTTCCCAAACCTTCTTTATAAATGTTTGAACATTTTCTTGTTTCTCGAAACTTTTGTGGATGCTTGTGAGTTATGTACTTGATTGTAACATGCTTCTCTTTTTCTGCATGTAGGTACAGTACCCTGGTTTAGAACGCCTGATGAAGATAGACATAACCACTATGTCATTTCTTTCAAAATCCGTTGCATGGGTGCGTGATAAAATTATCTTGACAATTAAATTATATCTGTGTTGCATCATAGTGTTATCATCTTTATGTGAAGTTAGATTGCGGATGGTAAATCACACGATTATGCATAAAAATAAATAAAATAAAGAGACTAATGTTGATGAAATTGTAGTCAATGTTCTAGCCCTTTGATGTGTTAAGCTCCAGAGGGGTTTCTTTTAGGAGAAGATAATATTCAACACATCTGAGTTCTCTTTAATCTTTAATCTTGAATATGAATATGTCTTCTTTTTCTTTTTGGATGACAGTTTATTCTCCAGTTTTTTTTTTCTTTATTTTCTTTTTGTGCATATTTCACGTGGGAGGTTTCACTTCCTGATTAAATTATACTCCTTTTATTTTGATGAATGATCCACTAGCTTAAAGTTATCTTTTCTTTTTATTCCCTATCTTTTCCACAGCTTTTCCCTGATTATAGATTTAACTGGCTGGTAACAGAATTCAGAGAGGTTATTTCTTCAGAACTTGGTGAGTGGTATTGGTTTGCTTATTTTATGCATTTTTAATCTCCTTGATTGACACTTGAAGAACTTGTGTAACTTCTTCACTGCGTGCATTCTTCATATTCCATTTAATCTTATTTCTCAAAGGGAGAAGCATTGGAGAAATTGTCTGCAACAAAAGAAGTGCATGCTATATGATATTCCAACCTAACGTATTCAACTGTTTAGAAAGGTGTAGGTTAGTTAACTTTTTTTTTTAAAAAAAAACGAAATTTATTGGACCCCCTTGCCATCATGTGACCAACCAATGGTTTACTGCTTGTAGTGGATTTCTCACACATAGTGGTTCCTGTAACTCTGTAAGACACTTTTGAGTTCTCTCATACAGACAATTCAAACATCTTATGCACCAATTTAAGAGTTGTTCTAAGTTCAGCAAAACAGGGTCTTTACATGCTTTAAACACAGACCATTATTGATGTATTTAGTATCCTAGCATCAGTGGTTTGCTTATTTCACTTTATTTGAGAAGATGAGGGTACACAAAAAAATGTCAGTTTTGCCATTGTCTAGGGATAACTGGAAAGATATGATTTTTCACTTTTCCAAGTTCTACAGATTTCATTCAGGAGGCAAGAAATTCCGAGAGAACTGGCAAATACTTTAAAAAAAACAAGAGCGTCAGGATTCCTCATGTTTTTTGGGTAGGATGGTTGGGGTTTCCCTTTACCAACAGCTCATTGTCAAATTATTTGTGCTCAATGGTAAATTTATTTCTGAGGACCATATAAATTTTTCCAGGAGTTAACCACACATCAGGTTTTGACGATGCAATTTTGTTGGGGGCAGAAGGTATGGATTTTGAACTTGCTGCATCTGTCTTATGATTAGGATTCCATTGATCTTTGAAGGTCTATTTCAGTTCTCTCTAGGCTTTCAATTCTTTATGGGACTGCCAGTCATGTATTACATGGCTTGGCCAACAAAATGGGTTCCACAAGCATGTCAAGGGCCAAAACTTAATTGCTAAGATAGCCAGAGTTTTTTTTTTTTTTTTTTTTGAGAGGAGGCACTAATTCTAACAAATAGAGGTTTATGACTCCAATCTGCACACTCAACTAAAGGTTCTGGGACCAATTACAGGAGAAGTACTGGGTACTTAGCTCGTTTTTCTAAATTTTGATGGTGTTAAAGTTCAAGATTTTAAACAATCATTTTAAACAACAATTACAATATAGCATAACTGATGAAAAATTCTTCCATGATGAACTGTTGGCAGCTTCCTGAGTGGAACTTTCCACTGCCGGTTAAATTCAAGGCCACTTTGTCTCAGAGTTGTCCAAAAAATCTATTAAAATGTACAAATTATAAGGGGAGCACTGTTCATAGTGTCGCTTTTGAAATATAATTGTTTCTTTTAATTGGTCTCCATGTTATTATGAGGCTTTTGGCTTGACTTCTATGTGCTATTTATTAACAGGATGTTCCTAAGATTGCAGGTTGATGATGTGGAATTTATGAAGGAAATGGGAATAAATCCTGTAAAGGTTGGTTTCATGAGTCCCTTTTGGGTTGGTTTTTCTCTAAATTTATAACCCATATTTAGTTCCCTGCACCTGAGATTGCTTATAAATGTGCACAAATTGAGGATATGTTGTTTATTGTGTGGTTAGTCATGATGCATCATTGCAACTCACTAAGGATGATGCTGACTAAATTAATTTATTTGACGTATCTTCCCTTAGTTTGTATTTTAGGTTGCAAAAGCATTGGTGGAAGTCTTTGCTGAGATGATATTCATTCATGGTTTTGTGCATGGAGATCCGCACCCTGGAAATATATTAGTTTCTCCAGAAGGTCCAAATGGCTTTTGTCTGGGTATGTCTTGATTAATGAATTATCATAAACAAATTCTCATTTGCAAAAACAGCTTGTAGTACGAAATTGTTCCACTATGCACCTGTTATGAATGAACCTTGCAGTTATTTTAGATCATGGAATCTACAAACAATTGGATGACGAATTTAGACAAGACTACTGTCAGCTGTGGAAAGCTATGATTATTCAAGACTCACATAAAATACAGCAGCTTGGCGAACGACTTGGTGTTGGGAAGTATGCTAAATACTTCCCCGTCATTTTTCTTGGAAGAACCATCAACAGGTGATCTTTCTTTTTTAATCTTTTCGCAGTGTGATGATAGAGTTAATTGTTGAATTATTTTGCAATTAAATACAGATTTTTGTCTATAATATCATTGTTGATCATTGTGGTGATGAGTGATGGTGGGGTGATCATTGAAGTCTTCTTGATGATGTGGAGTGGTATCAGGGACTGTTGTTGTGGAGTTGCATTTTGTGGTAAACTTTTATTGATGTGCTACAGTATAGCACCAAGTATGCAATTCCATAATTAACCAGGAAACTGGGGTTTTATGATTCCTAAGTATTTAAGATTGTTACCTGACTTAGTTCTACCTTTCTCTCTTAATTCTTTCATCAACACCTGATACTTGCGCTCCATGTGTTACTCCACAATCTCCCCACAAATACTCATTTTCTTTCTCTTCATTTCGTCCTTACTAATTGTGCATTATTCCACGGCCAATGGCCCCACTTTAGGATACTCAAAAAAAAAAAAAAAAGACCAGAATTGAAACTTAGTTACACTGATCTATTATTTTCTTGTGAGTTAGCATTGCTTATCATATAATGGAGATCTACTGGCATTTTATCATTGAAGAATTAAATTACAGACCTAATTGCGCTTGGTTCATACAACAGTAAAGCAATTCTCGGAAAAGGGATGTCAAATGAAGAAAAAAGTAGCTTAAATCAGGAGTTGAAGTCTTTGAAAGTGGAGGACATATTTTCTTTCATGGAATCTCTACCACCTGACTTTCTCACTATATTGCGCACCGAGTAAGAAAAGTTCAATTTTACAAACCAATTACTTCTGATGAAGTAGCTAGCTTCACAGCCCTTACTATTCAGTTGTTCTTTTGCAGTGGCCTCCTCAGGTCAGTCATTAGGAAATTGGGTGCTCCACAGCATGTCAGGCTATTAGCCTATGCGAAGTATGCAATATGTGGCCTATCTTCAAAGTCGAATCCTGAATCTGGTAGGTTTTTGAAAAACATGCCCTAAATGAAGGGATCTTTACTCACTTTTCATTGCCATTGATGACGAGTTTCAGCTTATGTTTATCATTCAGATTCTGCAATGAGAGTTGCTTTCTCCAGATTAAGAACAAATGCCAGTTATCTTCAGCTCCGGCTTTTTCTCGGTAAGAACGCCATAACTCATAAATAACCCTCTAGAGGTCTAGTTTAGACAACTGGAATTACAGGTTTTTCTTCTTTTGCAATTATAGCGGGACTGCAGCTGCTTTTCTGGATGGAGAAGGTCAAGCAATTTCTATATACATTGTATAGAAAATTGTTAGTGTTGCAGTGCCAAGGGTGACCACCACCCCGCCCCCCATAAAAAAAAAATTGCAGATTTTTTGGCCTCCTGACACTAAGAAGCATTCTATTCTGTTGAAATGGCTTCTTTATAAACTTGTTAATTGTCATATTTTTGTTAGCTGCAATTTATGTCTGACGGGATGGTTGAGATTTTGATTTGATAAAACAATCAAGGGTTATGGAATTAGCTTCAGATCTTGAGCTAAACTAATCATATAGTGCCACTCGATTGAAAGAGGACAGAAATGAACCCATAGAGGCCAAAAAGGAAAAGAGAAGCCATGCCACTTATTATTAACTAGAATGAAAAGAATATATATATATATATATATATATATATATATATATGTATATATATATATATATAGTTTGAGACTAAGAAATAAGGATACTTTTATTAATTTTGTTAGCAATTTGATCCTTTATTTGTTTGGTTCTCAAAATCTTCATAAAAAATATTTTGATCTCTACTTTATGAAATTTATGCAATCGAATCTTTACTTTCTTTCAAAAAAATCATGAATATTAATAAAATATAAATAAATATCCATAATTTTTTACTCTTTTCCAGTATAATATCCATTAAACATTTTTAATGAATAATTCTTTTTATCAGTACATGTTCCTTTTTTCTAAAAAAAAAAAAAATCATAAATATTAATAAGATGTAAAATAAATATCTATACTAAAATATCATATTAACAGATATATATATATATATATATATATCTATTCCACAATAATATTCATTACAAAATTTTAATGAATATTTCTTAGAACGAATAAAACAAACATTTTCTACTCATTACTATCACTATCTAGATACTGTCTTCTTAACCTATTGTTTTGATTCCATGAGCTGATGAAGATCCCATCAAAATGCATATTCTTGAACCTTATTATTTCTTCTCTTCTCTTTTTTTCATTTAAGACGATTGAAGTTTATAGCTATTCGATTTCTTTATTGATTTATATTCAGCTAGCATCCATGCAAAAGGGATCCGTGGCGCAATGGTAGCGCGTCTGACTCCAGATCAGAAGGTTGCGTGTTCGATTCACGTCGGGTTCAATTCCCTTAATATCATCCCAGCTTTTGCACATATCTGCAAAAGTCATAATATACAAAGTGGTATTTCCACTTTCGTTCTTTTAAAACTCAATCCTCCCTCATAGTTTTTGAAAAATCACAATTTGAGCTGCTTGATTTTCATCCTCACAATTTTAGCAATTTTAGTGGCATACAACGTAAGATACATGATTCGAGAATAATTCGAGATTAAAAACAGTGAGCGAGGTATTCAACATCAAACAAGAACGACATTATTAGAAACCAGAAACCCTAGTAAAGCACAAAAAACCATAGATTTGATAGAGTACATTACGTATTAGTACCGATAAATTTTGGAGAATTGCCCATGTTGGCCATGCATCTGAGTCTTGTAGTTAACTTCCCTAAATTTATTTGCTATCCTCTCCATGGCATTATCAAGTTTATCCGCACCAGGTGGATGCTTTCCACTCACAGAATTGTACACCCACAGTAATGTTGCCATAGCTGCCATGCCACTCCCACCTGAGAAAAGGAAGCCAGAGATGATCAAGGACGTGACTATCCCAGCTAGGACTAGAATTGGACTAAAGAGGATCAATGGTGGGGTGGCCATGATAAGGAATAAGCATGCCCCAGTAAAGCCTAAACCGGACAAGGCTAAGAGGGTTACACCCATCGTGGATGTTGTTAGGAGTCTAGACACAGAGTGGACGGACCTTGGCTCTGATCTATCAGCCATGACCAACACTTAATGTGATTGATTGCAGTCTTAGTTTTAGAGATGAAGAAGAGATTAAGTGTAGGGATTTGTCAAGCAAGTGAAGGATGTATATATAATGAGATTGAGGAGATGCATCCACGGACATTATTCGATAACATCGAAGTGTGATATTCACGTGATGTGTTCTTGGCTTAAGGTGGCGTGGAGTGTTGCATGGATTCAAGTTCTTACTGTATTACACGTTGCTCTTTAAACATTTCCAATGGAAATCAGTAGCTAGCTAGTAACTACACATGCTTACATTGCTTGGAACTCGATTCCTTGTTGTTGTTGTTGTTGTTTATATATATATATATAAGGATAATGAGATATTTTTAGATTAGTTTTCATATCAATCGAAATTAAATTTTATTTTTTTGGACTAAATTAGTACAAAAACACGCTAAATTTTTAGTCGATTATTGAGCTATTTTTTAGATCAAATCAACCTAAATTGTCGGATGATCATTTCACTTAAAAACTTAAATTTTTAGGTGAGACCTTACGATATGATTTATATTATTTTTTAATACATCCCCTCATATGAAACTTCTACATATTCACACTACCTTGTGCTTAATTAATTAAAAGAGAAAGTAAGAGTGATAGAATTCGAATTCTTGATCGTTAAATTAAAAAAAGGCTCTTATACCATATCAAATGATTATTTCATCTAATTAAAAGATTAAACTCGTTAGATGAAATCTCATAATATAGTTTACATTAGTTATCTAAGAATAATGCAAATTAAACTTTGATTTTAATCAAATCAAAAACAATATTGTTATCGTTAGAGTACATCAATTCATAATCTTAGTATTCTCTGATATATAACTTTGATTTTAGTCGAATCAAAACAACTCTTTTAGAGTAGCAAGACCGTTAGACTACATCCTTTCATAGTCTTGCTACTCTAAAAGAGTTGCTTATAGATAAACAATCGGAACAGTTAATATATCTCTACTCATGTAAAAGTGAGGCTTATGGATAATTATTATGGTGGATTTTTTTTATTTTGATGTCAGTGGAAGGAGTAGTGCTCGAGGGTGCCTAAGAAATGTTCAATATTAACAAATGACAAAATTCTAGTTAATTTATTAAATATATAAAAATAATGCTTTACATTTTATTGGCATACATGATCTCATTCTCTACGAATTGGTTACCAGGTTTTTTTTTTTCCTGTTTAGTTAATCATCTAAGATTGTGAGATGAAGGGAATATCATCTAGCCTACAATGGCATGAGCATCTTAATTTTGTAGTCTTCCAATTATATTCTACACTGGACTAATTTAAAATTTTAAGTAAATGATGTCAAAAAATATATTTTTATATTAATTTTAAGGGTTTTTAATTTTCATTTTGTTTCCTAAAAAACTATCAATCTATCACAATTTTAAAAACCACTTTATTTGATTTTTTTTTTTTTTTTTAAAGTTTGACAGCCGATTGTGGACTTTTTACACTTTTTTTCTTTTTAGGAAAAAAAAAACAAACTATAAACGGGACTAACGAACCAAGAGTCAAGCTTGGATGACTGAGTGGTAAGAGGCACTTTGAGGTGAGCTTTCATGAACATGGAAGATAGTCTCTCTCAAAACGTTAAAGAAAGATATACACTTTCAAAAGCTTAGTTTCTACAGAATTCCCTTTTTTTTTTTTTTTTTTTTTGAGTTTTAGTTATTTAGCATTTCTAATCCATAGAAGTAACCAAAAAAATTGTTTAAAATTAAGGTTATTTTATTTTATGATATAGTCTTCACAAATATTGTTTAATTAGATAAGGAAATGCTGCTAAAAAATTTTCAGTACAGATGTAGATATATATAGATAATAACGAAAAGTTGACCAAAAACCAAAATTTCATTTACCTAGTTTTCATTTTCTTTCCCATTTCTGACTGATCGTAATTACTCGTGTATAATTTAAAGGATTGATTCCTTATCTAGCTATGGACAATTTAATCAAAAAGAAAATGACAATATAATAATATTCATTGTTGGAAGATTGATTACTAAGAGACATGTAACCCCTAGAATTTTTATCTCAATATTGCTAGGGAAAGAGACAAAGGCAACTGGGTGGCAACATCAACGCATGTTTTTTTCTCAACTGGAAAGCAAGACTTTAATTTGTCAAAATCAGACATTTTCCAAAATTTTCCAGCAACATATTATCCATGTAACTTCCGGACATCACTTGTAGAAGATATATATATATATATATATATATATATCTTTTTGGAAAAGGAAGTCTTTTCCAGTATGCATCTTTTTGGAAGAGAAAGAAGGTCTTTTCCAGTATGCATGAACCGATCATTTTCAACAGTAAAAGTATCTCCAGGTTAGTTTTTGCGCACCTCACATGTTTTTTTCTCCACTGGAAAGCAAGACTTTAGTTTGTCAAAGGCAGGCATTTTCCAAAATTTGGGCTTTATTTTCTATGCACTTATAGAAGATTTGTTTTACTGTCTTTGCACTCAGAATATATATATATATATATATATATATATATGGAAAATAAAAAAAGTCTTTTGCAGTATGCATGAACAGTTGATTTTATTTTTTTATTTTTAATGTTCACCAATAAGAATGTCTTTGGATAATTTTTGTATATTTTGAAACTAATCTTTTCCTGTGTGTGGTTAAATGATACTCCTTTGAATATTTGAAAAATAAACTTTCAATAGTGCTGGCTATAAAAATAAACTCTAAATCTGATTTATAAATTGATCTACATTTGTTTATTAACGAACTATCATCTTATAGCTGAACCGTTGATTTTATGGAACGACCATAATCGAAACACTGAGAATTACAGAATTTCATTAATCTCCCCCAAAAGATTCAGTAGCAAATTAATCTAACAATATTATACCCATATGGGCGGCGCCGGTGGAAGTGGATGAACTAAAGAGGAAACTGGTGGCTGCGTGACTGAAAACGCTGAGCCGTGAGGTGGAGAGCTAGCTAATCTTTGAGTAGTAACGGACTACCATCTTGTAGTTGAACCGATGATTTTATTGAAAGACCATAATCGAAACAATGAGAATTACAGAATTTCATTAATTTCCCAAAAAGATTCAGTAGCAAATTAATCTAACCAATATTATACCCATATGGGCGGCGCCGGTGGAAGTGGATGAACTAAAGACGAAGCTGGTGGCTGCGTGACTAAAAACGCTGAGCCGTGAGGTGGAGAGCTAGCTAGTCTTTGAGTAGGAAACGGTAGGATTAATGGTTAGTAAAGGCGGCTGTAGTAATGGACAACAAGAATTGGTCTCTATGACGATAAATTTACATCAGCATTAACGATGACAAAGACGTGGGTTCCTAGCTCTACGTACGTAGATGTTATCTACACAAATTTCCAACGTAAGTTATACTCCAAATTGAACTCAAATAGCCACCTTCCTATAGATCTTCTTCTCTCCCTTCTTGGACGCTTCCCTTGTCCGACATGCATTATGCTTTTACTAAACAACTTAAATTTTTTTCCTATCAATCACGTGAAAGAGATAACGAGATAGATTTATGGAATGAAACTGGAAGCCAAAATGTATATTAAATATTTTACTGGAAGGTCAATATCCATGTATCACGCCAATGAACGGTAACGTTTGAGATTATGTGAGCTAATAATCATTGCACTCTTGTGTTAGAATATATATATTATGTTTTGATAATGAAATAGTTACGAATTCAATATTTAGCATTCTTATCTTTTCACTTGAGTAGGTGTCATTGTTCAAAACTCACACAAATATTCTTTCTTTTTAAATTATTAAGGTATGAAGTCAACATATTTTTAAATTATTAATGTTTTCATCATGTGATCAAGAAGACAAGCTTAATTTTTTATTTGCAAGAAAAGACTTGATCTTCCAGGAGCATCAAGGTATCAAGTCAACAGATTTAAAATTATCAGTTCGAATAGTTGAGGTGGCAAGTGGATATGCATCGATGAGGGAAATTACTGTTCCAAAGATTTTTTTATTTTTTATTTTACTGCTGAAAGAATTTATGGACTACTTTCGTATGCTTAGGTGATGGTTTTCTTGTTTTATTTATAAGAAAAAAAGAGTTCCTTTTCTTTAACGTTATTTTGGATACATCATCTACGTTCCAATTGAAATATATATATATATATATATATGTAGCAAAAAAATCTCTTATAATCGTTAATTCATATCGATAATTAATTATAATAAATAATATATATATATCTAGTTGTTAAAAAATAATATAAATCATATTCTAAAGTCTCATCTAATAATTTAATTTTTTGAATTAAGATAATTTTTTTACATAATATTAAAATCTTACTAATCTAACGGTCAAAAATTTCAATCCTATACTTAAGTATTTTAATTGAGATGATTCTTTTACAATACTCACCGCCTCAAATAATACAAAAGTAATGACATTAGTAACATCATTGACAAAGCAAAGATTAGTGGATTCACCTTATACAATTAGAATTAATTATGCATTGACTCTAATAGGAACACCAAAGACACGGTATAAGACTGGTCAAATTACAATTAATGTTCATATATGGGAACACAGGAATTCAATGGTTTCTTAAGCTAACTAACCTACATATATATAATTTAAACGATAGGCATATGCTTCTTGATTTTTTATAATCCATGCAAAGCCAAAGTCATGATTAATAAATAATGACACAGGTGGTAGGTCAAATTTATTAATTTGTAGTAAGCATTGAGTACTGTATACAGACTATTTTCAGCCATGCACACGTTTTCCTTCGCTTACCAAGAATGTGTGTGTGTGTGTTTTTTTTTTTTCCAATCTCTAAGATACCTCAGGATTAAAGACTTAGTTTAATCTTTTATTGTTCTATCAGACACACAAGACAAACATAATTATACAAAGAGTCTTTTACGTATACAAAGAGTTTTTTATGTATACGAAACTTTGAATTCAAAACCATTTTTTTAAACAACTAGCTAGAGTAGCATACTTATGTACTTTTTTTCCCCTGATTAAATTATTTCCAAATGGATATTTGAAACTGAAACCTAAACTTTGAGAAGTGCTATTCAGCCAAATATTTTGGTTAGAAGTCTTTCCCCAGAAACAGGTATGCTTTTATATGAAACAAAAACGAAGGCAGCGCGAAATTTCAACTAGTTCAGAAGACAAAATAATATAGCCAGCAGTCACATCATATGCATTAACCAAAATCAAAATAATACCAGCATGGACTACTATTCAATGAACCATACTCACTTGTTTAAATATATATTAACTATAAAAAAAAAAAAAACCAAACATTGTCACTTAAATCAATCTTTCACACTTACAAGAAGAAAACGTCACCCCCTGGAGCCCTATAAATAGGATACAAAACTTGAAGTTCCAACGTGCCAACACAAGTTATTAAACCTAGCTTACCTATATATCATCATACCAAAATGGCTTGTGAGAAAAACCACATTCAAAGTTTCAACAAAGTTGGGATCATTGGAGCAGGAATTAGTGGCATTGCTGCCGCTAAAGAGCTTCGACATTACAGTCCATTGGTGTTTGAGGCCACTGATTCAATTGGGGGTGTTTGGAAACATTGTTCTTTTAGTTCTACTAAACTCCAAACCCCTCGATGTGATTTTGAGTTTTCAGATTATCCTTGGCCCGAAAGGGATAATGCAAGTTTTCCTTCCCATGTTCAAGTAGTGGAATACTTGCATAACTACGCTACATATTTTGATGTGTTGAAACATGTCAAGTTCAACTCAAAGGTGTTACATATTCGGTATGTGGGTGGTGACCGTCAAACCACCCAACCGGAAATGAAACCAAAAGAGTATGGGACTTTATTGAACGGCTATCCTGTTTGGGAGGTAGCTGTCAACACTAACCAATCCACCAAAGTTGAGGTAATTTTAAGTCTCTATTCTCTAATACCTAGTACATATATACCTACTTTAAAGATTTTGTGCATGTGTTTTGCTAATTGCAATTCCTTCTAGTTCGATAATTGAGATTGAATTTTATGAAAAAAAAAGAAGAAGCTTTATGATAGGTAATCTCAATCTCTTATAATAATTTGTTTTTATATATATATATATAAAATAAGTGAAATAATATTAAATATTTTCCTTTACATACATCTCATCTTTTGAAATATGGATAACTCTTTAAAATTTTGATAACATATTAAATTAAATACTTGCATCTGAATTCTATATAAAAAACTTAAATTTTATGGTTGATGATTCGGTTTTTTTAACACTCTCTTACATTATTATTATTAATTTTTCTATTACAATAGAGGTGCTCGAACATTAAGCTACATGTTGGGTTGAAATTGCACAACACATTAGTTATCAATAGTTTTTTTTTTTTTTTTTTTTTTTTTAAATGCGAGGCTTGAAATTGAGATTTCTAGGAAGAAAAGAGATACTAATACTAGATAAGCTACAAGTTATTGACAATTTTTTTAGTTATTTATTATTTATTGATGTCATTTTTTAGGTTTTTATCAGGTTATTTCTATTAAGTTAAATTAATCGCTTGATTATGTAGCTACCAATCCGTCCTTAACTCCCTGCTGAATAAATGAAGTGACATATTCTTTATCAGGCACTCCAAAATTTGAAAATAATTATTTAAAAAACCTTGGAGTAATTTTGGACAGTGATGGATTCTTATCAGATGATGCTTTTATATATAATCAATCAACTTGTGAAGGTTTTTAATTTATTTGTTTGGACTTAATATTTTGAGTTACATATTGATGATATGACATATGGAAAATATAGTGGTATGCTTTCGAGCTTCTTGTGGTATGCATTGGGAAGTATGGAGACATACCAAGAACGCCAGTATTTCCACCCAATCAAGGTCAAGAAAAATTTCTCGGCAAAGTCCTGCACTCCATGGATTATTCTAAGCTCGACAAAGATGCTGCTTATGAGCTCCTCAAAGGAAAAAAGGTTGCCGTTGTTGGCTACAAAAAATCAGCTATTGATTTTGCTGTAGAGTGTGCCCTTGCAAACCAAGGTATATATGCTCATGAGCTCCTCAAAGGAAAAAATAGTTTTTCTTAATTTGCTGTTGTTAATTAGATTGCTAAGAGCAGTCAAACTGGTCAAAAAAAGGAGAAATTTTGGCTTTCCTTACCTTTATCACTTAAGAAACAAATGGCCCTACATCTTTTTTTTTTTTTTTTTAATTATCGGAAGATAAGTCATACCTTAAATTTTTTAAGTTGTGGAGACTAATATGAACGAGAGCCAATAGTATAAGATACTATACGGATTCGAGTAGAACGGTATCATTAGGTTTTTTTTTTTATAACCTTAGTTATTCATACTATAAATAGAGGCAACATCATTTGTATTTATAGCCACCACTTAACAAAACCTAATAAAAAATCCTAATGCAGTCGAATCACATAAAATTTTATGTTATGTGATTGTGTTTGTTTTTCTACTATATTCTTTTGTTAGATTCGTTAGGTAGAGATAAGAAATACTCCTCCTTATTTATTAAATCCTAATGAAATGCAGTTGGGTGGTAGACCTTATTAGAAAAAATATTGTATCTAATATTTTTAATTGGTTTTGTGGTTTGTTTGAAGGACCAGAAGGGCAACCATGCACAATGGTGATAAGGACTTTACATTGGACTATTCCTTCATACTGGATTTGGGGCTTGCCATTTTTCTTGTTGTTCTCAACAAGGTCTTCTCAATTTCTCCATGAAAGGCCACACCAAACCTTGTTGAAGAACCTTCTATGCCTTCTTTTATCTCCTATGGTATATATATATATATATATATGTTGATGTTTTATAATTAAGTTCTTCCTTCCTTGATTAATTACAACAATCTTTAATAAGATCAATCATGGTAATTCATTCGTAATCTTTAATTAATTTCTTGAGCAGAGAAGAGGAATTTCCAAGTTCGTAGAGTCTTATTTGGCATGGAAGCTTCCCCTAGAAAAATATGGGTTGAAACCAGCACACCCATTTGTGGAGGATTACGCATCTTGCCAAATGGCTATCTTGCCTGAGAATTTCTTTGAAGAGGCAGACAAAGGAAATATACTGTTCAAAAAAGCGTCAAAATGGTGGTTTTGGAGTAGAGGAATTGAATTTGAAGATAAAACCAAATTAGAGGCTGATGTTGTGCTTCTTGCCACTGGTTATGACGGAAAAAAGAAGCTACAGAATTTATTACCTGAACCCTTTTCTAGTCTGGTTGTAGACTCTTCTGGGATCATGCCCTTGTACAGGTAAATTAATGCAGCATTATATTACGTTGGCAGAATTAGATCACGCTTCAATGAGTTGACCCTAAATATTTTCTAGAAAATGATTATACATGAGCTGATTAAATGAATAATTTCTGACAGGGGCACGATTCATCCATTGATTCCGAACATGGCTTTCGTGGGATATATTGAGAGTGCGTCAAACCTGCAAACGGCAGAGTTGCGGTGCAAATGGCTAGCTAGACTTGCAGATGAGAAATTCAAGCTTCCTAGTATTGAAAAGATGCTTGAACAAACAAATGAAGAGATACAAGTCATGAAAAGAACTACCAGATTTTACAAGAGACATTGCATTTCTACTTATAGTATCAACCACAGTGACGATATTTGTGAAGAGATGGGATGGAACTCTTGGAGGAAGAACAATTGGTTCTCAGAAGCTTTCAGCCCTTATAATAGCCAAGACTACCAAGAAAAGAAAGAAATTTAATTAGTAACAGCATAATCATATATCTAAAATAATAGTAAAAGAAAGATTAGTCTTGAATTGCATGAAAACTGGCTCGGCTGAAGCTAAATAATAATAATAATAATAATAATAGAAGTAAAAATAATTATGCCACTCCATGTTTTGTGGTCAAACATATTATAGTTAGAAAATATGGAATAATGGATTTACTTGTGTGTACTATCGACAGTGGAAATTATAATCTACTTCCTTAAGCTTCCTGTAACTTGATTCATAAATAATAAAACAAGGTTTTGTGCATCTAATTGTTCGTTGTTGTTCTCTAGAAAGTATATACAATGCAATGGTGTATTATTTCCTCAACTCGGGTATAAGGAAAACCTATTGAAAATAAATCTTATAAAGCATCCTATATTTTAAAGACGATTTCACTTATTACACGTCTTTTAAAAACCTAGCATTTTGCATACTATATTTCAAACCAAATCAATGCTCTGCATCCTTCATGCAAAAGTTGATATTCAAAAGTTTAAAAATAATACCCAAAAAAGTTAGTTTAAGAAAAAAAAACTCTAATAATCTAAATAAATGATATCGAATTTGAATCTTTTATATATATAGAGAACCCTTAAGTAATTATGCATGTCTTATATGTCTAATTATGCATGTCTTATATGTCCGATGGAAAAATAAGAGTTTATGTTAATTTGGAATACCTTGAGAATAAAAAAATTAAAAAGATTGATTTTTGGTACAATTTAATATAAATGCGTACTTTTTTTCTTCATTTTGAAATGTTATTTTCACTATATATATATATGCTTAATACTTGCTAAGTGTATCTAGTTTAAAATATTTATTAAAATTGTTATTAAGTTTTGGAGATGGTTGTACATCCAATTCACGTCCCTCCTTGTTATGCATAAGTAGATCATTGATTCTGTATTACTGTTCATCGATCTATCCTATTATTTTTCTATTCTCAAAAGCATCTAGTCATTATCACAACCATTAACAATTAAGTTATTATTATCTTCACATGTGGCGTTTGGTTGTCCATAACTGGTATCTTTGCCTGGATACAATGTTGAAATTACTCAATATTTCTCCGATTGCACAGATCAGTCGTTGGTGCAAGCTAGACATAATAATTAAGAAATTTAATTTTTTTCTCAAAACACTTTCAGAAATTCTCTTTGGGTAGCACCACACTAGTGTTTTAAATATATCACCACAGGACAACTAATGATTGGTCTATATGTACTGACACCGGAATTTTGTGAGGACCTGCCAAGCAACACATACAACAAGCAAAGGCCCTTGTTGGCCACAACTTTTGATTTAATAATAAGTGAATTGATTTTTAGATAAATTTTTTACCAACATATAAAATTTAAATTATAGAGTCGTATTTATTAAGAAGAGTTAAATCTTATGATTTTACTTCAAGTATGATTACTTCTATCTCTAATGTGAGATGAAGGTAAATAAAACTAAAAAAAAAAAAAAAAAAGACCTTAGATTTGATTTGATTTGATAGACAACGTGACATAATTAATTGAATAATTATCAAATGTCTGTGTCTAATCTCACCTAACCAGCTTTACTAACTTAACTAATCTCAACCATATATGCATCAATTTGTTAGAAAATATTATAGGATCAATTTGCTTTATTAAATTTTTATTCTTTTTGTCTACCTAAAGTGAGTTGGTCATAAACCTGATCTTATAATCTTTCTCAATGATATAGATTGCCAAATAAAACAGCGAATTTGGATATTAAGTCAAATCCTGAATTGATTGACTTACAACTTGAGATTATTAGTATACTAAATTTTTTAAGTTTTTTCATCTCATTAACTAATTTTAAATAATATGAGATATGTAAAACCATTAAAACAATAACACATGTTTTGAAAACTCTAAACACATAATACATATCGTTGTTTTATGGCTCTAAATATCTCTCACGTGCATCCAAGTGACTTGAGATTGGTTAACGAAAGGAAAAAAATTAATTACATATCAAAAAGGGGTTAGAGATTAAAAAAAAAAAAAAAAAGAACTTTTCTCCTATTATCCAATAATTCAGAGTACTTTATGACTAGTTATCCTATATTTAGATTTGCTTTTTATCGTGTTGATTTTTCTGTTCATAGGATACTTTGTATCTATGATGATACAAACATCATCATCTCATGTTACAAGGATAATTTTTTCTGTGAATAAAGATTCATTTAATAATTTTTCTCATTGTCCTAGTAGATTTGCTAAATCAAAGAAAGAGGAACAAGATAAGAAAATTTTGGAGATGTTCAGGAAGATAAGGGTCAACATATACCTTTAATTGATGCCATTAAGCACGTTTCGAGGTATGCAAAATTTCTCAAGTAGTGTGCAGTTCTAAATAAAAGTTGAGAGAAAACGAGAGAGTAAGTATGAAGGAGATAGTGTGCGTAATAATTCAACAAAAGTTACCCAAAAATATAAAGATCAAGCATTTCCATATGAAAATGGATGAAGAGCGAAAGGGCATTTGCCTAACAACATTAAACAAAAGTGCTCATTGAGAGCAACTCAAGAGTAGCTAAAATGCCACATCTAGATTTGTTCTCTTATCTTATCTCTTTTAATTTTATATGTCCATGATTATTTTTTATTATGTATTTTACATTAGGGACAATGTAAAATTTAAGAGTGAGGGGAGGGTTTTCGAATTTTTTTTATATATTATTTTTGATTTTGTAGGAATAAATTTTTAATTTTTGATTTGTATTTCTGTTTTGGTTAGTTAAATTTTGAAATTAAAAAAAAAGCATCAAAAGAATTTTTTTAAAAAAATTTTCTTTGTGTTGTTAGATGTTTTTCAATGATGTCAAGATTTATGTAAGTAATGAGAAAAAATTAATTGAGTTGAAAAGTTACATAACATGCTTGAATTGATTAACTTGCAACTTGAGATTGATTAGTATAGTAATTAATTTTTTAAATTCTTCCATCTCATTAACTAATTTCAAATGGTATATGAGAGATACGCCAAGCAATTAAAACAACGATACGTGTCTTGAAAGCTTTAAACACAAAATACATATTGTTGTTTTTTATATATTATTTTTTATTTTTTAGGAATAAATTTTTAATTTTTGATTTTTATTTATGTTTTGGCTAGTTAAAGTCTAAAATTAAAAAATAAAAAACATCAAAAGAAAAAAAATTAAGTTTACTTTGTGTGTGTTAGATGCTTTTCAATGATGTCAAGATTTATATAAGTAATGAGAAGAAATTAATTGAGTTGAAAAATACATAACATGATTGAATTGATTGACTTGTGACTTGAGATTGATTAGTGTAGTAGTTAATTTTTTAAGTTCTTCCATCTCATTAACTTATTTCAAATGGTAGGAGAAATACGTAAAGCAATTAAAACAACGATATATGTCTTGAAAGCTTTAAACACAAAATATGTATTATTGTTTTTTATATATTATTTTTTATTTTTTAGGAATAAATTTTTAATTTTTAATTTTAATTTCTGTTTTGGTTAGTTAAAGTCTAAAATTAAAAAATTAAAAAAAATCGAAAGAAAGAAAAAATTAAAGTTTTCTTTGTGTGTGAGAAGCTTTTCAATGATGTCAAGATTTTGGTAAGCAACGAGAAGAAATTAATTGAGTTGAAAGTTACATAACATGATTGAATTGATTGTCTTGCAACTTGAGATTGATTAGTATAGTAATTAATTTTTTAAGTTCTTTCATCTCATTAATTAATTTCAAATAATGTGAGACATACGTAAAGCTATTAAAATAATGATACATGTTTTGAAAAATCTAAACACAAAATATATGTTGTCCTTTATGACTCTACACATCTCTCACATGTGTCTAGTGATTTGAGATTGGTCAGTGAGATGAAAAAAACTTAATTAATTGCATATAAAAAAGGGGTTGGAGATCGAAAAGAAAGAAAAAATTAAAAACGTTTCTCATGTTAACCAATAATTTAAAGTACTTCTCACCAAAAGTTTATTATTGATTTTTCATTCATTATTTTTAAAAGCAAATTAAAGGTTTTTTGTTTTTTTATTCGATCTCTAGCCCATTGGTATTGTATAATGCAATATGAGACCGTTACTTTATATATATATATAGCAACAGTATCCATTTTTATTACAGTTTTCAAAAGGCTAAAATGAAAACAATAAATATGAAAATTAAATTTAATCGAACGAAAACAAATTCAGTAAAAATAATAATTATTAAAAATTCGAGTTAAATCTCGTGCTCTTTATTCTAAAAAACTTTTTGCTGAGGTATCTGAACTTTTTTCTTTCATACTATTTACAATTGGATTTTTTGTATGTGTCTCAAAAATCTCTTGTCGCTTTTTATCAATTGAAAAACATGTCTAATTATTAGTAGGGATGGCAATGGCTGAATACCCAACCTATTAATTCAAATTTTTATCCTATCCATCAAAATAATATATTATCCATTATCCATTAAGAAACCATTACATAAATCTTTATCTAGTCTATAATCGGCTTATACTCGGTTTATCCGTTCATTTAATACCCATTAAATAACCGCTAAATTTAATTTATCAAAAATATTTATTTTAGTCTCTATATTTTTTTAAAAAAGTTTTTTATCCTTAAAATTTATTATTATTATTGCATTTTGATCATTTATTTATAAGTTTTTTTGTCCTCAAAGTTTTTGAAAAAAAATTTTGATCTTTAATTTTTAAATTTTATGCAATTAAATCTTACATGTTAATAAAAAATTTAAATAAATGAAATCATATTAGTGGATATATATTTTTTTACTCTTATCTACTTTAATGTCCATTGGATATTCTTAATGGATATTTATTTGATCGGATAAAATGAATATCATTTTATATCCGGCCCATTATCATTCCTAACTATTAGTCTTTATTGGCAGAAAAATCAGCACTATGGTCATCTCAAAGTCTTTCTACGACGATAGATCCAATAATTTTACCATTTAAAATCCAATCATAATTGTAAATTTGTTCTCTAATCCACAACGATCCTTTGGACAAACTTGCAAACACAAATAAAAAACAAAAAACCTCAATTAAGGAGAGCAAAAAAACCAAACAAAACCATAAATTTTAGATTATATAAATCTAAATTCACAATTATTTAAACTACTAAAGACATTATTTCTAGTAACTAGATCTAAAATCACCAAAAAAAAAAAAAAAAGGCAAGAAGAGAGAAAGAGGGTTGCCGCAGGTGTAATTTTTACCGACGGCAACCCAACAAAAGTATTTTTTAAAGAGAGGCTGTTTAGAGGAGGGATAGAGAGGGAGTGGATGAAACAAAATTTACTCTTTATTTTTTTTATTCCTATCATGTTCTGTTGAAAATTGAGTACATTATAAATTAGTCCATCTCTTTTCAAAAAACAAATTAATTAGTCTTCTTGATTTTAAAATTTAATTATTTAATCATTTTGAAAAACAAATTAATTAGTCTCCTTGATTTCAAAACTTAATTATTTAATCATTTTAATCGGTGTTGATCATGATTAATTTAATATTTTTTTATTTTATAAAATGTGTCATCTTCACATCCATTCCATAATTTTTATTTTTTTTATTTCTTAAAGAAAAAATCAAAATAAATTAAAAAATAGCAACAATAAAAAAAACTAAATGATTGAGTTTTGAAACCAAGAAAACTAATTAATACGTTTCTCGACATGAGAGGGATTAATTTATAATTTACTCGTTTGAAAATTGGTCGATGCCCATGTTAGCTTAGATCAGTAATTGAAGAATGAAATAACACAAGAGACACATAATAATATTGATAGGAATCCATCCACCATAACCAATAGATCTAGATGAAAGTTGACCATATAGATTAACACAACATGAGTAGCTATTACAACAAAACAAAAGTATGTGGACTTAATCTGCTTCCTGTTTCTCTGTCTTCGTCTTCGTCTTCCTTCTAATTGCCATCCCTCTTCTCCCAACTAGTAGCTTCAATATTGTTGATGGGCATAAACAGTCTAACAAGCATGGTACCCTATTTGTTTTCGGAGATTCTTTCTTTGATCCAGGAAACAATAACTTTCGCAACCTTACCATTAATGATAAAGCAAACTACTGGCCATATGGAGGGACATTCTTCAGTTCCCCAACAGGAAGATTTTCAGATGGTCTTCTTGTCCCTGACTTCTTAGGTAACTACTTTTGTTCTCATATTTGTGAGTGCTTAAAGAAATTAAGCTTTCCTGTCTATATTTCACCATGTCTTGTTGCCTTGTATATACTGTTGAATGCAGCCATGAAGCTTAAAATACCTTTGTGGAAGCCCTATCTAGCATCAGGAGGGGAACACGAATTCCTTCATGGAGCCAAATTTGCTGGAGGTGGATCAGCTGCTCTCGGTGACCTCGGTATTCCTGGACGGGTATGTAGACATATATTGTTGAAATCATATTTATTGAGCTTTTTTTTTTTTTTTTCTCCTTTTGGTTTTTAAAGATGATTTGAAGCTCCAAAAGGGTCAAAATTTGTGAGTTGGGTCAATAACATTGTGAAGAATTTGGGAGATCTTTAGAAATGATTTGATTCTTTAATGACTATGTTAGGATTAAAGTAATTGGTGATGGATGATGGTATAACGGAGTAACATCTATAAAATAAGTCCCTCTAATTTGATGAAGAATCCTCCAATGACTAAGTCAGTATATGAAAGGAAATAATAACTCGAAAAGTGTAATACAAGAAAAAAGATGAATAATGATAGTAAAAAGAGAGATTTAAAAATATTCATTTTTAAGTCTCTTAATTATTTATATAGCTAAAGACTCGTCAAATTACATGGAAAGAAGAGTAGAATGATCCATTTTTTTACTAACAACAATCTCTAATACCAATTTAAGAGATAAGTATTTTTGATGTCGATATGTTATTGTTGGAAGAGCATGATGACATCATGGTTGGTGCTAGCTAGACAAAAGTGATCTTAAGGCGTGTTTGCATTTAATAGATGTATTATCTTTTTTTTTTTTTTTTAGAGATAGTGGGATTTAGTTTGTCCGTCCGAGTTAGAGTTGTTCGGACTAGAATTATTTAGGTTAGGATCGTTTGAGACTCTTATGGGAGTGTTTTAGTGGTGTCTATTTGTCCGTCTAAAAACCAAATATAGATTTGTTCTCTCAAGTTTACATATGGGATTGATAGTTTGACTCATAAGAGATTATATGATGATACATGTCATTCGGTATATGAAATTATTTTTTAAATCACATTGTGAATTTTGTGAATTTCCAAAATTATATAAGTATAAATTATGAATAATTGATTATATGTTTCCATTTTCCTCCTCTGATCTCTCAGATTAGCTTAACCGAGCAACTAAAATATTTCAAGAAGGTCGCCACCGTGCTAAAACAAAGTCTTGGTGACATGGAGGCAAAGAAGTTGCTAATGGAAGCTGTTTACGCATTTAGCATTGGAACAAACGACTATGCTAGTTTTGCTAAAACTTACCCTTTTGCTAATGCAACAAAACAACAAGAATACGTTCATATGGTGATTGGAAAATTGACAGACGTTATCAAGGTAAATTCCTGTATCATGTATCAATATTTTCTATCTATAAGTGAATGTTCTTTTCAAATTAGAAACGGTAAATTTTTGAATTAATCATCAAAAATTCTTTGTTCTCGGTTAATTTCAATGTTGAAAAAGAAAGAAAAAGGTTTAATAGAATATTTTATTTTTAAACTATTGGAATTATGATAATATAAAGTTTGTATTATAAATTTGGTCTATTTTGGCTGCTTCAAACTATTATTTTTTTGGGTAAATTATGTCCGTCCACCTATTGAACTGTTAAAATTGATGATTCAACTTTGATTGTTAACAAAAATCTCAATACGATGTCGTTTTTTTTAATTTACACAAAAATATTTTAAAAAGTATTAAAAGAAAAAGCCAAGCAATGAACAATATGTTGTTCATGGAACCTCAATTTAAAAGTTGACCCATGTGCAGTAAGGTTTTAGTATTTTTGTTCAAAAATAGTTTTTTGTGAAAGAAATTTTTTTCCAAAACCACGTCAAATTGAACTTTTTAGTTAATTGTCAAAGTATGACTATCGATAAAGATATAATTTGTTCAAAAAAAAATAATATTTTGAGAATAAAATAGACAAAGTTGATAGTTCCAGTCTTATTTTACTACAATCCCAATAATTTAATTGTAAAATATATCATTAAAAAAATAAAATAAAATTGGAAACTAATTTTTTGCAAGATCTTGAATCCTATGCATGTCATGTTTAGGAAATATACAAGATAGGAGGAAGGAAATTTGCAATGCATAATGTTGGGCCATGGGGCTGCATGCCAAGACTGAGACAGTATTTTGGGCTCAGCAATAACAAATGTCATGATGGTTTATTAACAATTGCAAGGATGCACAATGATGCTCTATCCAATGCTGCTATGGAGATTGAGAGTCAATTAGCAGGATTCAAATACTTGATATTTGATGTCTACAATTCTGCTCTTATCAGAATAGAACGTCCTTCTGATTACGGCAAGTTGTTCTTCACAACTCATAACAACAAACAATTTCATGTCTTTATTTTTCCTTTTTTTCTGCCAATACAAATCTTTGGAGGGCGGGATTCTTTCATATTTTTTAGAACATCATAAATTATGTTTGTTGATAGGAACATGATCTATCATATTGAATTTTATGAATATTATCGGGACAAATGGTACAAATCTCTCTTGAACTTCAAGTTATTTATGAATTAGTTCCTAATTTCAGGTTATTCTATTAGGTTTTCATCGATTCTAATATACAAATATAATAGTTTTTCGATATTTAAGAATAAGTCAAAACTTATGAATATTTTGATTTTTCCTTCAAAACTTGTTTCTTTTCTTCTAAATGCTAAGAACTTAGCAATTAAATAACGTTTTATTATAAAAGAAATAAGTTTTGAGGGGGAAAATTAAAAAACATCCATAACTTTTGAACATTTTTTACGGATAGAGAAGTTAAAAAAGTCAATCAAGTGCAAGTTACGTGTACTTGTATTATTAGAATTGATAAAAACCTAATTTTAAATGAAAAATAGTTGAAATGAAATCTAGTCCGAAATTAAAAAATTGATTATCAAATAACTTCAAATTCAAGATAAGTTTTGACAATTTAACCATATTATCTATCATGTTACAATGGCCAAATAATTAAGATTGTAGAAATCATTACTTTTCTATGATTTTTTTTCCTTATTTTTAGTTAGTTTTTGCGATTCGAGATTATATTTTGCTCATGATTTACACTTAAATTGGTTGAATACCAAGAAATTAATTTCTTTGTGACTCTGTGTAATTAATTTAGTTATCTTGTGTATGTTGTATGTTGTGCAGGATTCAAAGAATCTATCATTGCTTGCTGTGGCAATGGATTAATTTCTTTGTGACTGTGTGTAATTAATTTAGTTATCTTGTGTATGTTGTGCAGGATTCAAAGAATCTATCATTGCTTACCGCGGCAATAATTGTGGAATAGAACCATACGAATTATGTAGTAACCCAAATGATCATATATTTTTTCATGGAGCTCATCCTACTGAACATTGCTACAAGCAAATGGCTAGGCTAATATGGGAGGGAGGACCAAATGTCACCAAGCCATATAACATGAAGCAATTATTTGCACTTGAAGTCAAGGATATTGAGAACTGAAGAATCATTTTCAAGCTATCATTTGATGTAATTTGTTTTCACTTGCACATAATTCGTTCTATAGCTGGTGTTGTAATTTTCTTAACAAAGGGTCCTCCTCCTTTGCATTGGAAAGCATTCTGGTCCATTCAGGAAAAAGAAAATGGTAACATTGGCTATGAATGTCCTTTCTTTTTCCTTCTGATAGATTTAAAACCAGGAAAAAAAAAAAAAAAAAGCAGCAGTCTTCAACTTAGCAATGGAGTAAGCAGAGATTAAGATTAAAAACCACCTCAGTAAGAAGTTGGGGACAAAAAATTACTGTTGAAAATGATATTAAACTAAATCAAACAAGAGACTAGAAAGAGGAAAAATAAAGCTGAGTTGATTACATTCATAGGTTCCCTACTCATCCCCTTCTTCCATCTTTCTCCTCTCCTTTATTACTCTCCAATAAAGCTCAGATCAAGCTTTACTTCACTGCTTACTTTGCCTGCCAAGTCCTGTAAGCAGCACCAAAGCCTCTCCTCAATTACGAGCTTTATTGGTTTCAAGGATCAAGGAACTACGTTTAGAAACAAAAACAAAAGCAATTATTAGAACAGAAAACCATGAATTATGCATCTTAAGATCACAGAAAAGTCGAAGAATAAACATGAAATACAATGACTCATTCTACTACAATACTCATCGACAAGATACTAATATCCACTTCTCAGCTCAAGTTGATTAGGTCCATGAGTTCCCACGGTAAATTATAGTGACATTTTGTAAGACCAAGGAGTAGGTTCTGATATAAATTGTACTTGAAACCTCCTACGAGACAGGAAGCTAGCTCTGATGTTAACTAGCAATTTGGCAGAAGTAGAGTTTGATGTCAAAATTAATTATTCACAGAAGCCTATGTTCATTATCCTTTTTTGGCAAACACAACCACACATGATATTATTCATTCAAGGCAAAGAAGACATTACGGCACTAAAAAACTCACATCAAATTATGCTTTGATAGAAAGTCTGGCTTTCAGCTCCGCGGCCACAGCATCAATGAACTCTTCGGTATTGAGGTACTGGTCCCTACTAACCCTGTACAACACAAGAAGAATATCATGCTTCAATAAAAACATAAACATTATACTTTCAGAATACGCTATTTACTGAGCTGGTCTTACTTAGATCCATGAACAAGCAGTGCAAGATCCTTGGTCATTTTGCCAGACTCCACAGTTCCAATACAAGCTGCCTCTAGTTTCTCAGTGAAATCCAAGAGTTTAGCATTGTCATCCAACTTAGCCCTGGCCAATAAAAATGCATTTAAATTCTTAACAACTGCTTCCAGCAAAACTAAAATGCTAGAGTTCTCAAGATCAACAGCATAGATTTGCCGAATCGTAATATATACCTGTGGGCAAGTCCTCTCGACCAAGCAAAAATAGAGGCAATACTGTTTGTGCTGGTTTCACCACCTTTCTGGTGAACCCTGTAATGCCGAGTAACTGTACCATGAGCAGCCTCAGCCTCTATGGTCTTTCCATCAGGGCACACCTGAACCATACCGATTTTAGCAAAGTCAGAGATGACGGCAAAAAGAGTGAGAACAATTATGTTAATCTCTTAGTTGTTGCTGAAATTTCTCTCTGCAAACCACTCCCAAATTGTCCTTATATCCATAAAGCAGAAAAAGGCAAAATAATATGGGAGGAAAAGTTCCCTCCAGGAATGAAAGGTCAAAATCTTATGAGTAGTCTGGGAAAAAGGACTTGCCATCAAATAACGAAGTTTGATCGAAAATACTTAATCAACAGTTTTGAAAAAATCAATATACTCAAACGAAAAAAAAAATTAAAGTTCATGCACTCGATTGAGAAAAAGTTTTAAGTTGCTGTCTTATAGGGCAATATTCTCTGTATAAAAAGTAGTCTATGAGGAGAAAACACGAAAAAGCAAGACAGTTAGATTAACAGAGAGACAGAGAGAACACAGAAGAACAAAGAACTAAAAAAAAATAAAACAAAAGACAACTGAAAAAATAATACAAGAAAGTCGGCCTGATATCATACCAATACAGAGGTCATCAAGCCAAGAGATCCAAAACCTGTAAAAATACAGCCAGATATCAGTAATGAACTCCATGCCCGGAACCAAAAGCCACGAAGAAGAATAATTAATGAAGCAGCCAAAATTCAATCCAAATTCTAAGTATACAATAAGCACGCTACAAAAGTTTTGGCATGCTGAATCTTCAAGGTGTTAATGGTCTGCTTCACATACCTTGGGCCAACAAATCACTCTGCACATCTCCATCATAGTTTTTGCATGCCCATACATAACCTCCTTCACTCTTGAGACAATAAGCGACCATATCATCAATGAGTCGGTGTTCATACCTTCCAGTTCAACCAAACAAGTTATTGATATATACAAATGCAGCCAAGATAAACGACCATCCTGAATGAAAGATACTAGGTTACTCACCAAATTCCTGCAGCCTCGTACTTTGATTTCCACTTGGCCTCGTAGACTTCTTCAAAGATGTCCTTGAATCTGCATCGAATAGAAAACTCAAATCATCTATCAACTAAATAACCGAAAGATAATGCAGGTGGGTTCAAGAAAGCCAAGCATAAAGTTCTAAAAGGTACAAAAAGTGATGAAAGTGTCATACCTTCCATCATACTTCTTAAGGATGGTATTTTTTGTGCTGAGATAAAGTGGCCACTTCTTCTGGTAAGCAGTGTCCATGGAAGCCTCAGCAAAAGCACGGATGGACTGCATTCCAGGGTCAAACATGAAAGAAAAAATTAATTGACCTGCATTTCAGCTCATGAGGATCATCGGAGAATTTGCAGAGTTATACCTCGTCAGTGTTATACATGGACAGTGCCACCCCACCAGCACCTGTAAAGTTATAGACCTCCAACTCTGTCTTTTCACCCTGTCCTTCTGGCACTGCATATTTCAAGACAAATAAGAAACGAGAAAATATCAACAAAATGGGAAAGTATTCCTTATAAATTCTGAATTAAAGCTGAGAATCGATAAAAAGCTTACCGAAAACTAGCTTGAGTTTGCCAGCTCCTTTGATAACTGCATCAGTTGCTCGATATTGATCACCAAAAGCATGTCTTCCGATGCAAATTGGCTTTGTCCAACCTGACAACAGCAATAATCAGTACGGCCCCATTCCACAAAGAAAGGGTATATCTCCTATATTAACAAAATGGAAAATACCTGGGACAAGGCGGGGGATGTTTTTGCAAATAATTGGTTCTCTGAAGACAGTGCCTGCACGCACAAAACAAATATGTTATTGGAGCAAAAAGCAAAAAGAATGTTATATAAAAATAAAGTCTGCCAACTCCACTAACCGTTCAAAATGTTCCTAATTGTTCCATTTGGACTCTTCCACATCTGCTTCAAGTTAAACTCCTTGACACGAGTTTCATCTGTCAATAACACAATGAATGTAAGAATTGTGACTTGCTGCATTTGAAAAAGATCATTGCGATAGGAAACTAATGTTCAGATTATATCAACGTTCGTTCCACGAGAAATGAATGCATACCTGGAGTAATAGTTGCACACTTGATTGCTACATTGTACCTAAAAAGAGTCAAATTTGAACAGCATCAGGCCCCAATATAGTCACAGTCAAGTCAAACCATAACAAATTTAGTACTATTAGTCTATTGTAAGAACTGAAGGATGGATCAATATTAACAGCTTTATACATGCATTTTTATATCTGAAGAGAGAGGAACAAAGGCAAACTCTATCTGCGAGAAAGGATTCCCAGCACAAAGGAATTAATATGAAAATGTACAAAACACTCACTTAAGAGTAGCTTCGGCACTTTCAACAGTGACTTTATCATCAGTGGCATCACGATGAGGGAGGCCAAGGTCAAAGTACTTGATATCCAACTCAACAAAGGGGAAAATAAGCTGCCATCCAAACCCATATTACAGATATAATCAATTAACTCAGACCTTTATCAACCAGTTCATTACAATTGATATGTACAAACAAATATTAAAATCACCTTGTTCTTTATTGATTGCCAGAAAACTCTGGTCATTTCATCTCCTGTACCATCACAATAACAAAGAAGCACAACATGAGAAACCCAGACAGACTCACAATATCCAAACACGGAGAGAAAGCCACTATCTTTACGATTAATAAAATGAAGATACCAATAAAACCCAGATCTCAAATAAAGAGATCAATCAAAACCAGATTCAAAATCAGATCCTAGCCATGACACACCAACTTTTTTTTACACAAGTGACCATAAAGATCCAAACTTTCATGAATCTACAAAAGCAAAGATGCTTCCTTTATAGACTACTACATCACTAATAACCAATCAAAATCTATACTTTCACTGATCAAAAACGAAAAAAAACAAGCTAAACTGATTAGATCATCAAAGTGAGTAAAGAATAAAAAACATTACCATCCATTTCAACGATGGGGTTAGCAACCTTGATCTTTTCGAAAGCCATAGTTTTGTTGTCTTGGAGAAACGAGCTCTAAAGATTGAAATTTTGGTGTTGCTCTTTCTCCTCCCGTGGATTACTCAGAGAAGAAAACAGACAGAGTGGAGAACTATTGCAGAGAGGAGAGACATGAATAAGGTGGAACTGGTTTATATATTCAACTGGGAAGTGTTTTGCGCTGCCAATCACTTTGTCCTTGTTTTTTGCATGAATTACACATTTGGCCCACCTAACTTTCCCAACCAACATGGCAATGATGTTGGGCTTTTTAGTAAAATAATAATAATCGACTCTGATGACGAATGGATTTGCATATCCGATGAACGGATAATAAGATTATTTTTTTATATATCTTTGAGTGAGTCAATTTCATTCTTGGATTCATATTAAATTTTTAATTTATTTTTTAATAAAAATTTTAAGTTAAATTATTAAAATTAATCATATAAATTGTAAATAAAAACCTCTACTTATCTAATTTTTAAAAGCATTTTGAAAAAAAATAGTTATGCATAAATTACGCGATTAATTCTAGTGATTTTAATCAAAAATCTTGTCAAAAAAATAAATTAAATTTTAATACACATTTAAAAATAAAATTGATTCAATTAAATATAAATGTTAGATTAAAAATTATCTTATTATATAATAACAAATTAAACCGTTAATCTTAACTAATATAAGATCATTTGTCCCAAACTCAGTTAGGATTTTTTTCTCTCCTTTTTTTTTTGGCAAACCTTGATACAAGAACAGTAAATTACCTTATTATTCACATAATGGAATATATGATAGATCCTGATTTTATGTCTACAGGGAGCAATGCAGTACGAATGTATACTAATATATCTCTTATTATTAAAATTAAAAAAAATGGACATTGGAAGTACTAATATTAAGTAATATTTTTAACATTAATGCTCAAGGTCATGTGCCTAGAATAATGCATTAGGATCATTGCGGGCTACGTGCTCATGAAGTTATTAAGAGATCTGATCTAACAATGAGAATATTATTTTGATTTGGTAAAAATTAAATTTTTATTTTTATTATTTATGAATAATTAGTTATAATTATTTTGTAATGATATCAAACTTGATTTATTCGATCTAAAAATAAATATAATTATCGATAAAAAAATAATCATATTTTGACATCAGTTTAATTTAAAAAATGATTGATTGATGCGAAAATTGATAAAAATAATCTACTATCTTGTAGTATAAAAAAAAACATGCTGACCATAGGTAACCTCAGCAATGTTGACAAGAGATCAAACATTTTTCTTGTCTTATGTATAGGGCATGGGTGGAGGGTCAAACCCATGGTAACCACTTTGTTTCATGTCAGAGCATTATTTAAAAATTAATTTACATTATTAATTGATTTTCCAGGCCACCTTGAATTGAATTTTCAACCTTCTTATGTCATTTTTATAGGGCAACAATTTTTTCTCCAGTTCCCTCTCTCGTGACTCGTGAGAGTGGACACAAAAACAATGATATGACCATGGCAACACGAATTCCTTTTTTTTTTTTTTTAACAATAAGGATATTTTTAGAGCAATTATAATTTATTTTATTTTAAAAAATATTATTTTTTTCTCATCAATTTTTCTCTATCTTTAACTTTTTTTAAATAAAAATAAATTGAAAAGGAATGAAAAGACTTAAGTCATAAAAACTTTAAATATATAAGAATTAAATAATTAATTTTTAAAACAATAAAAATTAATTAATTTATGTATCAAAAATAAAAGGACTGATTTTATAATTTACTCCTTCAATGATGATCTTTGAATTGGAAAAAATTCTTCATATAATCAAATGAGTCAATGACCAAATGATGTAGTCTAACGGAAAGGCTTGCTTTGTTTTGACTAAAGATAAAATTTAATCTTTTTATCTATAAATAACTAGTTATAATTATTTTTTTAATATTAGTTTTAAACTGATTTAATTTTAAAAAAAATATTTCTATAAATATAAGAAAATTAAAAACAAAGATTAGATATTTCTAGAATAATCCCCTGTCAGTAAAATTCACAAAAAAAAAAAAAAAACATATAGACAATGGCATATTGTAATTAAATATTGAATGATGGGCAATAGTTTTATGGGTGGACTCTCCAAGTAATCTCCATTTTTGGCAGTAATGATGGCATCAAGATTCCACCTAACACCATGACATTAACCCAATCCGAAAAATTGGACTCTAAAAATAAAGATAGAAGGAAGTATCAATGCCACCAAGGAAAAATAAATATCATGTGGATGTCCTTTTATTGAATTTCTTCTCTTGCACAGACTCTCTTTTGTTTTTTCCCACCTCTTCGGTGAGAAGGTCAGTTGATCCACCTCTTTGTCCACCTTTTGTTTCTTTCTTTTCTTTCTTTGTCAGAGTGTCCATCCTAACTGAATATTTATGACATTCTTCTAAATTAAATGTTTGCAAAATGTATGTTTTGCCCAAAAACAATAAATTTGCCCAAAAATGTTTGAAATTCAATTCTTTACTTTAGTGTGTGTTGCTGCGAGACTTTCGTGAGACTCTCAAAATTAATATTTATTATTTGTTTTGTTAAAAATTTTGTTTGATTGAGATACAAGTTATTATTGTTTTTGAAGTCGCTATCGAGTATTAAAAAAATTAGAAACATAAAATGAGTATTAGTACGGATATTTTAGGATAAAGAATTGGTTACGTTTTTGAAAATATATCGATCATATAAAAATGTTTTTTCCTAAGAAAAATACCACTTCTAATTTAGTCCTAAAATTTATCTCATAAAAATCTTATTTTTGCCAAAATAGTTCTTAGTCAATTTCCAAGTTTATTATCTAAACCAATATTTTTTTTTATGGCATTATATTGAATTGATCGTCGGATCCTGTCGAGAGATATATTAGTTCAACATCGGATCCGAGTTAAAATGTTGACGTAATCGGTATGTCAAAAAATGATTTAATTACTAAAATGTGATTGATTTTGGTTAATATCGGTTCTTATTAGATATGAGACTTTATAAATATTTTTTTTTACTATTTTTCTATATTTTTACCTTTTCCCTTTTTATCATCTTTTTTTTCTTTCTTTTTTCCTAGCATTCTCTTTTTTGTTTTCCTTCTTTTCCTAACATTTCTTTTGTTTTTCTTTGGTAGCATTTCTTTTTTATTTTTGTTCTTTTTTTTATTTTTGTTTATTGGTGAAGAATCATCATTAGTCCTTAAAAATTAGAAGACTTGATAATTCATCCACCTATTAATTACTTAACTCAATTATTGAAATACATCCTAACATTAAACATTGGCTAAACAAATTCAAGATATTCAAAATACTAAATCTAAATTAAATAAGCATGCATACATAATCTAAGTTTTCTAACACAAATAAAATTAACATTTTATTATAAAATAATATCATAAAGTAATTAAAAATAAGCAAGCAAGAGAAACGAGACCAAACGGTTGTTAAAGAGTGACCAAAATACCCCTAGAGTGCCGTTGAAAATGACCAAAATGCCTTTGGAGGCAAAATTATAGAATTGCCCCTCGAAAGACAACCAATCACCGCCAATTGTTTGTTCAACTTCCGAGTGAACCTTTGGGTGCATAAACCACCCCACATTGCAAAGGAGATCATCACAAACTCAACGCCGGTGGTGGCGGCCATGGACAACGTCGGAGGAGGGAGATTGGATGCTTTAAAGTTTCGACGAGATCTCCTTCTCTTTCTAATAGTGATTCCGATGATTTTAAGGGATTTCAAGGGCACCAATCAACTCGTGAGGCTAAGAAGAGTATTTTTGTGGTGGTTAGGAGATTCGATTTGGTTGGATGGAGGAGATACATTTGGGTTTGGAGGAAACGGGTGAATAGGTCTACCGATTATCTTCCTCTTCAATTCAATTGATTTAGATGATGTTTCGCCATGATTTCGAGGGAGAATCACTCCTTGGAGGATAAGGAACACTTTTGTGACGGTGAGAGTTGTTGGTTTGGTAGAAAAATAACAATAATTATGGGTACACAAATGGGTCGGGTCACCAACCTTCTCTCCTCACTTTCTCCCTCCTTTGGCGTCTTTTCTCCGCTAACCAGTGGAGAATGGTGAATCTAGTAGTTGTCTATCGATTTATGGTGGTAGATCAAAGAATCTTGGTTGAAAGGTGATCGATTTGAGAGAGGAACATTGGTGGGTTTGCGGGTTGACCGGAGAGATTCGAGTTGACAACCCTTTTTAGGGGCTGTTTGGCAACCTCCTTTTCTTTTCTTTTCTTTTCTTTTTTTTTTTTTCCAGCTTTTTCCTTGTTCTCTTAAGATCCATGCACTACCAATTTTTTTCTTTTAGAAAGATGAAGATGATGTGAGCTTTGTTTATTTTTTGGTAGAGAAAGAGAAGGGTGGTGGTCCTTTTTTTCTTTTTTTTGGGTGGAGAAATGAGTGAGAGGTTAGGGTTTTTTTGGGGTACGATAATAGTTGTGGAGGCCACCCTCAAAATGAAGGGAAATAGTTTTTATATAGGGCATTTTTAGCGTTTGGGGGGATAAGTCATCTCCTAAATTTTTTTTCTTTTTTCTTCCTTCTTTTTTTTAGTTAAAAATGGAAAATAATTAAAATCCTAGAAATCTATAGAAAAATGTCTAAAAATCACAAAAACGAACAAATTATGCAACATTACATTTTTTTAAAAAAAATTGAATTCTCTCTCTTTTTTTTTTTGAATTTTAGTTTGTAAGAAAATAAACAAGAGTCAAAACGGGGTTATTATAGTGTGTGTATGGCCAAGAGAGGAATGCATTGCATAAATGTTTTTGTTTGAGTAAATTATAAATTAGTTCCTTTAGTTTTACAAAAATAATTAAATAGTTTATCTAGCTTTAAAACTTGATTAATTAGTCCTTACATTTTTAAATCTATTTGTAACTTTATTTTTTTGTTCTTTTTCAATTTTTTTTTCAATAAATAGAAAAAGAAAAAAAACAATTAAAAAGTTAGGAAAGATTGACGAGTAAAAAAGATTATTTTTGAAGTAAATTAATATTAAATTAACTATGATTAACATTAGTTAAAAAACTGATTAATTACTTTTTCAAATAAAAGAGACTATTTATTCTTTTTGCAAAACTAGAGTGACTTATTATAATTTATTAGTTTTTGTTTTGTGTCGGCTAGAATTGCATGCATGAAGGTGTCACTGAAAGAAAAACTCTATAGGATTTTGTTTTGTGCTTGGTAGTAAAGGTGAGCATTTAGTTATTCGATCAGTCTCGGTTTGATTTTTTATTAGTCAAACCCATAACAATCAAAACCAATTCCAAATCGAAATATTATTTGATTTTTAGTTTTTTAAACCGAAAATTTTGGGTTTTTATTTTATTTTTTGTAGAAAATTTGAATTATTTTTTAATATAAAAAATAAGGTTAGAAATTTTGGTTACTTAAATATTATTCTTGTCCTGAATTAGATCTTCTAAGAGTTCATCATTTTATTTTGAAAAAAATAAGAAATACCATTCCAAAGTTCCTGTCAATTACCAAACAACATCAAACGTCCAAGTTAAATGATATAATCCATAATTTTTTAATAGAATTTATCTATGAGTAAAAAATAAATAAAAGGTTGAACTAATAGGGTGGTTTTATGATTTTTTTAATGTTAAATTATATATAAATATCTACACACATGTTAATCTATATATATGTGTGTCTGTGTCTGTGTGTCAATTGTATAAAAATAAATAAACAAGTGCTCTTCCTATCCTATAGTCTGAAAAAAGAAAAAGAAGATCAAGTTGCTGATGAAGTGTCCTCGAATCCAAACATTACAGAAACTCTAAAGCACAAACATGTTTAACTACTTCTTTCACTTTAGCTCATGACTCAACTTCCCTGTTCATTTCACTGTTCTTATATTAGTATTTCTCTTTAAAAAAAAAAAAACATAATTTTTACCTCTCTTTTACTTTTGTCATAACACTTTTGCCATTCATTCATTAAATGCTCCCGATAATTGCATTTTTGTTGGCTTCATTTCTTTGGATCTCAACCGTCAATTTAAAACCCTAATATTACTTAATTAAGCATGTAAATTATATATATTTTTTGGTAATACGAAGGATGTATTTGTAGAAGTGAGCCAATTGACACAAGCCAATTTCTGGCTTATAAGGTGGAATATTAAATAATAACTATATATATTATTGTATAGAGCTACGTGACATCCCACAAAGAATGTCCATGTAATTGGTTGGTGAAAATATATTTAATACAATATCTTTTTCGAAGATGTAGATAAAAATAAAGCTGGACATATTCTCGAATATTTTGAGATTGCATTCTTAAAATATAGTTTTTGAGATTGATTGGATCCATTGGAGTGACATCCATCTGTTAGTCCAAGGATTTAGGGTTTGTTCCACCCACCTCTAGTTTCAAAGGACTGCATAGGTAGCCTTATATCGAGATAATACTCTATTACTTCTACTATACTTAACAATTAGATTGGATTGGATTGTCTAGAGTTTTGACTGCAAATCACTATATAAATGATTTTAATCTATAGTTTTAACTTATAAACACATCGTAGTTGTAAAAACGATTATGATTACGATCATAAATCATGACTTATTATAGTAGTAAATAATGATCACAATATCCGATGCTGTGAATACATTAACAATTGTTAATAAATTTATTTCAAGACAAAAAATAAAAAAGTATTTAAAAAAAAACAATACTACAATATTAGTTATTCACCAAACAGCTACAATAACAATAGTTTACTATTATATAATACTATTATTTAGATCAAGTGCTATTAGTTTTTTTACAACATCATATAACGAAAACGAATATATTCAAATTTATTAAATAACGATACTTATGATATAAAACGATTGGTATTTAAAATTATACTCTAACCTAAACTTATTTGGTTCAAATGAGTTTAGATCAACTCATAAGTTTGAGATTTTTTATTGAAAAAAAAAAACGAGTGTTACTCTAAATTAAGATCCACACACTCATATTGGATGGAAGGGTGTTTTCTAATGTTGTTTCAATAAATATTCCATGCTTTCCATAAAATGAATCTTAATCCCAACTTGACCCGCATTTTACCAGGCCCAAGGACCCAAAGCTAAGAGTGTTTGAAAGCCCGATTACCTCATTAGCCCATTAGATTCCACAGTTGTGTGGGCTTAAACCATTTGGATTTACACAGTTCTTCCTCCGGACTTTGATTGGTCTAAATCGGCCCATATACTATTTTATGTTAGGGATCTTATCTGCCTTTCGAAAGGTGCGTGTGGAATAAATTATAAATTAGTCCCTATATTAAAAAAAAAACTAATTAAGTACTCTCACCTGTTTAAAAAATTAATTACTTTGTCTCTTGATCAGTATTAATTATAATTAATTTAATATTAATTTATTATAAAAAAATTTATTTTTTCTCATCAATCATTCCATGTTTATTACTTATTTTTTTCGTTTTCTATTTTTTAAATAAAATAAATTGAAAAAGAACAAAAATGATTAAGTTTCAATAAAATTTTAAAAATATAAAGACTAAATAATTATTTTTTGAAGTAAAAGAAATTTATTTTTTAAAAAAAAAACTAAAGGGACTAATTATAATTTAGTCCGTGTACGGCATCTACAATTTTTTTATTAAAAAAATTATCTATTACATAAAAATGCTGAAATTATTAAAAAAATTCTGAAATATCAATTCCATTATTAAAAAAAAAAATTGGTGAAATAGAAACTACAATTTTTTAAAATTATTTATCAAGAAGTTGCTTCAATCAAACCATAAAAGAAAGAAAAAAAATGATATTGACGTGATAAAGATATAAATGTCCACATAGTAATTTAATTTAAGGAAGGTAAATCATCAATTTATAATTAGAGGAATGCTCATAGATATAGTGGCTGTGAGAGATGTGGAGAAGCTGTTGTCGAATGCCCTAGCTAAGGCAAACGAATATGGCAGATACTTCCCCTTACCTCCTTAAACAACCGAAAGGCTTGGCCCCGTTCGAGTTGGAGAATGGGTATTATGGCATGGCTCAATCAGTTTATTCTTGCAGTTCGGATAAGATTCGGACCGCTACTTCTCTGAAAGCATCGTTTTGGCCTCCCTTCTTTGGAGTTCGTCGCGATCCCTTACTCTCACGTTCGAGTGTTTCCTTGTTGTTTAGGTCGGTGAGTGAGATTTCTGCTCATCGCAGTCACCTCCGGGGTTCATCTAGTACCAGCACCCTTGTGTCCAGGCCCTTCATCAGAGAAAGCTGCCCGCCCTAAGAACCAGCAACTAGATATGAGTGACCAATGCATCTTCAAACCAATCTTCCTGGTGGCTTCAAGAAATGGCTGCAGTACTTGTATATGTCAGTGTTATCAATGGAGGAAATCAGGGTGTTTTTTGTGCTTCTTTGGGAACCAGGTAAGGCAAGAACGCACTGCATTTTGAACACAAATATCTGGATCAAGACAAATATTGTGCAGAAGGCTTTCACTAATGCTCAAGAATATTTTCTGGCAACCGCGCAGGAGCACAATTTTGTCGCAGCCTCCCCCATCTGGTATCTTGAAAATCAACACGGATGTGGCAACTTTTGGTGATGATTAAATTAAGATTATTGGCTTAGGTTTTTACTATCATTGTATTCATATATGACAATGCCGGTAGCATGGATCATTAAGTAGAGGGAGATTACAAACAATGCGATTTTCCCTCCACTTAATAAATGTTTTGTGCCCATATGTATGTACAAGCAAATAATTTTTCAGCTCTAGCCAAGAAAACGAAAACAGAGGAGCGTCACCTAAGCAGATTTTGCATCAATCGATGCTAAATTCATCACGTTATGGACTGGATTTGCAAATATTAAATCCACTAATTTATGAGTTAGTTTTTTTAGTCCACCAATAATTGATATTAAATACACTATTTAATTTATAGTTTGGGTTTTTGGAGTCCATCAACGCATCATGTAGGGATGGCAATGGGGCGGGGCGGGGATCGTCATCCCCATCCCCTCTTCGTCCCCTAAAAAAAAAAAAACCCATCCCAGCCTCGTATCTCGTTTCGGACGGAATTTTGTTCCCCATCCTCGCCCCAAATGGGGTAGGATGGGGATCGTCATTCCGATCCCCGCCCTACCCAAAAAAAAAAAAATCCATCCTCGCCCCATGCCTCGTTCGAGGTAAAATTTCACGTCCAATCCCCCCAAACGGGACGAGGTGGTTTCGGAACAGATTGGATTGTCATCCCTAATGTCATGTTTAGTGCTAAAAAAAAAAGTTTTGCAATGGTGAAAATCAAACTCGTAACGTAATGAGTTAGAGGTACTTTTCTTATTACTCCACCTAGAATCTTGGATGATCCCTAACCTAGTAATTATTCATTCTCATGTATCAAAGCCAGACTTACATCTACAAACTAATATAGTCAGCTTTGAGCCAAATTGATATTGATAATTCATTACTAACAATGAAGGTTTTCACAACTCAAATTTAATGGAAATTTTAGATTTTTAATTTTTTTTTACAATGCAAAACTCAAATTTATCACTATCGAGATCTACATCTCACTCACCGTCAACAAATTAAACCCTAAATGAAAACTTTTGGGGAAAAAAAAATCTACAACAATGAAGGTTTTCACGAGTCAAATGGAATCTTCGTTGTAAAACTATTCCATTGATCATAATAGTTAATTTTCATTTTCTAGATTTACATCTTACTCACCATCAACAAAACCCTAAATGGAAACTTTTGGACCAGATGGAATCTTCGTTGTAAAACCATTCCACTAATCATAAATAGTGAATTTTCATTTTCTCGCACTCACCATCAACCAAACCCTAAATGGAAACTTCTGGAAAAAAAAAATCTACAGCAACCAAGGTTTTCACAAGTCATATGAAATCTTTGTTGTAAAACTATTCCATTGATCATAAATAGTGAATTTTCATTTTCTCTTCTTAGGGAAAACAACAAAAATTTATAAAATATTTGATTTTCTTATAAAGCATTTCACTAAATATTTAATTAAAATTTTTACATCTCAAAAAACCATAATTCTAAATTCTCAAAATTATAGTCTCGAATAAAGCTGAAATCTTTGTGAATATTGGTTTGACATTTTTTTATTTATATATTTTTGCAAACATTTCATTCAAGTATTTTACTAGATTATTCAATTAAATGAACTAGAAGCTTTTCAATTTCAAAATTTCATTAATTGTAATCTTTAAAATTATTAAATCAAGAACATTATAATTATATAGAGAACAACACAGTTCTTGCATTTAGAGCACAATAATGCCAAATTATTGCATTAATATTATGAAGATGTTTTATAATACTTAATAATTTTGGAAAAGATATTAACCAAACATTAATTTACTAAATTTGTTAAATGATTATTATTATCTACTGTTAATTGCACAATAAATAAGGGCAACAAGGCAAACTAAGACTAATCCAATTCAAATCAACAAAATCCAGCACAGTGGCACTTAATTTGTCAATGATATGATTCTTGATCCCTTTGCATTTATCAGTAATTTATTAACAAATTAAACTAGCTAAGTCGGTTCCTTAGATCATTACAACTAGTCTTTTACTGTTTGAAACTAGACAGGTCGGGTCATGCTACTTCTTGGATTGGTGAGGGGGAAAAAAAAAAAAAACAAAAAGAGTTGGAAACTGTTAAAAAAATGGCTATGAATACTGGAAAAATGTAAAACCATTTGTATATATCCCATATATGGTAGCTTTTTTCTTACAAAGCATATCTCATAAACAACGAAAATTGCCTAGTAGCACCTTGCTTTTTGCTGTAACGTGTAATGCAGTGCATGACCAAAAGAGAAAAAAAAATCACAAAAATAATATACCTAAAACAGTAGAAAACCAAGAATCAGATTTATGTCTTTATAGGGTTGGTTTGGTGTTCATTTGCTGTCCTTAATTGGAATTGAGTTGTTGGGCTATTTATGCACAATTCTGATATATTATCCAAGAAGAGAGACTGGTAGTGATAACATTTTTGAGTGTAAGAAAAAAAAATGGAGCTTCCAATGGGAAACAATGGTGGTGCTTCTGGTGATGAGCATGAAGGTTCTAACTCTAGAAATAAGGGAAAGAAGGCTTACCATCGCCATACTAATCAGCAGATTCAGCAGCTTGAAAAGTATAAGATTATCATTAATTTTCTCTTATCAACTATATTTTATGTGATCTTTACACAGTATAAAAACAAGATTTTTTTTTATCTCTATATGTTGCATTTGTTGCTGTTTTTTCTGATTGATTTATAGTTTTATCATCCATTGATTACCGTGGAGCTTTTGCTGATGTTCACGAGGAAATCTATATTTTCATGTCTGTTTTTCGGTGTTTTGTGTCTCTTGGCTTGCTCTTTGTTGGTAAGGTTTGATTAGGGTTTGCCCTTTTATCTTAGTGCACATATATGCATATATAGTCTGGTAAAGCCATTCTTGAGTGGCTTTTGGACTAAGTGATTTCCCTTGATATGATAGATCTGAATGGAAGAGGATTTTTCCCTTAGTTCCCTATTTCAGATTGATGATGGTGTTTCTGATGGAGATTATTTACTTCTTCTGTTAATGCACTCGTTTCTGTCCTGATAAATCAATTTTCCTACATGTTTGTTTTCTCCTAAGTTGTGTTGTTTGGTTTGTTTGCTTCCTTCCCTAATTCATTTGCTTTGCTCAGTTAATGTCATAAATCTTTTTTCTTGTAAGAATATTTAATGTTTCTTCAATAGGGCCCTTCCTCCTCCCAGCTTCATCTGCTGTGTGTTTGAACATAACATAAATCTGTGTTTTTGTTCTTCTGATGAAGATTTTTCAAGGAATGTCCACATCCGGATGAAAACCAGCGGCGCCAGCTGAGTAGGGAATTAGGCCTTGAGGCTAAGCAGATCAAGTTCTGGTTTCAAAACAAGAGGACTCAGACAAAGGTACTCATGATTTCTAAGTCTAAAAATTTGTGTTGAATGCATTGTATCCCTTAAAAACATACGGATGCCTTTACACCTTCGGATCCATTTCGCAGGCGCAAAGTGAGCGAGCAGATAATTCAGTTCTTCGGTCAGAAAATGAGAGGGTTCAATGTGAAAATCTTGCAATCAGAGAGGCACTGAAAAATGTGATTTGCCCAGCTTGTGGAGGTCCTCCCTTCGGAGAAGAAGAACGCCAACGTAGTCTGCAGAAACTAAAGCAGGAAAATGCTCGATTGAAAGAAGAGGCTAGTTCGGATTATTCCAACTAAGTTCCCTTTCTAAATATCACCTCATTCTCTATTAGGCCTTCTCCTTTAATGATGCATAAATGCTCATGTTTCGAGAGTTTTAAGGATTTTGTTTTATTGATGATTAGTTATGATTGTTGTGCAGCATGAAAAAGTATCCAGCCTTCTTGCCAAGTATATAGGAAAACCGATTTCGCAGATCGATTCATTGATATCTGGCGCCGGACCTTCACAAGGCATATTGCCGGCAGGTGTCCCAAATCAAGGAATGGGAAACCCTGGCATTGAACTGGAACGGAATCGAGGATCAGGCAATGCCCAATTGGTCTATAGACGTAGAGGAATTCCAGACATGGAAAAGGCACTCATGGTTGAGACTGCTTCAAGTGCAGCAGATGAGTTGGTGAGGCTTTTGCGAGGAGATGAACCTCTGTGGATCAAGTCCCCATCTTATGGAACATACATCCTTGATCGCATCGGCTATGAGAAACTATACCCTAGGACCAGTCACTTCAAAAGCTCTCATGCTCGTGTCGAATCGTCCAAGTTTTCAGCAATGGTGACCATGCCAGGAATTGACTTGGTTGACATGTTTTTGGATCCGGTTAGTGTGCACTATTGGCTCTTACTTTCCATACTTTAAGATCAGACTATATTTTGCTGAAGAGGAAACAAGTTTAACTAATTGCTCTGATTTTACAGAAGAAACGGATGGATCTTTTTCCGACAATTGTTACCAAAGCAAAGACAATTCAAGTACTTGAAGCTGGAACTGCAGGAAACCGAAATGGTTCCTTGCAGATGGTATGTTAAGTTGCCAATACATTTCTATCATTCCTTAAATTTTGTTGCAACTTGATTTGTGTATTGAAGTGAAACGGTTCAATGCAGATGTATGAACAGATGCACATACTATCGCCCTTGGTTCCACCTAGGGAATTTTACTTCCTTCGCCTTTGTCAGCAACTTGAGCCTGGGCAGTGGGTGATAGCAGATGTATCATACGACTTCTTGAAAGATGGCTCCCGTTTGCGAGCTTGGCGGCTTCCTTCTGGATGCATGATCCAAGACAAGCCTAATGGATTTTCCAACGTGCGTAATTACTGCATCTCTATATCCGAAATGATCAAATGATCGAACAAGCGGCACTTCTGAGGACTACTTATTCTAGATCAACCATACCATGCTTGTTCGTAGCACAGATTCGTTCTGATTCTGGTTGAGCTCTACAGTTATCCAATGTTACCAATTCTGACGAATAATGATGAAGTTCTGATGCACGGTTGTCAATTAATCAATGAAGAATGAAGCCTATCATCTCTATCCTTTTGTTAACAGAATGTTAAACTCTTTGCTACCGCAACGCGACACGATTTGATTAACGGCTGCATTTAGTGTAACGATCATATTAATACATGAGCATGGCTGCTATAAATTTTTCTTAGATGCAATATCTAGAACAAGCATACCTGCAGACCCTCATTTATCTGATATTCATCACCGGTAATATCATGTATGATCTTTTTCTGTCATAAGCTCTAAGCAGGCATTTGTATGCATCTCCATGAACTACAATGATGATTTAAAAATTGCATGACTAATTTAGCATGGAACTATAGTATAATGTTAGTATATCTTAACTTGTAAAGATAATGTATGTCAATTTAAGGGAATCGGTTGCGAGACTAGTTTTTTATTGCACAAACTTTGACAGGTAACTTGGGTAGAACATGTGGAGGTGGATGATAGAACTCAAACGCACCGCCTTTACCGAGATATCGTATGCAGTGGTTCTGCTTATGGAGCAGAACGATGGATTGCTAATCTCCAGAGGATTTGTGAGAGGATAGCTTTCTCCAAGGAGAAAACAGTACCTGCTCGAGAATTTAGTGGAGGTAACAGCAATCAGTTTTTTGCCATTCCTTTTCTTTGATTCCCTTTTTATGCAATACTGCTGCTTCAACATCTTCAATTGCTCAGTGGTCACTTCACCTGAGGGTAGAAGGAGCATAGTAAACCTTGCCCAAAGGATGGTGAAGATCTTTTGTGCAAGTTTGTGTACGTCAGGAAAACTGGATTTCCCTCAATTGTCTGAAGTGAACTATAGTGGGGTTCGCGTGGCTATTCGTAAGAACGCAGAACAAGGCCAGCCGATTGGCATGGTTGTTAGTGCTGCTACTTCTCTTTGGCTTCCACTCTCCCCTCAGAATGTGTTTAGCTTCTTCAGAGCTGAGAAATCGAGGCTTCAGGTTTGCAGAAAAATAGAATGATTCATTCTGTGATCAATATATGCGTACATGTTTTGCACATTCTGACTTTTGCAGCAAAGTAACAAATGGTATTTCCTGTCATTGTCGTTATCAGTGGGATATTCTTTCCAATGGCAATCCTGTGCATGAGATTTCTCGCATTTCCAATGGGGCTAATCCAGGGAACTGCATATCCATTATTCGCGTAATTTCTCTTCCTTTCTCTCCTATTCTGATGTACCGACAACAACAACGTCTTGATTCCTTTTCGGCAGGTTTATCTATGCAAGTTAATTCATCTTTTTTCTTTCAAATTAAAACAGCCTTTCATTCCTAGTGAGAACAACATGCTGATACTTCAAGAGAGCTGCACAGACTCTTCAGGATCAATGGTGGTATATGCTCCAGTTGACATTCCAGCCATGAACATGGCAATAAGCGGCGAAGACTCATCCATTATTCCCATACTTCCATCAGGCTTTGTAATATCTGACGACGGCCGTCCAGATACCGGAGGGAACAGTTCTACTTCCACCAGTTCTACTGGGGCAGACTCAGGAGGTTCACTTCTTACAGTAGCCTTCCAAATTCTTGTCGCTGGCCCTAACTCCTCATCCTCCACAGAACTCAACATGGAATCTGTGGCAACAGTCAATTCCCTCATCAGCTCCACTGTCCTCAAAATTAAGGCTGCTCTGAATTGCTCTAGTTTGGATTGAGCTTTGGTTTATTTATCTTGTGATTCTTCCTGGAAACTGAAACACAAAATAATCAGCTGGTACTTTTCTACAACTTTTGCATGGCTGCCAGTTTAGTTGTTAATTTTACAACATTTTATATATAGGATGATGGTCTTGCATTGCAAGAGAAAGACATTGAATTTTTTCTTCGATGGATAATGGGGATGTTTTACTTCTCCCTCCTTAATTATATATCTTCTGTTTTTTTTTTGTTTTTTTTTCCATGCTACATGTACCTGAGTAAATTATAAATTAATCCCTCTGGTTTTGAGAAATTAATTAATTAATCCCTCCTTTTCAAAAATTATTTATTTATTCCTTTTGGTTCATTTTATATTTTTTTTACATAGAGAAAAAAAAGATATTATGGAAATATTGACGAAAAAAAAGACATTTTTTAGAACAAATAATATTAAATTAAGTATGCTCGATACTGATCAAGAAACTAATTAATTTATTTTTGAAAAATTAAAAAGACTAATTTATAATTTACTCATATCTACCTCTATGTTGTTGTTGTAGCAAAGAATATAGCTATTTTGGAAGTACTAAATTCCATGATAATGTTTCCTCTTGTTTTCTCCCTAGAACTTGCTTTTGTTTTATTTATTTATTTTCTTAGCAATGCCTTTTGGCATTTATAAAGAAAAGTCATTGATTATTGTTTCTTATAATGCAAAGGATTTAACATTTTAAGCAAATTTTTTAAAGAATTTTTTTTTTATCATCAAAATGCATCATTATTTCATTGGTAATAAGGTTTTGCTCTTTGCACTTTGAACTTTCAAAACAATTTGTCCTGATAGACTTCCCCCTCAAAAGGGATTTGCTACAGCAAGTCGCACAGGCACAAATTTCTCGAGCACTCCATCTCTCATCTCATAACTTAAGCTTTTCCCTCCTAGAGATCACCTAGGTAAAATGTCAATTATAAGGACAATAATTGCTATATTATTGTTTCAAAAAAAAAAAAAAAATTGATTCTTTACTTTAAAATAAACTTATTATTAATTGCTATTACATTTACAATATTGATTATCGTAATCGTTATTTCACTATCACAATAAATAACGATCTACAATCACGTCGACGACCTTTTTTTAAAAGGTATGGATATGCCCATGCTTGAGGTCTCGGTCCAATGATGAGGTTGAGGGTCGCTCACCGATGACACTAGGGTTCGATTCTTTCTGCGCACGCTTGTCACTCCCACGGTGTCTTACCTACCCATTGGGCTTGCAAGGTGTTCGGTGGATCCAGAGATTAGTCGAGGTGCGAACAAGCTGGCACTGGACATTCTGGATTTAAAAAAAAAAAAAAAAAAAGGTAGGGATATGCCCTTATGTTTGCACTAGGCTTGATAGGAACTAAATTCAGACATCACCTAAGTTCGTTTACATGAGAATATAAAAAATGCATATGGTCATCATTGTAAACCTTTAACATCCAATAAACTTAGGATAATTGAACCAAAAATTGGACCATACTGTTCCATATATTTATGTGCAGCAGAAGCAGTTTTACATCCTCATGTATGTAAGTTCTTGTAATAAACAAGGAAGACTAATATGCTGCAAGATACGTTCGAAATTCAGGCACTGCAAACTGAATTGATCTCTTATTGTTCTACTACAATACGGGAGAACTGCAACACGAAAACAAGGCTGTCGAAGTTTTTCATCATTGTGCGACAGCAACTTCTTAGAGGTCCTCTGGGCCATTAATGTCCTGGGCACGGAAAAAAAAATGGCAACTCCGTCACGAGCCAATACAAAGAATGTTTGAATTGCGATAAATCATGTATGTCTAGTGTCTTACCTTGTTTTGAAGAACAGCTCCATCTGGTATTTCCAATTTCACACCAGATTTCGCCACGATACTCACTTTCCCCTGCAGAGGTGATAAAACAGAATGGCAAGCGTCAGTCATGAAGGTTTTTACCAAAGAAAGACTAAGGAAGCAAAGCAATAATTACATGCAAGACATTACAGAGAGAAGTAATAGAAGTCGCGACTTGGTGAAAATCAATACGAGGCCAGGCATAGAGATCAGTGGTCACTTACAGACCTGTCTTTAGAACAGGCAACTCAGACTCAATGGGATGGTTAATCTCCCAAATTTCCCTTATATGAAACCAGCTTTCTTGGGAATATAAAAGTACAATGGCCTTTCTTAAACACTAATCGGTTGCTTGTATCATGATATACATGTCTTACAAATTACATCAGTTTCACCAGCAACACTATACTAGAATAAGGATAAATAAATATTCAAGTTGATCAAGTTCAAAACAATTGCAAATTCATCTACTAATTTTCCAAAATACACGCATACCAAGGGTACAGATGTATATATGGGGGGCAAATTGTTAAAGAATGAACATCAGAAAAGCAATGGAAGAGCATGTAATACCTTGAGAATAACATTAGCACCAAACCATACATCACCAGTCACCTTAAGACTATCAAGCTCAATGATGCTAGGGATCGACTTAAATCGACTCAAGAAGTTGGCAACCTGTAAAGGAAGGCGAAAAAAAAAAAAAAAAAAAAAAATTCAATATCACACACACGCACAAACAAAAAAGAACTCATAAGAATACTTGATTATCAAATAATTTTTTACCTTCTTAAATTCAGGCCCCAGTTCGATAGAAGGATTTGCAGGATTTGCTCTAGCTTGATTTCGGATGACAAAGCCATCAACTAAAGTGTAAAGATCGGACTGCAAAAGAGGCAACCAAATAAGTTAAACAAGTCTGAAACACTTCATCAAGATCCAATGACAGCCACAGAAAAGAAAGCCACCTGAACAAGAAGCAGATCTGAAGTTGCCTTCACTGGAAGGAATCGAGAACGAGGTACATTTATACCAATTGCATGATCAAAGAACTGATAGACAAGAGAGGAAAAATCACATCAAAAGTGCGATTTCAAAATAAAAACTTCATGAAAAATCATTGTCCATCAAATACCTTAATAGCTGCTCCAGCTGCAGTTTCTAGCTGAAGAACTTTGATTCCATCTACTTCCTGGAAGCAAGATCCATGTTATCATAATTAGCAATTATGAAATTGTAACTCATTATTTCTGAAAACAAAGAAATAACAGATGAAAGGAAAGAAATGAAAATATACCTTTGGGTTTGGAATAATCTCCATCTTAAGTGCATCAGCTTCCACAAGCCTTTTAATTGCCTTCAAGTTCACCCACCTGTTATAGCATATATTGTTAGCGGTCTATCAAAATATCATTACTTCATTTATGGCAAAGTTGACTTACAGGTTGTTTGTATTGAAAATTTTGAACTTCTCGATTGACTTGAACTCATTGACCTGTTTCAAACAAAAATCAGTTGAGGATGAATGCAATGAAGATATCCTACAAAAATACTGCAAAGGTGTGCTAATTCCATTGACATCAAGGCACACTACTTAGAAAATGCCAGATGGATTGGAGAAAATTAATAAATCCATTTCAATCAAAGAAGCAGCTGCCAGCCTCAAAGTGAGCAAATTTCCATTTGCCTCAATAGTGTCCCTTGCCTTAATCTAAAGCCTACTGCTAGCTATCCATTATAGAGATAGAAAGGATAATTGAAAGGAACAAATTATCTAGAAAATTGAAGGATCGGAACATGTCTTACATGCTGATCAGGGACCTGTGCGATTTCCAGGAGCTGCAACAAAATCAAGGAAAAAACATTAGTCAATGCCAAAAGCCATCGAGTCCCTCCTTTTTTTTTACAATGGGTTCAATTCCCTCCTCCCAGGGGAAGAGAGAATTGAGGGCTTCTGGAGGGAACAAAGTGAATGGGAGAATTTACATGTAATGCTGAATCTATTTTAGTATGAGGAGAAAGTTTATCATGATTGCATTTCCAAAGAAAAAGCCAAAGGCAAACGTAGCATGAGCAAAAAGAATATATAACCTCAACTGAAAATTAGTGTGAAGTAGAACAAGACAAAAATGTCAAACAGGATAAATGAAAGCACTTCAGGGTCAATAGAATCAAGTCATTTGCAAGTTAAGCAATTCTGATTTAGCATAATTTATGCAAAGCTCTATTGAGAATTTAATCCATTTCTATCAGACTGCTGAACTTGAGGCAGGAAAGAAAGGAGTTGCTAACACTGGGTGAGAGGTATATACCTGAACCTTCCCTTCATAAGAGATGAGAGTACCACCCTTCACATCAGCCAGGGTTTTGGGTGTCACCTGCAGAAGAACAAAATATAAGAACAAGTTCTGAATCCATAAACTTAATCAAAACTTGCTGCATTCGTCTTTCTGTACCTCCATGCAGTATTCATTCTTGTTTCTGATCAGATGATTTAAGATTTCTGTAGCATCAAGTCAAGGATATAAAAGGCTAAAAGACTTCAATTCCAAGTATTTTCATGATTAAAACCAGAACAGAGTATTGCAAAATTAAAATCCTGAAGTCGAAGGTACAATGAGAACCAAAATCAGGATACTCAAATCAACAATAGCACCAAGGTTATCTGAGTTGGCGACAAACACATACTCTTTACCCTGCAAGAAGAAAGATTAACATGTAGAAGAATAAGAACATAAAGGACCAGCAGAGAACAAGTTACTTCATAATTTTATAAGGATAAAAGCTGCATAACACCGACCTTCGACAATAAAGCATCAAGCTTGCCACTGTTCTTTAGGGATGGGAACACATCACCATGTCCAGGAGGATACCTTCACATGAGAGAGAACACTAGAAGATGTAAGTTTTCAGAACAAGGAAGAAGACCAATACAAACATTGTTCGCAAATTAAACCATTCATTCAAAACTATTCCATGCACTATTCCATTCCATCTTTTCTTTAGGTGTTTTGTTATTTGTAAAAAAAAAAAAAAAAGAAGAAGAAGAAGAGGAAGAAGAAGAAAAAACTTTTACGTAGAAGTGATACCTTGATCAGATACCATATGCTAGCAAAATCTAGAGTGAGTAGCAGCTGACACCATATATGTGCTAACATTACATTTATGAGATGCAACACATATTTCAAATTGTAACATACTTTCATCCACTGGCTGGTGATGCACAAAAACAGATGATACCATAATAGGCATGCCTTATTACATATCACAAGACAAGGAAGTAACTTGTACGAGCATCAATAAACAACTATCGTTCACAGGACTTGGCATAAAAGTTACTTTTTGGATTGTAATTGATTCAAAAAGAAAAATTGATTCAGGGAAGTTTATATAACTCCTCAGAAGTTCACAAATGAATACAAAAGAAGAAGAAGATGATGATAGTTATTTGATGAATAGTCCCTTAAATAAAACTCTAAAAGTAAAGGGTGAAATAGATTGATGGAAGTTCACAAGCTCAAAATAACAGAAATGGAAAAGTTTGTCAATTTGACTTTCTTAATCGGAATTCAGAGGAGTTAAAGCTCTACCCACGTTTTACAGCATATTCAAACTCATAGGTATGCGTGCAACATACATTATGGTAATGAGGGAGAAAAGGCACTTTGGTTGTTTTAATTAACAAATGTATACATAGAACTAACCAAATAAATCACTGCAGTCCTCAAACAGGCCTTTCACAAATCTTGTTCACAGTGCATCGGTTGGGGTATATAAATATTATGTGTATGCAAAATGGTAAAATTGAATGACTGAAAGATATTCATTGCACTTCAGATGGCAAAATATAGGAGTTAATTAAAAATTAGTCCCTCTATTTTCAAGAAACAAATTAATTAGTCCCGACCAATGTTAACATTACTTAATTTAATATTACTTTATTCCAAAAAGCATCTTCTTTTCTCATCGATCTTTCCATAATATCTTTTTATTTTTTAAAATAAATTGGAAAAGAACATAAAATGGACTAGAAGCACTAAATAATTAGTTTTTGAAACAAGGAGGACTAATTAATTTGTTTCTCAAAAATAGAGGGACTAATTTATAATTTACTCCAAAATATAGGAATTAGAAACTATACCATCCGTCCTTGTCAGTACGTCCTTTTGATGGCAATGGCACAAAATCATCAACAACCAGACGAGGATATTGGCTCTGTGGAAATCCAAAGGGGAAAAAGTAAATTTGCTGTTTGACATTTACAGAAAAGCAGATATTAAAACTGATCAAGCAGAAGTATCACAGACCTGATTAAAAGTGTGAATCTCAATATCTGAGGCCGAGTACTTCTCAATAATCTACGTTGAACAACAACTGATGTTAGTATACAAGTAAAATCTAACAACGAAAAAATACAGAGAGCAGGGAAATAGAAGGTAAAGATCAGGCACCTTCTGTGTATCATCGTGAGTGTTGAATGAGTTCATTAGAAGCAAGGGAACGCTGCACCCATATTTCTTATTAAGATTCTGCAGCAACATTAACAGTTAGTTCCATGCACCAACAGAACCAAATCAAAATCAAAGCAGAAGATAAACAACAAAGACTCACCTCAATCTGGATGACAATAAGGTCAAGAAAGGTCAATCCATTACGAACTTCAATGACAGACCTGCACAACACAACAACATAAATCAAGCTCATTGTCATATACCTCTCCCAAACCTCCATTATCTGCACAAACAAAAGGGTAAATTCATTTCAACACGAAAAACTGACAACCATCACACCATAGGGCCCACCAATCTGACATTTGCCTTCCTTTTGTTTTTCTAGCTATAAATTAAAAATGCATCAAACATATCGAACCAAAGATTACATACTTAGGGCCAGTGCACCCCATTGTCGTCCCCAAACCTCCGTTGAGCTTCAAAACCACAAGCTTGTCCAAAAGCTTCTTGGTTTCCTCCGGATCTGCAACAAATTCAAACAATTTAAGCAACAATCACACAAGTTTGGCTCGAAAACAATCCGATACAGCTTCAGATCATTATCAATCACCTGCCGGAGTTGGCGCCAAGGTATCGTAAGGAACCACCACTTCATCAGTAGGTGTCTGAATCTTACTCCATTCAACTTGCTGCGCTTCCCCACTTTTAGCACACAAATTTCAACACAAATTCAAACAATTAGTAAATAATTCAATAAATTCCAATTTTCAAATCTCAGATCTCACATCATCAAATAAAAATTAATCCAAAAACCGAACAAAAATAAAAAATCTCCATCACATTGCACCTAGCACTAATCTATCAAATTATATATAAAAAAATTATTTCTTTTTCTCATTTCAGCAAAAAAAGAGAAAAAACAAAATTAAAAAAACAAACTGACTGAAGAATAATAAATCACCTGAGATAGCGAGAGACGAGGTTGATGAATCCAGTTTTCTCACTCTCACTAAAAGAAAACACGAAACAAAATCACGAAATTCAGAATTAGAAACTTTTTAATAGATCTGAGATTGATCTCTTGGCTTCATCGTCCCATTAACGAAACGTAATTAATTCGATTGGTGAGATTAGCGACAAATGAATGAATCGAATGACGAAAAGCACCTGATTTGATTGAGATTAGCAACAGCTGATTTGAGGTTAGAGATTTTCTCGGTATCGGTAGCCATTGGCGATTGATTTGACCTTCAGCTACAGAGAGAAAGGCTTAATTCTAGAAGTGAAGAATAAATCTGTGTGCGACAGAGGAGATTTGATAAAATTGGAAGGATGTGTGTATTTATAAGAAGTGGCAGCAGTGATGAAGTTTTTGCGAAACCTCATATTAGTCCCTACATTATTTTACAATTATCAATTAAGTCCTTAAATAGTTTCAACAGATTATTAAGTGCTCCTGTTTTAGTTGTGGTATATGATAATTCCTCTTAATTAGATCTTTCAGTCTAAATATATTACTTCTTTTCTTCTAAAAAAATTATCCCTCTTTTTCATTTATATTTTTCATAAAATGTTTATCTAGTTAAAAAATTTAATACTGTATTTTGTTAAAATATCTTTATTCTATGATACACAAGATTAAATTGAATAGATTTTCTTTTTAAAATAAAAAAAATATTCTTAAGAAATATTGATATGACATTATAATTAATAAATTTTTTAAATCACGTGAAAAGTTAAAAAAACCTATCTTTACATCAAGGTTTTTTAGAAAACAATTTTTTTTATTACATATATTATAGGATTAAATTCCATAAATTTTATTCTTAAATAAAAATTATTGTTAAAAAATATCGATATAACATTATAATTAATAAATTTCTTAAAGTGCGTGGAAAAAAACTATCTTTACGTCAAAGTTTTTGAGAAAAAGCATATTTGTTTTATTACACATATTGTAGGCATTGAACACAAGATATTAGCAAACATCTACATCTACAAAATGATTTGATTGAGAAATATGTGAGGTGTAAGAAACCCAATTGATAAACTTTTTTGATTTGGGACTCAATTGAGAAGGACATGTAAGTTACGGACTGAATTGAGAGTTCCTTTTCTATAATTAGCGATTCCTCTCCCTTACCAAAAACTAAATCCTACCCCCTCTTGTCTTTAACCAGACCAAAACCCCTTTTTTTTTTTTTTTTAGTTGTTTTTTCCTTGTTTAGTTGTTAATCGGTTAATAGAAACTAAATTTTTTCCTTCAATTATTTTTAAAGTGTATATTTTAATGTATTTAAGTCGATATTAGTAAAATAAAATTCTTATCTGAATTGATTTTAAAACAAATTATCTCGATGAGAACTAATGAATTTATAATTTTTTAAATCGTGAAATATTTTAAGATTATTTCCATATTTTTTAGACAAATCATTCATAATCAATTGTTGTATTAAAGAAAATTTTATTTTGATTGACAACGGTGACAAGTTATGGAGCAAAAGAAAATGTGTGTACCAAGAAAAGAGAGATTTTGTTGGGATTTTTATTTTATATAATGAGATTTGGAAGAGAGTAAATGATGATAAGAGTAAGAGACAACGAAATTTTGCCTTTGGAATTGGAATCTAATAAAATTGGGATAACGGGTGGTGTGGGTGGTGAAGGATTTTGCTACGCAACAAACAATATTTTTGGACAGGCAGCAGGCCAAAAAGATGTGTCAATGTGCGAGAGATAGAAACAGAATATGCAAGGGAATATAACGCTTGGCCTTTTTAGTGTGTAAATTATAAATTAGTCCTTCTAGTTTTGAGATATGAATTAACTAATCATTTTTGTTTTAAAAATTACTTGTTTAGTTTCTTGACAAGGGTGTTCACTTGGTTTCGAAATATTTTAGCCGGTTTTCGATTAACTAAACTTTCAAGAAAGAAAATTGAAACTAACTCGAAATGTTATTCGGTACTTCGATTAAAAGCTGAAATTTCGATTTTGGTTATTCGATTTTTACCTTTTTTTAAAAAAAAAAATATGAAAAAAAATGTCATGTTGAACGATTAATATTTGATACAAAATCTCATGTTTTGTTAATATTAATAAGCTTTTTTTCCAAATAGCTATGGTTCTATGGTTGGAATTTTGGTATTTAAATACATATGCAAAATTAAGTTTGGAATATAAGTTCCTACGTTAAATTTCCATCCATTTCTCTATTGTTTCTTTGTAATTAAGATGAAATAAAGTTTAATTTAATGTAAATGGTCCTATTTGAATATTTATGTAAATGATTGCAAGACTTTGATGCTAGTGCATAATTACTCAAGGGGGAGGAGGAAGGGATGACCGTTCTCTCTCTCTCCCCCTCTATATATATGTATGTGTTTCGGTTGTTTGGTATTTGAATATATTTGCAAAATCAAGTATGGAGTATAAAATGCCTATGTTAAATTTTCATGCATTTCTCTCTTATTTCTTCATAATTGGGATGTAATAAAGATTAAATTTATATAGATGATCCATTTTGAACATCTATGTCGATGATCGCAAGACTTTGATGCTAGTGCATAATTACTAAAGAGGGAGGAGGAGGGGATGACTATTCTCTCTTCATATATATATATATATATATATATATATATATATATATATATATATATATATATATAAATTAATTCGATTTTTCCGCTTTCATTGACCTCAAAAAATAAAAAATCAAAACGAACTTGAAAACTAAAATAATTTCAGTTCAGTTTTTATTTTTTAAATTTCACAAAAAAAGAACAAAAATTGAAATTTCGGTTCGGTTTTTCAATTAAAACTAAATAGTGAACACCTCTATTTGACTATCGATCATGCTTAATTTAATGTTATTTTATTTTTTAAAAAAATTCTTATTTTCTCGTAATTCTTTCATAATGTTTTTTTCTTTTTTTTAAAAAATAAATTAAAAAGATTAAATAATTCGTATTTGAAACAAAGAGGATGAATTAATTCATTTATAAAAAATAAAGGGACTAATTTAGAATTTACTCGCCTTTTAGCCCATAGAGATATACTTGAAAGAAGGAAAACGAAATGGCGCCTATTTTACGCAAAGGTTTGGACACCTCACCCATTCGATCCATGTGTTCGAGCATTATTGGATAGTTGGACTTTTAAAAGGTATGTTCAGTTTAGTCCTTATAGTTTATTAATTTTGGAATAAAGGCTTCGGCTATTTTTTTAATTTGACAACAAAGGATATCCTCAAGATAGCTTTTACGTCAATCTTTTTTTTTTTTTTTTTTTTTTTTTTTTTTTTGCCTATGAACGATCTTCTATGATATGAGATATAGATAGGATACGAAATATTTTTTTATACTAATAATCTTTTTTTTAAGAAGTCATAAAATATTAATTTTGTAAAACCTAAAATATTATATTATAAGAGAAGAAAGTTAATAAGATGAGATACATATAAAAAAATAATGAGTTTTATGCATATTGAGATCGTGTATAATTCAAATTTTTTTATTAAGATCCTATTTTTTTTGTTCAATATAATTCTTATATTATTGTTATTTTAGATCCTAACTAATAACAAATTACCACGTAAGCACACGTGACAAGTCGTCATTAGTTAATGATAAGCTCGGCTAATGAGAACTTACGACGTTACTAATTCAATCACTTAATTTGGACCCATCATGATACTTGTTAAGCTTTCATTGGCTCGAGCTTGTTGCGTGTGTTTATATGGCATATTAGAATCGAAACAATAACAACGTAGGAGTAGAATTCATAAATTAAATAGAAAAAAACTTCGAATTTCAATTAAAAAAATTAAATTGTATAAGTTTTTGATATATGCAAAACCCAAAAATCAATAAACTGGACGTATCAAAATTCAAAAAAGTTTTATTGGAAAAAAATCATTGAATACATAACCACTAAATTAGATCTGTTTTCGTGAAAATTTTCTTTGCGATGTTTGATATATAAAAGTTAATGCTCAAATCAATTTTCAGAAAGGTCATTTACCAGTTTTGTATTTTAGCAGTTTGATCTATAGCCACAGAAACGAGAAGAATCTTCTCTTCTTCGCCATTTCACTTGTAGGTTTGAAGGAGGAAAAATACTTTTCAAGACGAACTAGGCCTTTAACGATCTACAGTCTAGACACAGGATTTTAAGGGTGGAAACGTAGATGTTTTTATGTTTGTTTGTTTAGTGGGCTGAAAATGGACCTCTAAGCCCAGATATTCTTTGTGCCAAACATCATTGGGCTGGACGAATTATATACCTTGACAACTTGGGCCAGACTTAATATCTTATGAAAGCCTTGCTTTTGGAACAAGACAGCAAGGTGTGTTATTTTCTGTATGTTTATGGAAAAGAAGGGAGGAGAAGACTAAAATAACAAAATGATATATTTTAATTTAGTCCAAAAATTGGTCTCTTGATTTGCAGGTCAGTCCCTTTTATTGTGTTAATTTAAGGTTCAATGAGATAAAAATTAAAAAGCCTTTTCAAGATTGAAAAAAAAAAAAAAAAAACCTTCAAGTTCTGATTTTTTTTTTAAAAAAAATAGATTGAATTTTTTTCAATATGTGGTGCAAAAATTCAAATTAAAATATAAAGAATTGAATTTATTAAAAAAGAGTGGTGATAGATGAAAATCATACGGACTTAATTTTTTTTAAAAAAAGTTCAAGGAGATTAAAATGCAAATTAAAAGCTCAGAAACTGATTTTTACATAAACTAAAGTTGAGAGGAGGTTTGCCCTTTTAGCCTAAAAATAATGTCAATGTAATATATAAATTGTGCTATAATTGAGTAAACAAAATGTTGGTGGACAGAATCTTATGGTGTGATGCTTGCTTTTGTTAATATCATGATAACATTGGTGACCTCGATGGACCCGAAGAGAAGGAGCCTTTGAACTTTCCTAGAGGCCTAGTTTTTTTTTTGTTTTTTTTGATAGGTTTGAAGCTTACTGCTGTAACATCGCCATTCTAATATACTTGTCACAAGAGAAAGCGACAAATGATGGAGTAATGTTGAATTTGGAAAAGAAAGAAGACATGCAAGGAATTAATGTCTTTTGAGCTAATCTGAAATTTCTATCCAAAGGAACGTTTTGACAGGGCAAAGTCAGGAAGAAGCTGGGGCTTAATTGGTGGCTTATGCAATCCATTCACTACACAACAGAACCAAAACCTTGGAGGATCAGGTGAAAGCTCGGTATTGTCTTCTATGTTGTCTTGCTTGCAGGAGTTGGTATCACACTCGCACTCGCATTCGCTGTTTTAGGTTTTTTCTGGGGAGAGGATGGAAAAATTCGTTACGTGCCATTTGCAAGCCTTTCTCTTTTCGTCTTTTGTTTTATTCTAATTAATCACTGAATGCATGAAAGGGATCAATAACAAAAGGTCTCTCTCACTCTCATTTGCTAGTTTAATTAATAAATAAATGAAGTTTTGGTTCCATTAGAGGTTTGTTTGACCTTGCATTGTAAATCTTCTGGTACACCATTACTTTTCCGTCTTATGTATGAATGTTTAAGATTTATGAATGTTATTATGAATATTAAATTTAAGAATGTTGAAAAATATTGATATAGCATTATTAAAGTGCGTGGAAAAAACCTATCTTTACGTCAAAGTTTTTCAGAAAATATATGTGTTTTATTACATATATTATAGGCATCGAACGGAAGATATTAGCAAACATTTACATCTACAAAATGATTTGATTGAGAAATTAGCGAGGTGTAAGAAATCCAATTGATAAACTTTTTTGTTTTGGGACTCAATTGAGAATAATATGTAAGTTGTGGACTGAATTGAGAGTTCCTTTTCTATAATTAGCGATTCCTCTCCCCTGCCAAAAACTAAATCCTACGCCTTCTTGTCTTAACCGGACCGAACTTTTTTTATTTTTTATTTTTTTCGCTTGTTTAGTTGTTAATCCGTTAAGAGAAACTAAATTTTTTCTTTCAATTGTTTTTAAAGCGTTTATTTTATCATAATTTGATGTATTTAAATAGATATTAGTGAAACAAAATTCTTATCTGAATCGATTTTAAAACAAATTATCTTAATGAAAACTAATAAATTTATAATTTTTTAAATCTCAATATATTTTAAGATTATTTCCATATTTTGAGACAAATCATTCATAATCAATTGGTATATTAAGAAAAAGTTATTTTGATTGACAATGGTGATAAGGTATGAAGCAAAAGAAAATGTGTGTACCAAGAAAACGGAGATTTTGTTAGGATTTTATTTTATATAATGAGATTTGGAAGAGAGTAAATGATGATAAGAGTAAGAGACAATGAAATTTTGCTTTTGGAATTGGAATCTAATAAAATTGGGATAACGGGTGGTGTGGTGGTGAAGGATTTTGCTACGGAACAAACAATATTTTTGGACAGCAGCAGGCCAAAAAGATGCGTCAATGTGTAAGAGATGAAAGAGAATATGCAAGAGAATATAACGTTTGGCCTTTCAGTGTGTGAATTATAAATTAGTCCTTCTAGTTTTGAGTTATGAATTAACTAATCCATTTTGTTTTAAAAATTAATAATTTAGTCTCTTGCCAGGGGTGTTCGTTTGGTTTCAAAATATTTTAGCCAGTTTTCGATTAATCAAGCTTTCAAGAAAGAAAATCGAAACTGAATCAAAATGTTATTTGATATTTCGATTTCAGTTTTAGATTTTTATCTTTTTTTTTTTTTTGAAAAAATCTATATAAAAAAAATGTCATGTTGAATTATTAATATTTGATATAAAATCTTATGTTTTGTTGATAATTATAGACTTTTTTCCAAGCAGTTGTTGTCCTATGGTTGCAGATTTGGTATTTGAATATATTTACAAAATCAAGTTTGGAGTATAAAATGCATATGTTAAATTTTCATGCATTTCTCTCTTAATTCTTCATAATTGGGATTAAATAAAGATTAAATTTATGTAGATGATCTTGTTTGAACATTTATGTAGATGATCGTAAGACTTTAATGCTAGTGCATAATTACTCAAGAGGGAGGAGGAGGGGATGATTATTCTCTCTTCAAATATATATATAGTAAAAAAAAATTAATTCAAATTTTCGGTTTTCATTAACCCCAAAAAATAAAAAATCAAAACGAACTTGAAAACTAAAATAATTTTGATTCGGTTTTTATCTTTTAAATTTCACAAAAAAAGAATAAAAATTGAAATTTCGGTTCGATTTTTCGATTAAAACTGAATAATGAACATCTCTACTTGACTATCAATCATGCTTAATTTAATGTTCTTTTATTTTTTAAAAAAATCTTATTTTCTTGTAATTCTTTCATAATTTTTTTTTCTTTTGATTTTTTTAAAACAAATTGGAAAAGAACATAAAATAAATTAAAAGGATTAAATAATTAGTATTTGAAACAAAGACGATGAATTAATTCATTTATAAAAAATAAAGGGACTAATTTAGAATTTACTCGCCTTTTAGCCCATAGAGATAGAATTGAAAGAAGAAAAGGAAATGGCGCCTATTTTACGCAAAGGTTTGGACACCTCACTCATTCGATCCATGTATGTTCAGTTTACCATTACTGTTCAGATGCATCTCTGTAAACTTTTGCGTATGCATGTGGTGGCTCATGCCCTTGTTGTTAGGAAGTTTCCATGCATTTCTCTGGCTTAGAACAGAAATAATTTGGCATGTAATGCGAGTGGTATGGATCCCATTTGAAGGGGTATTAACATATTTGGGAAAAGAATTCCATCCTTGAAGGATAAATCGAACCTCTATTTGCATCATTCAAATGTCAGAAAAATAGTTACCATATGCTAAACCCAAAAATATCAATAGGTAGAAACCAATAAATTACAGGCCATGATGCTCGCTTTATGACTGCCACTTCAGCTCGACGCAAAATGTATATGCTGCCAAAAAATCTGCTAGATTCTGAGAGAGAGAGAGACCACTTGCTTTTTCTACAAACGTTCTTTATACTATAGTACTTTTCCATTTTTGCATTCTTCAGATTGTGACAGCACCTGCTCAGAGAAGGCATGCATAGGGTAAATTTGGTACATTCATGAAAATATTAATGCTTTCACTCTTCGAAATAGAAATTTTTTGGGACAGAGATCTGACAAAAACGCTTCTGGTCGTAGTAGTCTGTCTCTAGTTTGTGACACATGCATTTCTCAATTACAACAGTCATTCACATTGCACACGTATCGAAGCCTTGTGTATCTCTATTTGTGATTTGCACCTCTTCTTTGATCATTCTACAAAACATCATGGTGTGCAAGCTGGAGCTGTAGAAAGACAACGAAGAAGAATGAACAAGAAAGAATCAAAGCTGAAATCCTTTTTGTAATTGATGTCGATGAAATCTTCATCTTCCTTAACGAGTCCTCTTTCATTGATATTTTAGGAACTAAAGAATAACCACATGTAGTAGTTTGTTAATAAGCAAACATTAACTTTCATGTTGAGTTCAGAGTTTGATCTTTATAGTCAATATTTTTAAAAATTTATTCTAAGAATACTGAAAACTATGCATTTAGAAATGCCTCTTAATTAGCCATACCTAGGGAGAAATTAATCTCAAAGTATGCAAAAGCTAATCAAAAGACATCGTTACTATTGAACCTATAAAAAAAGAAAAAAGAAAAAAGAATCATCTAAAGGAGTATGTAGTGAACAACACAAGTAATTAATCTTTAGTTTTTCCGTCAAATAGAGATAGATCCTTTAGTATTTCAATCTCATAGATCAACTATATCGTCTCATACGAATTATATTTCATCAATGATAAGAACTTAATGGCCACCGTAGTATAACTATGTGAAATATAACTAAATTTGTTTAACTTTTTTTTTTTTTACACAATTTTGATGGAAGGAAAATCTTGAAACTCTTGGGTAAAATTAATATAATCATTTAATAAACAGTAAATTCATAGTTAACCTTAGTTTTAAAGTCAAAACTCTAATCTTAGATGCCAACTTTAATGTGAGCAGGTGCCCTCACACCAGGGCCGGCTTTATAATATATGTGGTCCTAAGCAAAATAATATTTTAGAGACTCTTTTATAAAATAAATAAATATTAAACATTATTTAAATTTTATTTTTCTTGTTTTTCGAGATGTAAAATCTCTAATTAAATTTTTGTATTCAAGTTTACAAATCAAATCTTTTTCAATTGATAATATAGTCAAATTACTTAATCTTTCTTGTAACATAGTTGAACGCAAATAAGATTTTATTAATTTTAATTTTGAAAAACTTTTTCAGTCGAAGCTACGATAGCGAGGAATAGTTAATAGTATTATATATGTTATCTATGCATTTGGAAAAGAATTTACTTTTTTATAAAATTCGAGTATGGCAAGTGGTGTTTTCATTTCCACAAGTTATAGTTTCTTTTAAAACTTTTAATTCTGAAAATAAATCTAAACCATTAATATCGGAAAGCATATCGTGCTTTAGAAAGTTTTCAAGATTTAAATAATTTTTTTTTCAAAATATCATCATCAAGTGATTTTAATTTTTCTACACTATAAAGAAAATTAAAATTATCTTTATATATTTTAAATTGTTCAAACTTATTTTGAAGAGAGGAAATCGCATGATCAACTAAATATGCAAAATAATTAATTCTAAAAGACTCTTTAACATATAATTTTATGTCTTCATTTTCAATCTCATCAAATTATTTCTTTCTAGTAGACATATTATTCAAATAATAAAATTAAAATATAATTATAAAAGAGTAAGAAACTTTGACACCTAATTATATTTGCTTGTTACACTTAATTAAGTAAACATAGAGAGAATCACTCGAGAAAATAAAAAGAAATTTGAGAAAAAAATAAAATATTATATGATTTATATACATAATATTATTTGCATAGATTAAAAAATTACATTCAAATTCTTTTGCTAAGCTAATTAGTTAAGGTTTTTATAAGAGATCTTTGATTGTTTGGAGAAAGAAAGGAATATAATAACAAAATTTGGAGATCTAAAAATTGTTTCACTCATAAATATTTTTCTGAAACTTTTCCGTAAGTAAAAATGTCGACTAAAATAAAAATTGAAAGTTTTTATAAGTAGAAGGTAACCTGGAAAGACATCTAGAAAATGTAGAATTTTTAACGTTGAAATAATAATATTTACGAAAAATAAGAGCCTTTAAATGCAGGAACTCTAGTACCTATAATTTATTAATTAAAAAAAAAATGGTGCCTCATACTTAAGTGAAGGCTGTATTTTTAATTTATCTCATTTTTCATGAATATAAATTTAAGATAAAATTTTAATTAGATCCCCTTTCTACGAGGCCCTAGGCATAGGCCTTAATGGCCTATGCCTTGAGCCGGCACTGCCTCACCTGGTTCAATCCCAGCGGGACCGGCATTGGCCAAACTCAACAATCAGACAACACAGATTGAAGAACGGTCAACAAAGAACCAGTAGCTAAGAAGCAGCTCATGGCCATATGCTCCCATTCAACCTTATCATTTTCCTTTTCAGCATTTACAGCCCAAAGGCCATTGGGCTCCACATGACTTTTTTTCCACCACAAAGGCCTCTATCACGTTCATGTTTGCCACAAAGGCCTCTATCACGTTCGTTGAGTGTGAGTGTTACAATTTCATGACGTCTAGGACAAATTAATAGAAACGGTGCCAGCAAAATGGAGTAAATTATAAATTAATGCATTTAGTTTTGAAAAAAATAATAATTAATTTTCATGCTTCAAAAATTAATTATTTAATTTTTTTCATTCATTTTATATTTTTTTTATAAAAATATATGCATAAAAAATGATATTATAAAAAGATCGATGGGAAAAAATTATAAAATAAAGCAATATAAATTAAAAAATTATTTTTTTAAATAAATAATTTATTTATTTTTTAAAACTAGAGAAACTAATTTATAATTTAGTGGAACAAAACGAGACATGGAAGAATAGTAGATCATAAATTATTTAATATCGACCCTGACATCCTTGGAAAAGCAAGCGCTGTCTTTGTTTTTTCTTTTTTTGTTTCGGTATGGAAATTTATTCTTCAATTTTCTTACTAACTGTTTGATTTTAAAATTTTCAATTATTGTGTTCATGAAAAGAAAATTTCTTCAATTATTACGTTTGTCCTCACCACATGAATGCTGAATATTTAAGCAGGCTTGCAGAGAAGAAGAGGGCACTTCTTCTAAACATAACTTCACTTTCCTCTCACTCATTTCTCATTTCAATTAATCGCGTCTCCTCTCCACTCAAAAACAAAATGGCCGAAGCTTTTGTAACCAACATTGCAAAATCCCTTCTATGGAAGCTAGCCTCTTTTTCTGCTCAAGAATTTTGTTTGGCATGGGGACTTGAAGCTGACCTTGCACGTCTTGAAGAGAAACTGTCAGCCATCAATGCGGTTCTGTCCGATGCTGAGAGGAAACAATCACAAAGTGACAGAATTCGACTTTGGCTCCAGAAGCTCAAAGAAGTCTTGTATGATGCAGAGGACGTGCTGGATGAATTTGAGTGTGAAACTTTGCGAAGGCAGGTGGTGAAAACTAGAGGAAGGATCAACAGAAAGGTAAAACACTTCTTTTCAAGTTCTAATACGATTGCATTCCGCATAAGAATGGGTAATAAAATAAAAGAACTGGTCGACAGACTGGCTGGGATTGCATCACTTAAGTCTGAATTTAACCTCAGTGAGCAGACTAATGATCATAGTCATGTCTTGCATGAGGAAACAGATATGAGACAGTCCTTTCAGGGTTTTTTCGGTCTTGTCGGAAGAGATGAAGACAAAGCACACATCATCAGCCTTTTGGCAGAACCATTTGAGGTTGATGGTGCACATCCTTTTGTCATTCCAATAGTTGGAATGGGTGGTTTGGGAAAGACTGCTCTGGCCAAAACGGTGTCTGATGAAAGTGCTCATTTTGATTTGAAAATACAGGTATGTGTTGCGGATGGTTTTACCCTAAAACAAGTGATGTCAAAAATTATTAAATCTGTAACTGGGGATCAAAGCTGTAATAGTTTGGGCGATGACGAACTCAAAGAAAAACTGGAAGCAATTTTGAATGGTAGGAAATACTTGCTTGTTTTAGATGATGCTTGGGATGAAGATCCCAAAAAATGGCTCTTATTGAAGTCTTTGTTATCAAAAGGCGTGGTTGGAAGTAAAATTATAGTAACTACCCGCAGCAAACGTGTTGCTGAGATTATGGGTACTGTTCCTGCATACGAGTTAGGTCTTCTTGATCAGAAGGACTGTTTGTCTTTGTTTGATAAGTGTGCATTTAAGGAAAGACAGAAGGAGAAGTATCCAAATTTGGTTGACATTGGAAAAGAAATAGTGAAAAAATGCAAGCAAATTCCTTTGGCAATAATTAACTTGGGAACTCAACTGTATGGTAGAACTGATGAAAGAAAGTGGAAATCAATAAGGGATAGTGGGATGTGGAAGGAAAAAGAAGATGGTATTTTAACTGCTTTAAAAATAAGTTATCAACGATTGCCAACTCATTTGAAAAAATGTTTTCTTTATTGTTCAATATTTCCAAAAGATTACGATTTTATATATATCTATTTGGTGCAATTTTGGATGGCACATGGACTCATTCAATCATCAAATCCAAATGAAAACTTGGAAGATGTTGGCTTGTGTTATGTGCGTGAATTGATCTCAAAATGTTTCTTCCAAGATTCTAAAGATGTTATGTTTGCAGTTCGATTTAAAATGCATGATTTAATGCATGATCTAGCATCATCATTAGCTCAAAATGAGTGTTCGATCATAACCTCTTTAAACAACCAAATTTTCAAAACAACTCGTCATTTTTCAGTTTTTGACTCTAATTCATTTTTTCATCAAGCTCTTCCCAAATTTCCAAATAAATTAGATCGTGTGCGAACAGTTCTCTTTGCAAGCGATATAGGGGGGCCTACATGCAAAGCAGACTTTGAGAAACGGTTGATAGAATTTAAGCATTTGCGGTCGTTGGAATTAATTGCTTGTTTTGAACTGTTTCCTAAAAGGATTGGTGCCCTGAAACATGTGAGATATCTCAATGTGATGATGAATTCAAAATTGAAAAGGTTACCAAAATCTGTTTTCAAATTACAAAATTTGCAAGCTCTGTTTCTAGGTTATGGCTTAGAAGAGTTGCCCAAAGATGTGAGATACATGATCCGTCTTAGACTTTTATTTCTGACTACTATGCAAAAGCGGTTGCCAGAGGGTGGGATTGGGTGCTTGGAGTGTCTTCAAACTTTATTTATTGATCGTTCAAAAAATCTTGAATATTTGTGCGAAGATATGCAAGGTCTTAAAAGCCTTCGAAAATTGGGTATCATGCAATGTAAAAGCTTGATTTCTTTGCCACGAAGCCTGAAATACCTGACTGCACTGGAGTTTTTGGGTATTATTGATTGTGAGAAGCTTGATTTGAAGACAATGGAGGAAGAGTACGAGGAAGAAATTAAGCCACTTCGCCTTCAGACTGTAATATTTGCAGAGTTACCGGCGACACTAGCATTACCAAAACAGATTCTTCAAGGATCTGGGAATTCTTTACAAACATTTCTGATTGAAGACTGTCCAAAAATTAGAGAAATGCCTGAGTGCGTCGGCTATCTAAATAAACTCCAACAGCTTGCGATCAGGCGCTGTCCAAGTTTGAGCAAAAGGTGCCAAAGGGGAACAGGAGAAGATTGGCCCAAGATCGCTCATATCCCTGAAATTGAAGTTCACTATGTTGATACTGATGAAGAAACATCCGATTAGGTACAGATTATTATATTCTCATATTTGGTTTCATATTTTATCACTTCCTTAATTCCTTTTTTCGGTTTGAATTCTTTCCCCCCTGTGTGTACTTAATTTGACAAATCCTTGTGTGTTATGGAGGGGTAGGTTCAATGGAACTCGACCGGCTTTAAATCCAGCAAGATCTTTAAATTTATTGGAACTTGCTATCCTCATTATTTTCTCTGTTTGTATGATTTCTGCAGCTTTCAAATGGGTTACTGCTGATGGTTGTTCGGTGCCTTCCATTTGTTCAGTGTTGCTGCTGCTATTCTAGTTCGTTAAAATGAAGATGAAAAATACCGTCAGTAGATTCATTTCCTTCTTCTGTGTGCTCTTCTCATGGTTCCTGCTGGCGATTCATCCTTTCGTTGTTTGTTGCTCCTTTGCTTTCCAGCTCCAGTGCCTTGGCCTTGTTTTCAATATTCCTGGATTTGTTCTGATGTTTGCTTTGCATCACGCTGCTCAGTTTATATGCTAGCCACATAATCTGTGCTCTTGCGGTTGAACTTTGCTTTGACTTCTTGCTGTGAGGCTGGTCCTGTTGGCTCATATCTTCTACAACAGTTGTTACATGCAGAGGAATTGGCTTGAGGCTGGATGAGTCTGTTTTGTTTAATTCCTAGTGCCTTAATTTTCTTAGCTAGTTGTTTCTGTCTTTCTCGGCTGCTGTAATTTATTGCAGCCATGGTGTTAATTGTGGATAATTTGATGAAGCACATTTCGTTGTTATATATTACTTCATCCCTGTTCTGATACTTAATGATTTGATGATAAATTGATGATCGCATAGTCCTTCATATATGTTTTATATTGGCATTGTTAGAGAATAATATAAATCATATCCTGAGGCTTTACTTAACAGCTTAAGCTTTTGGATGAAATGGTCCATTTACATGATATCGGAGCTTAGCTAACCTAAAGGTCTATCTCTTCTAATTAGCTAACAGCTTAAGCTTTGCGATGAGATGGTCCCTTTACATGATATCGAGCTTTGCTAACCTAATGGTCAAGAGTTCGAATCCTCACTTCCACTTTCTCTTCTAATTAATTAAGCACAAGGTAGTATGAGTATTAGAGAATAATATAAATCATATCTTGAGGCCTTACCTAACAGCTTAAGCGAGCTTTTGAGTGGAATGATCCCTTGATAGGCATCAAAGTCACTCGAAACAACAGATATTTAGTGCCACATCTATACCTTCCATTTTTTCTTGTCACAGACAGCATAAATTTATCAGTACTTTATAGTAGACTCTCATAAATATGCATCCATTTCTTTGCCCATCAGGAACATCTATTTCTTTATATCTGTATTATGTATATGAACAAGCTTTAGTCGTCAAGGTTTGCAAGACAAGCGCGGTGAGCAATCCATGCAGCTTCCATTTGAGGCCATCATATAAAGGCTGACGAAACGTAGCTACCTGCATTGCAACACCCTAATATGGAGTGATCTAAGATTCAGTTCTTGATGAAACAAGTGTGAACCTCTTTTGTGACGAGGAAAGGATGTTTACCTCTTTCGTGATTATGAATTATCAAATTCGCACTAATCCCATTTGAGTTTTTTTTTTTTTTTTAATGAAGTAATTTCCTTCATTTTTTCCCTATAAAATAAATATCAAAATTATTAAATTTGAAGAGGAAAAGCTTTGAAGGATAGAAAATAGCTATACATGCGCAGGAAATTAAGGATCGACTTCCATGTAAGGTCTAGTAGGGTATAACAACCTGATCAAGTGGTAAATTAATTTCCCTTCACTTCTGAGAATGAAGATTATAAGGAGTGGATTTATGTAGAATAGGTAGCTTAGGAGTATTTGGAACAAGCTGACAATAAAACCAGCTTGGCAAATTGCATTATTTTCTTGGTATTGAGGCCAAGAAAACTAATAATTTAATTTCTAAGTTACTGTCAGTATTGCAACCTCGTTTTCTCAGTATTTGAATAATTTAATTTTTTATTTTTTTATTTGAATTTGTTATTTTGATTGCATATTAGCATAAATGACTGATGGTTTCTATAGTACTTTAAATTTTTAGACAAACAAAAAGATCCTTGACCTTTAATTTTTTTTCAATGTAGTGCTTTCGTTGACTTTTAAATCTTAATTGATTTTTTTTAATATATATATATATAAGAACATAATAAATGTCTTTTTTATTTTTGTTTGGAAAAAAATCTTCCATCAAATCCAAAACAATGAGAATATAATGCTATTACGAAGTTTCCACTTAAGAAAAGAATTTTTTCTTGTTTTGCAATTTGCATTTAATGTATACTGATCTTGAATTTTAACTATATATATACCTCCCCGGCTAAGAGAAGGCGCATCAGATCAAACAATATACTGACCAATAATAGCATATAGCAAAAAAAAAAAAAAAAAAAAAAATCTTGTTGCAAATGGCTACCATTTCATTGACTAGTTTTGTTACCCTTGTTCTCCTTTTCTCAGGTGTTCCTTAACTGATCATTATTCTATTTAATTTTCTTGTAAAGAAGCTACTTATATCTTTTTTCATCATGCTTGCTTTAAATATGTATTATAATAAATTTGAATTAGGCAATATTAATAAAGTAAATTATAAATTAGTCTTTCTAGTTTTGAGAAAAAGAATTAATTATTCTATCTTGTTTTAAAAACTAATTATTTAATTCTGATATATATATATATATATATATAATGTAATCCCCTTTTTTGTTATTTTTCAATTTATTTTGATTTTTTCTTTTTTAAGAAATATTAAAAAAGCAAAAAATATGGGAAGATTGATGAAAAAATGATTTTTTAAATAAAGTAATATTAAATTAAACATGATAACACTAGCCAATATATTAAATAATTAGTTTTAAAAAACAAAAAATAATTAATTCATCCCTAAAAAATAATATGAATAAATAAATTGTCCAATAATGAAACAAAAAATAAATTGTTGACAAGAAAATCATGTTCTTAAAAGTTTTTTTTTTTTTTTTTTTTTTCTAATGTTTATTTATATGTTTGCAGCTACGTTGGTTATAACTGAGGTGAATGCACAAAAGAGATGCCAGGAAGTTTTGTATAACAGTGGATGCAATCTTGAGGATTGCCGCGCAAAATGCTACCAGAAGCACCAATCGATTCAAGGAGGGCAATGCATTGCTAATCCATCTATGACCGATTATTCTTGTGTTTGTGTTTATAATTGTAACAACTAGTGTAAGACACTCTTTTTTGCTTCCTACAAATAATTAAGCAAATAAATTGAAGAACTTGTTTTCAATAAAAAAAATTGAGAATAAAATATTTTATTTTCAACAATTAATGTGTTATATTTAAAATAATGAAATGGTTGGTGTCCTAGTGTGAGCATTACCATATATTTTATATTCAATACTTCCGACGATCATTGTCAGGCACTAAATTATATTTTGAATTGATGCAATTAATTCAATATTCATTATAACCTTGCCTTTTGTAAAACATAATTAGTAGGACACTAACACACTCTTTAAGGTCAGGCACATTGCAAGAAAGTGAAAGAAAATTATCATTTTCAAAGTCTCTAAAAAATTCATCCTTGCATAAAAATAGATCTTTCAAACATAAAAATTGCTTAAAAGCTGTGGATTAAATTGAGTTCACCTCAATTCAATTCTTGACTTCCCAGGCAAGCTCTTTGAAAGTATACAAACATTCAAACAAAAGAAACGCATGAGTTTAAAAAAAATAAAAAAAATAAAAAAATTTAAGGTATACTCCCTTATGGTATACATCAACATAGAACTCTTAATGATGTGTTGAATTCACCAGACATAAACCTCTTTATGGTATCAGAGCGACTATAGGCTTAACAGCCAAAGTAGACTCCCTTCTTCTCTCTTTTTTCTGGTCAAATTATGACCAGTTTCACTAGACCAACAACCTGCTCCCTTATGTTTAGCTGCTGCCATATACTGTTATCGGCTTCATAGCCACATCGCCCCCTTCCCATATACCTGAGTCTGGCACGTTCCACTAGACCAACAACCTGTTCCCTTCACAAACATTACTACCCACAATGTCAGAAGCTAGTGCTTCCAACAACCTAACCTGTACTGCTTGTCTGCCATTATCAAAACCAGCCTCCTTCCCCCACATCATCCCTTTCCCCCCAACTGCCATAACTCAACAAACTTTCTTTTATTGCAAACGCAACTGCTGCCGTTATTAAGAGGTCACAATCTCATCCATCATGTTGATGGAACTCAAGATCCTCCATCTATTCTTCTTGATGATGGATTTGTCAATCCTGCTTCACCAGTTGGTACTTTGAAGGTTTTGATTAATGCTCCATGCTTTCTGCTTGGACCCCCATCACATCAACTGATTTTATTGTGTCATTATTTGACCAATTATTAAATTTTGCTATGAGAGGTTAGATCCTTAAGTGTTTTTAGTTTGTAGATTACCATTCAGATCAAACCATGAGATGCCTCTCAAGTATTGATTGAGACCATGGCATTGTCGTCTCTTGGCAATATTCACTGCTCATGTTTGAGTGCTTGTCTTTTGATGCTTGTATCATAATTTGCAACCCGATCTTGAAATTTTCATCAACTTTTGAAAAAATTTATTGAATAGACATTTAATCCTCATGGATTAAGTTGTGAACTCGAATGATTCTTTCAAATATAATTTAGATTATTTAAAAGAAATTTAAACATGTTCGATGAAAGTACCTTCATTCATGAAAATATTCAACATGATGGATCAAAAGTCAAAACATGATGTTTAAATTCTATGATGCAATTTTTTCAAGAAGGTTATTTGGTTAAGCTAGAAAATGTGTTGGATCATGCAAGGCTTCTATTAAAAATAGTTTTTGATGCTATTGAAGACAAATAGTTAAATGATAAGTCTATTTTGGTGAATGGAATAGGTTCAGCAAAAAGTATTTTGAGAAAATTAGTTTTGAAGGATAATTTTGCCTAAGAATGTCTTGATTCTTTTTTTTTCTTGGTCTCTAGTTAGTTGATGAAAACTTATGATTTGATGTTATATTTTTTAATTGTTTGTTTGATCATCATTCTCTTTTTTCTTTTGAGATTAAGATTGAACAAGTATAAGTGAACGACCTTTGATAAAAAAGAGCTTGTTGAAGCACGTAATGTAGGCTATAACTTGGGCTCATGAAAAATGAATACATAAAGGCTCAAAAAGTATTTAAATGTCTTATAACATAGGATCATTTAGTGAAAGATAGAAATGAATTTTAAGCACAAAAAATAACAACCTTAATTGCATTTCATGCATGGTTATATTTATCGAGCTTAGCTCATTGTATTATCTTGTGGTGCAGGTGAGCAAAACAATACTTGAGAATCAGATAAATGCATTAAGAATGCTAGTTGTGAGCTACAAAATCTACCAAATCTTGTACTATAGGTCTAGGTTTAAAGTTTGAAAGCTAAACCATTGTTAGGTTTGACCACTTTTGAATAATGCCTAGATTCGATCATTTTGAATAGTAAATGATATGCTTTTATAGTTTGGATATATATATATAGATAGGAGATTTGAAGTGAATGAATGTTTATCGATGAATTAAGAATATTATGATCAAGCTTGATTTATGATCTCATTAGTTTTAATCCAAGGATGATTATATTCATTTTAAGTTTATGTTTCAATTATGAATAGAAATGAAATAGTTTATATTATGCCATGGGTAGCGAAAAATTTATTAGCATTATATGTCGAATCTTAGAAAGTCTTAAACTTGAAATCGAATAAGAAATTCCTTTGCACATTTTTATAAAAGTCCACGGTAGAGGACATAGTGTATTATCTTGCACTCTCAAGTGTCGGATAGTGCAGTAGCACTCTTGACCCCTATTATGTCATGGACATTACAAACCAACTCTACCACATCCTCTCTAGCTCCTCTACTAGTTGCTTCAATAAAATACCCTCTGTCGCATGTCTCTCCACCTTACACACAATATCAGATGGTCACACGGTTCAAAATTGGCTCCTTAAAGCCTAAGGCTCTTTCTAATCTTGCCCTGCCACCACTGGATTCCCAGACACACTCAAGTGGTAAAATCCAAAGAATGGTGCCATGCCAAGGTAGATGAGGTCAATGCATTACTTGTCAATGACACATGAGAGTTACTTCTGGCACATCCATCATAAAATGTTATGGGCTGTAAATGGGTCTACTGCACCAAACACAGATCTGATGGTAGTATTGAATGCCATAAAGCACGAATTGTGGCTAAGGGTTTCCATTAACGTCCAAGTGTTGACTATACAAAATCTCTCTCCAGTCATCAAACTCCCAATGGTGCATTTAGTTATGTCTCTTGTTGTTTCGAAAGGTTAGGATGTTACTAAACTGGATGTTTTTAATGCTTTCTTGCCTGGAAACTTGATGAATAGGTCTTCGTGTCTCAACTTTAAGGCTTTGTTGATCCTAAAAAACCTGATCATGTTTGTCTTCTCAAGCACAATCTCTATAAACTCAAACAATTTCCACATTCTTGGTTTCACTGTATCGTTGATGCCTTGTTAACTCTTGGTTTTCTTAGGTCAAAGGTTGATACCTCTTTATTTTACTATATAAAAAAAGGAGATATTCTTGCATTCTGCTTGGTGTATGTTGATGATATGCTACTGATAGGCAGTTGCTCTGCCTTTTTGAGTTCTGTCATTGCAGCCTTAAAGAACCGGTTTGTGCTAAAAGAGTTTGGCAAATTGCATTATTTTCTTGGCATTGAGGCTAAGAAAACAAATAATTTAATTTCTAAGTTATCGTCAGTATTGCAACCACCGTTTCTCAGTATTTGCATAATTTAATCTTTTATTTTTTTTGTTTGAATTTGTTATTTAGATTGCATATTAGCATAAAGGATTTATGGTTTCTATAATACTTTAAATTTTTAGTCAACTAGAAAGATCCTCGACCTTTGATTTTTTTCGATTTTTTTCGATGTAGGTCATATATATATGTATGTATGTATGTATGTATTTATGTATGTATGTATGCTGTGGCTTTTTTCTTTTCGTAACTTTCTTCACCACTTTTCCTAGTGGATAGGCGAAGTGGCATGAATTAGTAAAACGAAAAAAAAAAATTCTTGTTGATCTGATCCATTTCTTTTTCTTTGCCGATCATGCGAATGAGGTCCTCGAGAAGTGATGGAATATTAGCCATCGGAACGTTTTCTTAGACGGCAGCAGCCTAAGTCCAATTGCAATGCTAAGACTTTATGGGCGAATTAAAATGATACTCTTAGACGATCCTATATAAGCAATTCATGACATGATAAATATTTAGTCCGATTTTACCACATGATATTTTTAGGTTCATTAAATGTATCTGTTGCTTTCGTCGACTTTTAAAACTTAATTGATTTATATATATATATATATATAAGAACATAATAATTGTCTCTTTTTTATTTTTTTGTTTGGAAAAAAAATCTTCCATCAAATCTAAAACAATGAGAATATAATGTTATTACGAAGTTTCCATTTACGAAAAGATTTTTTTTTCTGGTTTTGCAATTTGCATTCAATGTATACAGATCTTGAATTTTAACTATATATATACCTCCCCGGCTAAGAGAAGGTGCACCAAACAATATACTGACCAACAATAGCATATAGCAAAAAAAATAAAAAAATAAAAATAAAAATAAAAAAATTCTTGTTGCAAATGGCGACCATTTCATTCACAAGTTTTGTTACCCTTGTTCTCCTTTTCTCAGGTTATCCTTAATTGATCATTATTTTAATTAATTTTCTTGTAAAGTAGCTACTGATATCTTTTTTCATCATGCTTCACTTAAATATGTACTATAATAAATTTGAATAACGCAATATTAATAGAGTAAATTATAAATTAGTCTCTCTAGTTTTGAGAAAAGAATTAATTATTCTCTCTAGTTTTAAAAACTAATTATTTAATTATGATATTTTTAATTTTTTTATAAGGTAATCCTTTTTTTTTGTTATTTTTAATTTATTTTGATTTTTCCTTTTTTAAGAAATATAAAAAGATGGGAGGATTGATGAAAAAATGATTTTTTTAAATAAAATAATATTAAATTAAACATGATCAACACTAATTAATAGACTAAATAATTATTTTTTAAAAAAATTCATTTCTAAAATAATATGAATAAATAAACTGTCCAATAACGAAACAAAAATAAATTGTCGACAAGAAAAT